AGTGACATTTGAACACTAGTCACCACCTCTGTATAAATACAATAAGGCGGCCCTATTGCCAAAAGTAATTAAAGTGCATCGACACCTAGAAAAGATAAAGCAAAACAAACGTGTCGTCCGCACAGTGCTCTATTATACTTCATACCCACAGGTCTATTGCATCACGTAATATGATGTCCCACTAAACATCTCACCGTCACCGTCCCCTCATGAAACGAACATGCAGCGGCAACTACAATCATTACCGATTTTTTATTTCAACACGGAAATACGGAAGGGGGAATGGGATTGTTAAAATAATCCCACTGCTAACATTGTATCACGCCAGAGGGACCTCCACGCGGCTCACCCCAGAAACCATCGTGACAAATTAACACGAACCCACCACGACGGGCCAACCGATCCTATCCCCCCCGCTCATTCTACCATACTTCATCAGTGCCACGCCAGCGCAGGCAGTACACCATTATCATACATTAAAAATAATAAATCACGGATATACGTAAACATATCACTACAATGATTATTAATACGACTATTCCTACCAGCTAGAGACACTATAGGTATAGCAAGTACAATTTATAATTAGGTACCTACTTACTTGGCGCAAATCGATCGTAAACCGATGTTACCCAGCTATTGTTTTTTCTGTATAGGTCTATATAATTCGCTCCCCGTGCGGCCCCACCATAATCCTTCTAAATTTGTAATTACTCCGTACCCGTAGGTATATGTATATCTTATTAAATGATTTTGTACTTATCTTTATTTATATCCATTTTGCCTCGTCGCCACATGTAGTGTTCACTTATTTGTTATTTATGTCTTCTTGTATGTAAGTTGTTATCGACGTAATATCGGCTCGTTAGCCATAGCTCCACGTCTTTACTCCGCGGCGCTTGCGCAGGGAATCCCTTCCCTCTTGCGCACGGCGGTACGTGTACGCTCGGCTCGAGACGATAGATAATAAACTGCTAGTGTTTCCACATACACTACATATATCAATACTCCCCCCTTACAAATTTAATCGCTGGGGTTGTTTAACCACTCTGTGTGACCTTCTGACTGTAACCCCATTACCTGTATTAACAAGAGGGCTACTAGGAACAACAGACTGAAGAGCCTCAATCACAGTCTCATCAGTTTGAGGAAATTTAAGCTCTACCTGTCTGCGAATTGTTTCATGATCATAATAATTATCACTGCAACTAATTATATCATTACCACTTACAGTATTTTTAATTAAACTATCATCTTGATCCTGGGAAGAACAACTTATAATTTGATCTATATGTCTCCTCCAAACTAAATTTTCATTAATTACTTTGCAAAGATATGTTCTTCTTCCAAGGACTTCCTCAATTACAGCTTTTACAAATATTTTCTTATTTGGATGTCTATAATCTCGACAATAAACTCTGTCTCCCTCTTTAAACGTTATTTCTCTTTTTCCTCCACCATTTATATTACTAACTTTCCCTTTACAATTTTTATTACTTAACAAATCAAATCTGGTTCTTAATTTCCTTTGAAACATTAATGTTGCTGGAGCACTGCCTGTAGTACTATGTATAGAGTTTCTATAGTGAAATAAATATCGATTCATTAATGTTTCAAAAGTTACATTATTTTTTTCTTTCAGTGTCTTTAGCAATCCTGACTTAAAACTTCTTACAGCGTTTTTGGCAAGACCATTTGTAGCAGGATGAAATGGAGGTGATGTTTGGTGTCTTACTCCATTTTTATATAAGAATTCTGAAAATTCCTTACTACAAAAGGTTGCTGCGTTATCAGTTACAACCATTTTTGGCAAACCATACCTACTAAAACATTCTCTGAATTTTTCAACTGTTAATCTAGCTTCTAAATTTTTCATTATAAATGTTTCTGGCCATTTTGTATAAGAATCAATGATAATTAATATTATTTTGCCATCAATAGGCCCAAGAAAATCTGCATGAACTCTTTCATAGGGATAGCTACAACTTGGCCATGAAATGACATTTGACTTTGGTGGTTCTGGTCGAGCTGACAAACAAATATCACATGTTTTAACTACATTTTCAATACAACTATCTAGTCCCGGCCACCAAAAGTAAGATCTGGCATTGGTTTTCATTTTAACTCTGCCTTCATGAGTTGAATGTAACTCCTTAAGTAAACTTGACCTTAATTTATCAGGGACAACTACCCTATAACCCCACATAATTATATTTTGATCTAGGTATAATTCATCCTTTCTTTGGAAATATGGTTTAATATATTCATTTATTACTTTCTTTGGGAATCCGTATCTTATCATATTAAAAACAGAACTTAATATTGGATCTTTTCTGGTCTCTGATCTAACCATATTTAAGTCAATAACATTTTGTTGTTCTACAAAATGAATGTAATCACACTCTTTTAAATTTATTTCATTTTCACTAAAAGAACTAACAGGCAATCTGGACATACAATCAGCCATTACATTTTCAGAGCCTTTAATATGTTTAAAAATATAATCAAAATTAGCTAAGTATAAAGACCATCGTTGTAGTCTTGCTTTTACATATTGCTGCTAAATGCCCTATCTTCCCACACAATTTACATTTATAGGTCTTATATTTGCATCTTGCAAAAGAGTGATTTGACTTTCCACAGTGAATGCATTTTAAAATAGTTTCCTTAGATGAGTCCTTAGCTTTATCTGGATCATATTTTGAAATTTTAGAATATTGAGGTTTCTTGACTACTTGCACCTTGTTTACAAAACTCTTTTGCCTCTCTTGTAACACTGACTCTTTGGCTAAAGCAATTTCTAATAATTCTGACACATTCCGTGTCGTGGATTCCTCACATAATCTTTCAAAAATTGGACCAAATCTAATACCTGTAACAAATTTGTCCTTGACTCTGTCTTCAAATGTTTTGCCGAAATCACAATCAGCTGCCATTTCTCTTACCCTTGTGTACCACGTCGAAATGTTTTCGTTGTCGTTTTTTGATATTTTGTAGAATAATGTTATAGTTCTATAATAAGAAACTCTTTGTCTAAAGCGTAATTTGAGAGCTTCGCATAGCTCTTTATAGGCTTTTTCTTTTGGTAGCGTAGGGTGAAAAATACTTTTTAACGTTTTGTATGTCTTTTCATCCAAAGACATGAGCAATACTGAAACTTGCTTCGTTTGTTCCACTGCATATGCCACCATGTATTGGTCCATTCGTTCTAAAAAACAGTCAATATCATCTCCTTCTTCAAAATACTTGATTTGCGAGGTATTTGTTCTCGTCGCCATTTTTGTAGTGTCCGGGCCGTCCGTGACACCTTGTGAATAAAATACAATTTTAAAATCAAATAGCCTTTTATATTTCTAAAAAAAACACACCATTTTAACCGTTTTACAAAATTCCTATTTACTGGTTCTTCCATAGATATCCTTTTATTTTTACCATAGACAAATTACTTGTCTATTATAAAATAGACAAGTATACAATATTTTTAATATATATCAAATTATATTTACATTAACAAGGATTAGGCGTGCGACAATCAACATAGCACCGCTACGCACTTAATCTCTGTTCAAAAAGATAACATCGTCAGCGCTATGAATTTTAAGTTAAAGCTTATGTTATGGGTACTAGATAACTGATCAATACGTTTGTTTTTTCGTAAATATATACATATTATATATTGAAAACACCCAGACCGATACATACAGTCATACTCATGAACACAAATGTTTGTGCTGTGCGAGGTATCGAACCCGCGACCATCGGAATGCGGTGTGCTAAACCGCTAGACCACCGAGGCCGTCAAATGATCTTTTCCTGTAATATCACTGCCTAATCTAGACCCTACAACAGACACATAAACAAGCTGCTTGGTGGCTGAAATAAGGAAGACGTGGTAAGACTGAAATAAGCGAACTTTGAAAAGGGGCGAGCACAATAGATCTATGTAGGTCGCAGTGCTACAGGTGCTCAAACATCTGACAATAGCCCAAACAACCCAATAAAAAAAAAGACTGAAGTATCTAGACATAGACCACTATTTATAGTATACCTCTTGTAACTATTGTATTTATTCAATTGTTTTCGATGTCCGTGACAGTGTAGAGGTTTAACAAACTACTTCATAATTAGGTAGCTGGTTCAATCTCTGGCTAGTACCTATCGATTACAGGACACATTGTTATGCAATTCGTAATTTGGAAAAAAATAACACTACGTATTTTGTATGAATGTTTCTACAAATTATATAAAATTTTCCACTTTACATCGTACCATTTTAATTTCATGAAAATCATCACTGGGTTTATATTTAGTACTAGCTGTACCCGCGGTTTCTCCCGTATGCAATTTATAGCTTATGTATTACTCTGGCGAATAAGATATTACTGTAAAGTTTCATCAAAATCCGTTCAGTAGTTTTTGCGTGAAACATCTATTCATACTCACAAACTTTCGCATTTATAATATTAATAATAAGATAAGAGTCTTTACGCATAAGTCTGTGTAAATAAAACATCTGAAATTGTTTACATTTAAATATAAATAAATAAAATAATAAAAATTTTATTTATTTATAGTTATTATTAATATCTCGCGAAATACTAAAAACACCTACTGACGATTTGACAAATATAGGTGGATAAGTAGGTCACTTATTTATATATACTTGAAAGCTGTTTTAAGCAAACTTCTTTTGTGCAACCTGCATAGCAGGTGTCTTAAACATACTGGACATTCAATGTAGGACTGGAAATTTTTCGGTTTTCGCAGAATTAGCAAATAGTTTTTAAATAGTATACAGCATAATTCTCGTTTTAATAAGCGATAAGAAGGTATAAAAACTAACTATGCATGTACGCACTTAATTAAAAGTTTTATTTCCGGCTTTCATGTTTCGCATTAAATGGTAGTAAATTGTAATTATCACATAAAAAGAAAATTAAAGATAATTAATTTAGATAGAAATAATCAAAATAGTATTAGTTGGTATATAATTAACTTACTTTGCGACAGATGGTGTCTCAAAAATTGAACTTCACTGAAACACGCACTTCACATTTGAACACAACCGTATAATAATACGTCCTGCACCTCATTTTCTAAGTACAAAAATTAAAAAAGTCACACTTCTTTTATGCCAAATTAAATGTTTCTTAATCAAACGTTCGAAATTTGAATCCAACTTTCGAAATGAAATGTTTAGTTCTGGGAAATGGCGCGAATAATTTTTAAATCAATTGCCTCACTTAACTGAGCAATTAATCACTGCGTTTTTCTCTTATCAATACCTATAGCGAGACCATAACCGTGACCTAACGTTAATGATTACGTGAAAAAAAGTTATGCAATTCCAATTGGTTGTTAATTAAATTTTTTATTTGAATACTACGCGGCGTAAGTAAAAAGTGTGCCATGCAAATGCGGGCGCCGAGCGGTAGAAGCGTTCATTGCATAATGCCCGACGCGTGTTTACGAAGCGAGCCAAAGGTAGAAACTGAAAGTGGTCTCCCAGCGAGCTTCTTTAACCCCTCCCAGATGCTACACAAGTTAGGTAATGGATGTTATTATCATTAATCCCCTTTTCTTAACTACATATGTATGCAGTAACGGATGTCCGTTGCCTCGATTTTATTTGACATGCTATATTTTTTTAAGTACATAGGAAAGTAAAGTAGGTACATAACTTGGCAAATTGCAAAAGTAGCAGAGGAAATTAGCTCGATTCCTAAATTACATCGAACGTAAAAATAGAATCCAACACGTCCTATGGCGAAGTACCTATGGCATATGCGCTACACACATGCAGATATCCATAGTCATTAGAAAAAACAAAGACTATTGAAAGACCTGTATGTCACTATTCAAAAATAGCCATATATGTGTTTAAATTGTTTATTAATTAAAATGTTTTTTTTCATTTAGGTCATTGTTTTATATTAGCCTAAATAATTAAAAATACTATCGAAGGTCACTATTCCACGCGGACGAAGGCGCAGGCACAGCTAGTATATATGTATATATGACACTTGCCATCAATAGGTTCACAGCATTTAATACTCGATTACACTAATTCCGTAAACTAAACTTTATTCATAAAAATACTTACAATTACATAATATTTTTATGTTGTAGAAACTTTTTTTGTGATAGTTCTTTGTTCATCTTTTTTTACATGTCACACGGATGTTTAAATCATTGTCAATTAGATTTGCTTTACACTTCAATGCGAGAATTCTAATGATTACTTGCTACGAATTCATGATGACGACTGATATTTTTTCTTTTATTTTAGATAATGGTGTATGACTATTCTGCCAGCATTAATGGTATGCTGACAAGACACAAAGAATATTGCTGAAATTATAAAATCAAGTAACTTAAAACATTTTTATATTATTATTTTGCGTGAAAGATGATATGGTAAGAAAGGAAGTAAATAACGAGATGACTCCGAACAGGGATGAATGGATGAGAACATATTACGCCGACCACAAATATATGGGATAAGGAAGAAGCAAATGATGATTTGATATAGTGCATCCGTCCGGAATATGATGGAATAAGGATGTAGTCAGGTCAGGTACCTCATTGTGGCGAATTTACCTGGAATTCCATTACAACTCTTACAATAGATATGGAAATAATCTTTATTCAAATAAGCTTAATATAATCACTATTGAATAGTCATTATTTTTATTATACCACTCATTCGGAACGCAGACTCACAAGAAGAATGAGCAAGAAAGTTGCTTGATCTTTTAATTAAATGTTGTTCACAATTACATTCTTAAGAATTTTATGTGATAATAATTTTCGTAGTTACTGCGACCAGGGCCTCTAGAAGACGATTCTGGACCATCAAAAGAAGGTAATATTCTCTCTCTCTGACATATTACTAACAAGAAGATGAGTTACAGTGATCCAGTTATATCCACCGCCGTTTTTAAACTGGGCTGTGGCCCTTGGGCAGTCAAGAATTCGGGGCCCTTTTGGAAAGTAAAAAAAAATAAGCTCATTAGGTAAGAACATAGGAATAGGCGAAGTAATCGGTATAATGGCGTAGTACATACCTTGTGATACCTTCTGATAACATTTGTTAAAAAAGTGTAGTGTGCCCGACAAAAATCTTTTGAGAATAAATGTGTGAGAAAAATTGACAGTCCTTCGGGGGCCCCCTGAGAATGGAGGGCCTGGACACGGGTCCTGTGTGCCCTTATGATAAAGACGGTATTGGTTCTATCGCGTCTTTGTCTGGAATTTAATAATAATAATTCAATCTCAAATATTGAACTGTTACAATTTCTGCTTATAATAAAATCAAATACTGAGATGGCAGTAAGTTCATCCTCTCTGATAGCCCTCCCTTCGATCGATCCCCGTCAAACTCAAGCGGGGATCGAAATTAAGACGGCGTGAGCCGAAGTTCGAACCCCTAGCGGTGCACTCAGACTAAAGTCGTATCCTACGGGCAGGAGTTGGCCTTCTGGTCCATAAGTTCTTCCGTAGGTTTGGAGTGGCATTTGCACTCGCTCCCTATCACTAGTGAAGCTGTAAAGGCCAGCTGCGGCCAACAGCATTACAGTAATTAAAAAAAAAACTTCTACTATTCTGTTAGGTCAAATTATGACAAAAATCAACTAAGATTAACTAAGGATGTCAATAAAAAACATAGTATTCAATATAACATTTTATTTGTCGAATTGTTTGACAAAAAATATCTCTATACTTATCCGGACAGATAAATAATATCTTATTTACACTATATCGTGACGGGATTAAATCATAAATCACATTTCGATCTTACTTATATTCGGTTTAGTAGAAGTTACCAATTGTCTTATCTTAGGTCCGTATGTCTCATCCGAAATTACCTGATTAAAGCATTAATTCTAGATTATTCTAGAATACATCTATTGTCGGATTACATTATGTATAGCATGCTTAGTACAAAATGTATTAACTTAATAAATACTAACTTTGGAAATTAGACTTTAATTAATAAGCTTTAGAGTCGAATTTCCAAAATGTGTAATGATTGAGTTAATCCAGTATGCTATTAAGTGTGCGTTAGGTAAACTTTTTAAAATACTATTTTACATATGACTAGTTCGCTTACATATAATATGAACAGTTACATCTGTGCATTGCTACATTAACTTTTACACCCCTATGAGTATACACAATTCAATCACCGGCTCCAATTTGAATAAATTTCTGTTTTCAATCATTCCAGCCTTTTAAATTCGTGTGTGACAAAATGCTGTTCGAGCATACGAGCAATAAAATCTAATGATTAGTTAGTAATGCAGCTGGCAACAGTAGAATGCCTTTATGGTCAAATAAGTAACTTGCCATTCCTTTGCTGTAGAAAGTATACTTAAGTTAATTACCTGACTCCGATTTTGAACAAATTTCTGTTTTCAATCTTTCCAGCCTTTTAAATTCGTTTGCGTCAAAATGTTGTTCAAATAAAAACTAAGGATTAGTTATTAATACAGTTGGCAACGGTAAAATGTCTTTATGGTCAAATAAGTAAATGCTTTTCCTTTGCTGTAGAGTGTATACTTGAATAAACAAAGAAATTTACATTTTTTGTCTATTCTATAGTTCGTGTCAAATAAAATATATAAAAATATATGTCAAATATCAATACCGTCTTGCAATTATTAAGTGTGCGTTATATAATTTTTTACAATACTTTTTTACATATATCTAGTTCGCTTACATATATTATGAACAGTTGTCATATCTATTCATTGATACAATAAGGTTTACCGCGTACATATACGTCGCCCCCCATATACGTCGGCTCCAATTTGAACAAATTTCTGTTTCGTTCTTAACAAATGGATTTATTTGCGTCAAAATGTTGTTCGAGCATACGAGCAATAAAAACTAATCATTAGTTAGTACTGCGGTAACTGCGGCAACGGTAGAATGTTTTTATGGTCAAATAAATACCATGCCATTCTTTTGCTGTAGAGAGTATACTTAACATAAACTATAGAAAAAACAAAAAAAATATTTTTTGTCTTTTCTATAGTTTGTGTCAAATAAAATATATGGCAAGATAAGAAAATATTATAAAAGAAGTCTGTGGCCAACAATTAGGACCCATTTTGGAAACCGCCCTGGTTAATTCCTGTTGAATTCGTAATTTATTTATTTATTTATTACATAAAAGTACTGAACTGGTCTGGCTCATACTCAAGATATCATCCTCCAGTAGACCAGTTTACTGTTAGCATAGGGTGCATGATTCCACACTCATCTATTTAAAAAAAAAGTATATATATATTTATACTGGGAAAGGGGAGTAAGCATCGTCATATAAAATAGCTACCAATAGCCTCTCTTGTTAATACAATACAATACTAATACAATACTACGGGATAATTCGCGTAGCAGTAAGCTAGCTATAAAATGATACATGACATAGCAAATAAGATGATATAAACAATTTTACAAGTCATACTTGAAAACTGTGATTGCTTGTATTTTTACCAATCTACGACAATTCAAAAACAATGGTTCCTTTCTACTCAGTTCGTTTATAGTCCATTTATTTGGTTAATATAATATTATACGTATAATTAGTAAAAATCACGGGATCTTACCACGTTTTATATATATTTGCTGAGTTCCCGATATTTCGGCAGTGTTTCAACCACCATGATCCGTAAGCCGTAAAGATTACCCATGATCATGCTGGTTGACACACTGCCGAAATATCGGGAACTCAGGTATATACTAATCATACGTATAAATAATGACCGCTTCAAATGTAAAAAGTAAATATTATATTAATCATTGAAAAATAAAAATAAAACGTAATGAATTAATTAATATAAAAACCTTTTTGTTATGCATATTTAAATTATAAACTCTATATTCAAAAGTCAATATTGTTTACCAAACAACAATTGTATTTGTATTAAAGATGTGTAGGACTGTCCAACACAAATGTACGAACTATAATATTTTGTTGTGTTATTTAGCATAAGCATAATGTTATAGCTACATTTGCATTAATATTTTATAAAAAAAAAAACATCAGGCATACTAGCTTTAGAATAACTTGATACGTACATTAATAAAGGTTAATATATTTTGGCACTGACGAGTATCTCTATAAAGAAAAATTTTATATGACAAATTATCATTTTTATATAACGAAATAAAAGCTTTTATTAATAAATATTATGAACAGCAACTGCATCTATTGACAAAAAATGTAAAAACTCTTGTGTATTAAATCAATATCCTTTTTAGGGCACTATTATAATAATAAAAGTAAACAAACAAAATCCATAACACAATTATTTAGATTGTATTTTAGCCGCATTCGCACGCTTGGCAAACCTCAACAAGTATTAAGTAACCAGATTAAGTTAATACAGTTTGATTTGGTTTTTATAAGGTTACAAACGCTTGAAGCCGTTTCTTTATAGCATAGGGGATTGTGGCACACCTAGTAGTAAGTGATTAGCACCGTCCATTCGAGTATCCTTTTCATCACAAATCAAAGTGAATTTGTAGCAAACATTTGAAACGTGTTCACGCAAGCGCCAAACGTACGATTGCGGTATACCCATTGTCATACCACGTGTTTGTTTATGTAGAATTGACAACAGCCAATTTCGAAAATAATATTTATGTTCCTGGATAATATTTTGTATTAACTAAATATACATACATACAATTTATTTGTATACTGCGATATATCCTCTAAAAAAATATCTCAATATATTATAAGATATTTTTTTAAATTGATATTTGAATTACATAATCAAATAGCGTGTGTTGATAAGTGTTACTAAGCTTTCAGAGATCGGAATAACTAAAATCATAAGCATGTCACCTGAATGTATATGTATATATAGCTCATTTAATGTAAAATGTATATTTTTATATGATATTTAAAAATATTATACTTCACATTTTGTTTCTACAGTTGTACGTGAACCAGGTACACTATATATGTACAATTCAAAAGATATTTTTACAAAAATACAGTTGAAAAAATAAACATCATTTTATTTGTTTCTGGGTGAAATATAATTTCGAAAATAAATAATTTTTATTTAATAAAAATATGATATTAGTAGTCAGGTAGTATGTTACAATTTATGTATTACATAATATTATTTCAAGGCATATAATTTCTGTACAAATAAGAAAACATAAAATTAAAGACATTATTTTATTTTAGGAAATGTCGCTAACCCATGAAAATAAAATGTTAAACAATCAATAAGATAATTTTTCAAAGTTAGAACATTGGACAATTCAGTTTTTTTTATTTAGTCTCCAAGAAACAATAGGACTTCATGAATTAAAAATTTAAGATAAATTTTCAGGCACAGGGATTCTTTTTATAATACTATATACAAGATAAAAATAATTTTATAATCATTAGTGACCTCAAATTATATTCAGACTTAAAGGGATCGCGACACTTAACATATTCTTAAAAATAAAAATTCTAATATTTACATATTTCTAAGTAATTTATATAATTCTCTCTATCATTATATTTGACTAGAATAACTTTAAGAAGTTTGTATTTTTATGATATGACCATTTAATAAAAATATGCGTTATAACTACCCTCGTAAGGGATCTGCCGTGAAGAAAAATAGACATAAAGGTAGATAATGTTATGTATTATATAAACATAAAAAATATGTGCGTTTCTTTATATATACTTAAACAAAAACTGCGTCAAGCCCTCATTTGTACACGCGAAAATATTTGCCGCGACGAACGCTCGGTCAAGGAGACAGACAAAGAAAGATAGATAAAATAAATATAGATACAGATAGATAAAAATACAAGATCTATTATTTATATGTATAATACAGCGTACGGGGCAAAATTTGGCATGTCTAATGAGAGCCAAGTGCCTACGTAGGCACGCACAAGAATCGATTTATTACAATATCAGTTCTTTATACAGCTACGGGGCTACGTCAGCTAGTTAGCTAATTATGTTATTGTTTCTTATACGTACCGGTATCCATTCATTATAGAAATTGTCGTTACGTCCTTTTAATTTTAGTGATTAGTGACTTGGACCTCAACTCTATGACCCTAAAGGGCCGAACACCGACATGGCATGTATTACGACATACTCCTAAATGCATTGCAATACCCCACAACATAAGCGTATTGTAGAATGCAAGTCCCATTTTGCTATGGAAAGCTTTAAAAAATTCGCTCGTATAAAAATCCCGGACTCAAGTCTTAGGACAAAACCACACTTTTCATATAAAGATAGAAAAGTAAACCTCATTCAAATTGCTTTCTTTTAACAAATATGTAATATTGAAAAATCGATAGTATAGGAATATCGATCTTTCAATATTACATTTTTCCCGGGTAAATACGTATAGGTGGCAACCCTAAATAGGCTTCACATGAATTACTATACTCAGGCATAGATTTAAATAAATCGACAGATCACCACAAGTTTAAAAAAACAGGACATACTTTCCAAGTTACGTTTAAAAGAGAAACAAACGGTGACTCCGTAGGCCTTTAAAAATAAGAGGACAGATTTTCTGAGTAAAATATGTTTGCCATTTAAGGAGAACCAACCTGCGCCCGCACTATTATATATATACATTAATATTAAACCTATGTTATTATCACAACGTTCCTATATGATTCTTTTTCTTTTTGCTTCGATATATTTCCACAATATAATTATAATTTGAGCCATTTTATTTTCATATACTTGTTATGAACACATACGGACTCTCTCGTCGGTAATTCCTAAACATTTTAAAGGAGAAGAGTTTCTGTCCATAGAAAGGTTTATATGTATCCAGTTTTGTGACCTATTAACGCTTACATTGAAGGATTCAACTAATTATTTATATAGATAACCGGGTCTTAACATGAATAATTTTATGGTAAATAAAGCATCTCCATGATTCGACCTTTAATTACCATAAAATAGACACTATTAAATTAGGAAATTAAAAAATAACCATTCAATTAATTGTCATGAAATACATTCATTAAAAATAAAACATATATAAAAAATAAAGTTTACAATCATATCTTAGTGAGTGTATTTTATCACTCATTGAAATTAAGAATTGGTTTTTTGGTTTTACGAAACTCTTCTCCGTAGCTCATTGAAATTATTTACAGCCGTCAATTCGTTTGTTTATATAGATACGTCACGATTCGATCTTAATAACATACATATACGTATATATTTCTACGTTTTTTTAAAGTACCACGGAACATAATTAATAGGAATTTTATTATAAACGGGGTCGTCAAGAGTTTGTCAAGTGTTTTTAGCAAACGTAACACTTGACATGTCTGTACTTCGATTGGTATATCTAGTACAACGTTTTACTAGTTATTTTTCAGTTTGATACCTTAAGCTATGTTTATAAGACCGAAGTTTAAATTTCTAGTGAGGTTCCAACACCTAGGTGCGCTCAGACTTAGGTCGTATCTAAGCAGAAGTTGGTTTAGAGAGCTATCTTGCCAATTTTATTTCGTCCACTACAGCTATAGAAGTCAGATGCAATCAAAAGCGTTACAATTGAAAACAAAGAATTATATGAGTGTTCCGTGGCCTTACAAAGTTTAGAAAACGTTGGTATACTATATCAATCGCTATAAACTCGAAATCGTAATTATTACATAAGCAAATATTCGTTGTAAATTTGACTGTTTTTTTCTTTATTTTCAGGATTTACCGTGACGCAATTCAGGTAAATATACCTATATAGATTATTAATGAAATTAATTTAAATATATATATATTAAACGCAAAACTATTATATATATAACATGGCAAAGGATCTGCAAATGATTAGTAGTTTTGCTTGAATAGCTTGTTAGAGAAATTGAATAACGCAGATTATGTATTATTTCTACATAGACTAATTTGGGGTTTCTAATTCTAAAGAATCGAATACTCGTTATATAATCAACTATATATTATATGACTATAAAGGTCAGTACACACCTCGCTTGTTCGCCTTGATTACTTGCGAGTTGCGAGTCTCGTAGCATTTGTGTAGATATGTGCAAACCTTTATACTCAAATTCTAAGTGTCTATTGTCCTCATATAATAAACTACAATTTTTTTAAATGGTGTCATCGAATCTAGAGGATGAATAGCATAAGTAATTTACATAATATAGCAGGAATAGTATTTTTTATAAGTCATTGCATTACTTTGGAGTGTCTATTTATAAGCATTATTTATAATTCAATTTCAGCTATAATTAGCAAAATTATAAGTCTATAGAAATTAAAAAGATTTTAGTATACAACACTATTATCTAAAAACTTCTCTCAGTCATATTTTTATAAATTATATAGCACATATTTTGATGAGATGATTAACATCCATAATGCCAATAGGCATGGGTATCACGATATTAAAATCGATAATCGATGAATCGATTTTCGTGCTCGATTAACGAAATAGATTAATCGATCAGTCGAGACGTACTCATTTAAAAGCACAATACGGATTTTAAGCGCTGAATAATGACTATGAATCTAAAATATGAAATTGTTTGAAACCAACTTCATTTATACACAATCAACTATATTTTTTATACTATATTCTCTTTGGTGTGTATATTATTTTCTTTTAAAGGATGTGTTATTCTAAGAAATATAGATTAAGACTAAGAAAGAAAGCTAAATTCGATAGTTAAAGATATATACAAGGATACGATAGAAACAAGCGAACGTATGACAAGAACACCAAATTTCCTTGTTAAAGAAGTGATCGTAGATCTAGTAAAGAAAGGACATATGAATGAACTGATTAATTCAAATACAAATACTTTCAGAGAACACATCCAAAAAGTGACGTCAATATATATATTTAAAGTCACACTAGCTGCCTACTGCACTGTTTGCATTGATATAAATAAAATAAATAAGCCTGGACAATTACCGCGAGAGCACCAGAGCCATCGGAGTCATTCTAATATTGATATAAATATGAGTTTTAATTTATACTACAATACATTTAGTTATTCAATAGGTTTCAATTGCTTGAAAGGCACGATTCTACTGTACTAAGTCCTAACCAGAATTTAGTAAACAATTACAATAGATATATATACTTTATCTATTCTCCGCGTCCTATTATATTATTTAGTTATTATAATAGAAACAACCATTTGATAAGTGTAAGCAATTAAAAGGCTATTAATTACTAAGTCTAGTATATATTACTCACTACTACTTTTAATCTGTCAAATAATATATCATATAATAAAATAAGATATATAATATAATAAAATCAGAACATTTCAGCCAAACAGAGTAATAGTATTGTTTTTTTAAGAGTCAGATTAAGATTTTCAAAAATTTCATTATTACCAAATAGTTTAAATACTAATATTTGTTGTACTATAAATACATATATTGTATTTATTTTAAGTTGAAATAACTAAACAAACACTTTAATAACATTGCTAATCATCGGTAACGATCATGTCTAACAACTTCCTATGAGCAATATATAAAATATTAATACATTATTTAATCTATGTAAAAATTGTAACGAATACGTTCTAAAATCGACTCAAATAGCTGTTTTGCTAATCATAGGCGCTTTGATAAAATCCGTATTGTGCTTGAATATAGTTCTAACCTAATGTTGCATTGCCTTGACCCCGTGCATGGTGAGGAAGCCGTGGAGATCCCGGGGTACTTGCGAGGGGTTGTACTTAGCTCCGTGCATGGCTAATGTAGTCGCTGCCAGACACGACAGTCGAGGACTCAGTGCTGACCGGACGAGGTTTTCCGCTGGACCTGGTAAATTTTAATTTATTTGTTAAGAAGACAAACAAGGAAAACTGTATAAAGTCATTTGCATTAATAATAATATGCCATCAATTTTTATTTACAAACTGATCCTCCTATTTATGTAATTGGTACAGCATAGTGATATATACACGATGGTAGGCTCTTCCAATTCAATTGTATTCAATTTATATTGCAATACATTAATTATTATAAATATGCAAATGACAGAATAATATTCCTTTTCAAGCTCAAGGAGATTAAAGGTCAACTAGGAGATTAATGCACAATAAACCAGCGGACGTAATTTTCAAAATAAAATCCCATACTGACAAAGGCTTTTTGACTATGTTACATAATCTAGTAACCGTTGCCATGTCTTAGGGATATATTTTATTTTTCAAAGTGTGAAAATATGAGTATCAGGTCTGGTCAGTTATGGCAAATTGACGAGGAATTTAACATGGTGATTTCCAGAAGGAACCGTGTGGAGATCAACTTGGCTATGTTATAATTTTTTTTATGAATGATAAACCCGTCTCTGTAATGGTTTACGCTGGCGGGGCAATAGTGGAGGATAATAAAATGAGCATGAAGTCAGGTTAGTTAACCCGTCGTGGCAAATGGCACTTTACCACGATAGTTTCCAAGGGTTATATTAGTCCACATTACTAATAATCCTCTTCTCCTATAGCTATGTTATATTATAGTTAGGGGTTTAAAAGTAGTGTAAGAATTTGTTGAGAACAATATCGTGATCTTACTTCCAATAGAAGCCACGAGGGGAGTGATGCCGTCAGCATCCATTGCGTCCACGTGCGCGCCGCGTCCGAGTAATTCGCACACCGCGCCGCATACCGCTTCGCTGCCTTGCTCACGTTCGTCTGCACATACAAACACATACACATGTCACCTCTAATTTACATTGTCAAACTACTGGTATATGCTTCCCAACATATGTCACCTCTAATTTATATTATCAAACTGCTGAGTCTACTTTCCGAATGAGTGATAGAACTTTTTATTATTTTTTTTTGCTCCACCACTTATTCAGAATACAGACACATCACAAGAAGAAAGAAACTTGCATGTTGCTCCTTTAAAATTTTAAATAGATATTTATCAAAAGTCATGACAGAAGAAATTTGTATTTACGTATAAGAATTATAAACAATGGCAATCAAATTGCAAATATTCAAACCTGGCGTTATTTGATACGATATAAGTGCGACGTGAAGTGCGGTCCTTCTTAAGTCGTCTGCTGCATCTATTTCTAAACCGCACTCCAGCAGTAGCCTTAGCGACCTTGTGCAGGGAAATCTGTGGGAAGAGGCATAATATTACTAACTAATTAACAAAATATGGCTGTAGTAATCTTATATACGATTGAAGTGTATAATCTTCTAAAAGATTTTGGCCTGTCTAGACAGGGTTAGCTCTAGAGCTGCAGTAAGTTCTATACTAGAACGTGTATCTAAAACTGCACTAGCAGGCTCCAGATTTGGCTAAGCAGGGAGAGAAACTCGAGCGGTGAAGGTGAGTGTAGACGTACGTCGGTAAAGAGGCCCCTTAAATGTACACCCGGGTCACAAGTCACCGGGACTTGTAACCCGGGTGTACATTTAAGGGTAATTTGAACTGTAGAGCTATACTGTAAACATCACTTACGAATTCGAAAGCGAAATCCTCGGTGAGATTGTACATTGGTATTCTGTAAAACTCGATAGCAACTATAGTGCCTCACGCTCGAGAGCGGGTTGGAGGTAAAACAGGCACTAGTGTTTTTTTTTTAATAAAGGCAAACTCTATAGTTCGGCACGAACGTTATAATTGACAAATGGATACGAGTGCCTTGAGGGAAATGAGTTGATAAAACGCTTACCAATACTGCTCGGAGTTTCCCACTCGGCCACAAAATGGACCCGGCACCCTACAGTGATTCCATGGAATGCTAAGAAGTTCGTCTCTCTAACATATATTATATACGTACTGACAGACGTCGCTGGTGTGGAAGTCATCTACGGGCGTCCGCCTGTCGGCCGCCAAATGCAACAACGTCTGTCCGGAGCGCAGTCGGGTATTCCTTAAACCGAATATCGCTCGGCGGATCGAACTTGCTGTTTCATCCTAAAATAATAATAAATAAAATTATAAATATTCTAATACGTATTAACTAAAGAGATTGTCAATTCTGTTATAAGGGCAGTCGGCCGAAAAAGAGATCGATAGAAGCGCAAAACATACGCCGAACCCACACGTTATGGTATAAGAAACTCAAAAAATGGAAAAGAACTCCTTAAATTGTCGTATAACGCCATGTAGTCCTAAAAAAGTGTAGACAGTGGGTGGTAAAAAAATTATGGACATACATAAACATTTATACTATATTCTAGGAGATAGTCCGAAGATATCACATTTTTTAAAGAACAAAAGAGTTTGCTGTACTGTTGGTAAGTGATTACCGCCGCCCATGAGCACCCGCAACACCAAGGAAACTGCGTTGCCCGTATTTTAAAAAGGAATAAGCTATTTTCGTGAAGGTTTCAATATAGTATCGAAAATACCTTTGCTGGGTACAGTACATACGTACCACTCCCTAGGATTGACATGTGTCAATCCTAGGGAATGGTACGTATGTACGTATAATGATATGGGCGTTAGATACCGATATCATGTCTGTAGATGTAGTAAGATCATCATCAGATGGACTGCCAGTTTGTATTTCCAATTACATAAAAAAAGAAAAAATAACTATACATACCTCATTATTTTTATTGTCCAGCAATCTGGCTGCGACGGCGACCAGATACAGGGCAGTTCTTACGTTACTCTCGTACTCCTCCTGCAACACCAGAGGGCGCACCAAACTCTTCGCGTCAATACACGTGACAAACAGTACTGCGTTACAGTGACGGTGTTAGTAATTTATGTACGAACAGCACTATAGTCAAATTCTTACATGGAATTTATGAAACGATTTTTTTAGGGTTGTTGTAAGTCTAACGTGTCAATTTTATTTTTTTATTTCAGGCAAATTAATATTGTTACATAACAATATTGGCCCATATATACCTTAAGGACTAACATATATAGAAAATAAATGTGTATGTCTGTGGCTTTATAGATATAAACTGACGTGATTGAGATAGCTTAGCTTATTTGTAAAGTTCTGTACAGGTGTTTCAAGAGTATCAACATTTTCTAGTCGACGAAAGAATTTCATCAACTTATAAAGTTGTTAATGAGTTTATTTTGTTATTTTTATCTTATTTATTATTTCTAGTTTAGGCTACAATATTTATGTTTGTAAAGTTGTGTTTCATGTGAACAATTTTTTTTTATATTAAAAATTTAACACCCTTACTTCGTCACAAATCGTTCCATTCTTTAAACATAAAATTTCGACTACAGTAATGGTCAGTTAAGCAATGAAAAAATACTATATTAATTACTACACGGGTAGGTGCTTATATAGAATAAAACACACTAAACTACTGCTAATAATATAAACGTAAAAGTATTCGTCGGTTTGTTGCCTTTAAACTACTAAACGGCTGAATTGTTTATAATGAAATTTGACGTGAGAGAAATTGTATCACATACATAAGGCTATTTTTTATGTAACAAAAACAGACAAAGTCATGGGAATTATCTAGTCAAATATTAGTTATTTATGCTTTTTATTGCACCAAATACAGAAAATTATTAAAAATATAAAATATACATCAACATACAAAACATCATGATACAAAAGGCGGTCTCATCGCCAAGCAATCTCTTCCAGACTATCTTGAGTGGCGTAAAGTATATGGTCATATAAACCTTAGATGCCACAGATAAGTAAATACTATCCAATGTATTCGATTATATTTCGATATCGATTCTATTAAACTCGATTTATTCATGTCAAAAGTCAATTTTGACACGTTACATCCCGGGTAAATAAACGCACCCGGTACAACTTAAAGAAAAAATACATGCAAAGCGGCGAGCTAAAGCTAGTCAAACAATATAGCGAAAAGGCGAATGACAATGCGACTAAATGACATTAAATAGCGTATATGGGACTTACTATTAACGAGTCCGGGTCGTGGTTTATTTGCGGCTTTTCCAGCTTCTTTAGACCCCTCCTTAATTCCTCTGCGCATGCTTCTAATACGTAACCAACCTGATCAACAATAAAAAAAACTTTGGATACAACGATTATCTATACTAAAATTATAGAAGAGTTAGTCTTGTTGGAAGTATAATGCTGGCCATCTATATATTTTTATAGAATATATCACTTTGAATATCTCAGGAATTTTTCTAATGTCAACAAGTAAATTTTATCATTTTAATATATTTTAATATTTAATCTGATTTCTCTTATTTCCAAAAAATCTTCATTCCAATAAACTGAATATAGGCACTCTATAATAGTCATATTTTATTATACCAGTCATATAGCACTCACCACAAGAAGAATAATAAAGTAAGTTGCGTGCTCCTCTTAATATTAAATAAATATTGATCAGCATTACATTTTTAAGATTTTGTGTGAGTACAATTAATACTGTTTTTTTTTTATTCTATCACTCATACGGAACATAAACTCGTCACAATAAGAATAAGCAAGAAACTTGCGTGTTGCTCTTTAAAGTAAACGTTATTCAATATTACATTTTTATGATTGTATGTGAATACAAACTGCCAAATAGCAAATTTGACATAAATAAATAGTTACTTGAGTAACAATTAATCAGTCATAGTTATCGGAACAGACCACTCAGTATAAAGAGCAAGGATTTACCACTTAACGAAGTAAATAAATTACAGAACCACGGCACCGATTATAATACAAAAAGCGAATGTAATGCTAGAGGCATCATGTTCATATTATATATCGTCATATTGTTATATAGTTTTTGATAGAATAATATTTTTATACTTACCTGTAGTAACGGTAGTTCTATTCCTATGTGAATCATCTGTGAGAATACTTGAGCAAATCTGAGTAGGTCCTTCACAACTGATACCTGTGAACATAAATATATTATTCGTGAATTTCAAAAGTAGTAAGGCTATCTATCGATAGTATCATTCTAATTACTAACAATCCCCTCCCCTCTGTCGCCAGGATTTAGTAGTCGACAGTTAGGTGTCGCACCAGGTCGTGCAGGCGTAGTAATAATTTCGTGTCTCCAGAGAGATATATATTTATCGGGACTAAGGATTGTACGTACTCGACTACGCTGCCGTAGCAGCAATCAGCTTCGCCAGAAACTCGAAACTCTATCTAGTTCCAGCGCAGTTGCAATCAGTGTCGGTATGAGTCGATTGTCTCTGCAGCAGTCAGCGCTACTAGAAACTCGGCCGGGACTTGTAACTCTACATAGTTCTAGTGCAGTCACATTCCTTACCATCAGTGGAGAGTGCGAATCTATACCTGGTGGTGCTGCCGCTGCCGTGTCTGCGAACACGGCGCCGGTGAGGAGTGCGGGTTCGTACCTGGTTGTGTTGCCGTAGATGCAGCGCGTGCCGCCAGAGCGCGAGGCAGCGGTCGAAGCGCGCCTCGTCTGCGAACACGGCGCCGGTGAGGAGTGCGGGTTCGTACCTGGTTGTGTTGCCGTAGATGCAGCGCGTGCCGCCAGAGCGCGAGGCAGCGGTCGAAGCGCGCCTCGTCTGCGAACACGGCGCCGGTGAGGAGTGCGGGTTCGTACCTGGTTGTGTTGCCGTAGATGCAGCGCGTGCCGCCAGAGCGCGAGGCAGCGGTCGAAGCGCGCCTCGTCTGCGAACACGGCGCCGGTGAGGAGTGCGGGTTCGTACCTGGTTGTGTTGCCGTAGATGCAGCGCGTGCCGCCAGAGCGCGAGGCAGCGGTCGAAGCGCGCCTCGTCTGCGAACACGGCGCCGGTGAGGAGTGCGGGTTCGTACCTGGTTGTGTTGCCGTAGATGCAGCGCGTGCCGCCAGAGCGCGAGGCAGCGGTCGAAGCGCGCCTCGTCTGCGAACACGGCGCCGGTGAGGAGTGCGGGTTCGTACCTGGTTGTGTTGCCGTAGATGCAGCGCGTGCCGCCAGAGCGCGAGGCAGCGGTCGAAGCGCGCCTCGTCTGCGAACACGGCGCCGGTGAGGAGTGCGGGTTCGTACCTGGTTGTGTTGCCGTAGATGCAGCGCGTGCCGCCAGAGCGCGCGCGGCAGCGGTCGAAGCGCGCCTCGTCTGCGAACACGGCGCCGGTGAGGAGTGCGGGTTCGTACCTGGTTGTGTTGCCGTAGATGCAGCGCGTGCCGCCAGAGCGCGAGGCAGCGGTCGAAGCGCGCCTCGTCTGCGAACACGGCGCCGGTGAGGAGTGCGGGTTCGTACCTGGTTGTGTTGCCGTAGATGCAGCGCGTGCCGCCAGAGCGCGAGGCAGCGGTCGAAGCGCGCCTCGTCTGCGAACACGGCGCCGCGGAACACGACCGGGTGCGGCAGGTCGGGGCTGCCGCGGCCCAGCACGCGCTCGCGCACCGCCAGCCCCTCCATGTGCAGCGCGTGCGCCTGCCCGTGCAGACGCTCCACCTCCTGCAAACACACCCCTCTCGTAACCACATTCACAGCCCTGTTACCCTAGTGGCTTACTCACTTGTACTTCAAAACCTCATGGCCTAGTGAGGACAACGTAATGCATAGTCTCGCTTCACCTCCTACAACCACACTGCGCTCGTAACCACATTCACTCACAATCTCGCCCCTGCAAATACACTCCACTCGTAATCAGTCTCGCGCCACCCACTACGACCACACTCCACTTGTACTCAAATTGAAAGCCTTATGGCCTAGTAAAGATACTCCGCTCGTAACCACATTCACAGCTCTGTTACCCTAGAGGTTTACTCATTTATACTCATTTGTACATGTAGAGCCTTCAAATCCCCATGGCATAGTGAGGACACTCCACTCGTAATCACATTCACAGTCTTGAACCACCTCCTGCACATACACCCCACTCCTAACCACAATCATAGCCTCAGGGCCTAATGAGGACACTGCACTCGTACTTCACAGCCTAGTGGTTTACTAACTAGGATAGAGATTGAAATAAACTTAATTTATTTAACATAATGTATTTATAAAGTTTTTTAAAGGACTCTTGACCTCTTAGGTACACCTAAAGTTAAATAAATTAAGTTTATTTCAATCTCTATTCTAATAAAGGTAACATAAGCACATTTGAATAGTTCTTTTTTTACTCTACCGCTTATTCGGAAAGCACACAATCATACTCATGAATACATATGTTTGCATCGTACGAGTAATCGAACTCGCGACCACTACAAATAAGACTATGTGCTAAACCGCTAAAGCCCGAGGCCTTTCAATATAAAACTACAAATACACACCTCTAAAGTAGTACTTTCCCTCCAATTATCGTACGCAGGGATTGGCTCCGCCGGCTTCTTCAGCATCAGTCCATAGCGGGTGTCGTACCGCATCGCCATCGCTCTGTGTAGGTATTGATATGCCATCTGCATAAAAAATATAATCTATATTTTATTACACATAGACTCTTTATTGTATACCAGACTATACTATTTACATTAAAATATAATCTATAATTTGTTAACACTAGTAGACTCTCGAAGATTGAATACGTGCAATATATCTGAGATTAAATAACGATTGTAAAGATCATAGGTGCTAACTTCGCTTATTTTCTGATGGTTGATTTTACTTATGTATTACAAAATACCATGAAAAATTAATACTCAGTACTCACTGATGCCCATAGGACGGGCAGTCGTAGGAGGAGCAAATACATTTGTTTCTTACGTTCAATACCAGTTGGCGAAATTACAAAATTTACAAAAAGCTGACCCGCGCTATTTCGTCTGCTTCACACTTTCATGATATTTATCATTACCTATATTTCGGTCAATTTGCATAATATCTTTTAAAATTATAGCCTATGTGTTATTCTGGTGTATAATCTATATTACTGTCAATTCTCATCACAATCCGTTCAGTAGTTTGTAGTGAAAGAGTGACATACGACCTTACTTTCGCATTTATAGTATTATTAAGATAAGGATTAAGATTAAGATAATATAAGAACATACCCTGAGACAGTAGTACTCCTTGTCGTTGGCGAAGGAGGCCCCGAGCAGCTCGTAGGCCTCGATGGCCTGCGCGCGCGACACGTCGGGCCGCGCCGCCAGCACCTCCACCACCGACGCGCGCGCGCGCTCCGCCGCGCACTGCAGCGGCGTCATACCTTCGCAACACCACACTTATCGTTACTGTTCATCATCTCGTGGTAGGAGCATCGCGATCTAGTAATATACTATCTCCACCTATGTATTTACTAATCCAAATATCTTTAATACCAAAATATTCTGGCTGAACAACTATTACAGCAACACTACCCTAAGCGCCTAAAAGAAAGCGATATTATGTAACAATTCGCAGTAAAGAGTAAAAAACATCCATCCAACCATCCACAGTCACAAACTTCCACGTCTATAGTTTTAGTAAGATCATAGGTCATGTAAAGTTGTTACAAAAAATATATTGCAAAGTACTAAGTTCTACTCCAAGAGCATACAATAAACAACTTAAATCAAAAGGAGTTCGAATCTGGCCCATACAAAAAAATTTGTACATCAAGTTACATTTCTGACTGATTGTAAGCTTTAAAATATACTAGCTAACCCTCGCAACTTTCTCTGCAACACAATTATCATTATATATCACACAATTTACATAATATCTTTTTAAATTATACCCTATGTGTTATTCTGATATTTAAGCTATGTTACTGTAAAGTTTCATCAAAATCTGTTCAGCAGTTTTTGTGTGAAAGAGTATCAAAGATCCATCCATACTTACAAACTTTCGCATTTATAATATTAGTAAGATTGGAATAGCAAACAAGCTGACGGCCCACCCGATACCAACCGTTGCCTTTATACCTGAACAGCACCATAGACTAGTTATCGACTTAATCAGTTTAATTTGTTTCATGTTTCAAGAACAGTAGAAAAATGAATGAGATAGAAACCGATACTGAAATTAGAATAACTAGTGGACCTACAGGAAAACATACCGTTTTCATTAGTGAGCATCTTGGCGTGGTGGTCTATGAGTGCGCAGACGACTGCAGCGTGACCGCACTCGGCTGCGAAGTGCAGCGCAGTGGCGCCGCATAGAGCACGCTCGTCTACGCGCGCACCCATGTCTAGCAGAAACTGGACCTGGGGTAATATTTATTTATTTATATCTTTTTATGTCTAGTTGAAACTGGACCTGGGGTAATATTCGTTTATTAATATTATTTTATGTCTACTTGAAACTGGACCTGGGGTAATATTTATTTATTAATATCTTTTTATGTCTAGTTGAAACTGGACCTGGGGTAATATTTATTTATTTATATCTTTTTATGTCTAGTTGAAACTGGACCTGGGGTAATATTTATTTATTTATATCTTTTTATGTCTAGTTGAAACTGGACCTGGGGTAATATTCGTTTATTAATATCATTTTATGTCTAGTTCAAACTGGACCTGGGGTAATATTTATTTATTCATATCTTTTTATGTCTAGTTGAAACTGGACCTGGGGTAACATTTCTTAATTATTCTCTTTTTTCTGGAGTAACTTCGCATGCGACATTTTACAGTCTACCTCAATTGAAGTTTATTAATTTAACTAAACATTTTTTTTAATAGCTTCTGCGAATTCGAGTTCGACGTTCGTCTGACTATATACGTACTTTTTTCCATGCAAGCGACTTTGCACAAAAGTCGTATAGGAAGTCTTAGACATAGATTTATATACACGTATTACTGCTACAATTTACTATCTTCGCATAAAAAAAATCAACTCACCACATCTAAATGTCCTTTATATGCGGCTATCATTAAACATGTATTATTATATTTGTTCGCCTTATGTATATCGGCTCCATGTCGAACCAGGTACTGGACAATATCGAGGCGGCCGTCGAAGCAGGCGGCGCGGAGGGGCGTACTTAGTGTCTTCGTTGCGTGATTTACGTTTGCGCCTGCGCGGACTAGCCGCTTCACTATGTTTAAGTGACCTGCTCCTGCTGCGCACCATAGTGCCGTCGCACCTGAAATTAAGAATATAAGTCTTAATATTTACTATAACCAATAAAAAGGGTACCTTTAAGCCTCCATTGCCGGAATCACGGCTCAGATTAGTAAACACAACTCTGGCAAATAACACCAAGGACTTGAATAATACCTTGTTAGTACCAGATTGCTAGCAATGTACCATAGCAGGCGGGCCTCCATGCAATCCCTCCCTGAAAACCATCATGATAAATTCCTAGTGAATTTGTCATCGTAGAATTTATCATAACCTGGGCTCCACTAATGTAAACCATTAGCGCAGACGAGTGCACGATTCCATTATGTAGGTATTTAGAAAAATCTGATATCTAAACATTTATATCATTCGTCTAGTACCCATACCACAAGCTCTGCTTACCTTCGGACTAGTTGGCGTTGTGTGAATTGTCCAGGGGTTTATTATTATTATCATCTATTAAAAATACCTTTTTAGCGTATAATATAATTTTAATGAACGACAGACTGGTTCTCCAGCATGAGATAATCGTATACACATATGAGACGTGGATCCAACATTAATTCACAATCCACAAGACATAATTCACTGAACTTTTGTCACAAAACCTCTATTGTATTAAAACGAATTAATTAGGCATTAAAATACTGCGGCAAACTGTACTTGCTATTTCTAACTTACTATTCTAAACTAGTAACACTATCGTTTCTCCGTAGAATAATAATAATGTCAAATATACGACAATGTGACAAAACGTTACACAGTTCGCACTGTGACAATGTTTGAATATAAACATACAAACTTACCTCTGTGGCTATGAATAACCATTTATAAAAGTTCATCGACTCATTCGCATGCCCGTCGATTTTCAATAGCGTACAAATTTATACGTGATTAATAAGACGCGTGTGATTCTTAGTACAGCAAACGTGAATCACAGCTGCGTATAATAGTTGTACCGTAAATATGTTTATAATGCCGTGAGAGAGTCGTCTGCGATGCATCTAGCCGCCGAATGCATTGCCAGGCGAATTTATAACCGCTCGGATTAATTACAATAAATCATAAAATGTACGGAACAAAGAAAGGAGTATGGCAACACGCCAAACGAAGTACAACCGGCAACTTCGGTTCCTTTGTATGTAAACGGTAGCTAAATATAACGACGCACGCGCACGACGGTATAAAAAAAATGTAAGTCAACGCTCTTAACGAGAAAAATGTGGAACAAAGTCGTTTTAAACTCTTTGTTTGTTTGGATAAAACGGTTTATCCATCGAATCCATTATTCTGTAAGAACATTGGACTTGACAATGAAAATAATGCTAGCACGTGTATCGAGATTGTAAGAACAGAGTAACAATTTGGATCTAATATACAGAAATATATGAGACTAGTAAGATATCCAACCTCCGCTTCCACTATCCACCATCATCTGGTTTCAAACAAAGCAGATCTTGTGTTAACATTTTTTTGTAAACACACATGCCCCACACATACCCCATAACCCTCTACCAATGCAAACAATTATACTCATGAATACCAATGTTTGTATCGTGCGGGGAATCAAACCAGCGACTATTGGAAGTAAGGCGGTGTGCTAAACCGTAAACAACCGTGGCCGTCTTTGTTTAATAAGCACATAACTAATACTATTAACGATATGAATAAACATTTTTAATATTTATAAAGTGACTACCGGACTGATTATTACGTTATCAAAGCTACTAGAGTAGATTACTGCAAAGAAAGAATTTCGTTAATAATTGTAGTATATTTTCTAGAGTCTAGATATGATATTTATTATTATAGCTAGAGATATACTTTTTTAATAATACCGCCTGTTACTCATATACTGATTCAGTTTAATTGCCAAATAGTATAAATTCTTTGTTCACCGAATCTTTGAATTGGTTCATCCTGATGACCTCGTGAACCTCTAGAAATAAATATTATTCTTTGATAGATAACAAATAGAGGCTATAGTATACCTATATGACATATAATAGAAGTACTGTGCCCATTTAATTATCAATAGAATTAATTAGTTTCGCAAAGCCTGTTAAACCTCGTTTAACTTAATTATTTAATTATTTTGTCCCTATTTTTCATACTTAATAATTTATATAGGTTCGAGTTGATTTTTTATTATTTATGTGGTCCCAGGTTTGCAGGTTCTAATGTTTACAAATGTAGTGGACCAATTATACCGGACAATCTCGTGCTAGGTATGCTACTGTACTATGGCTGCTGATATACAGTTGGTTCGTGGATTCCGTCGAATAAATAAAGTAACAATAAAAATTCGATAAAGTAAATATTCAACAAAAATATTTTATGACCTACCTATACATTACATAACATTTTTCCAGCTATTCATCAAAATCCTTCTACTATTATGTTTCATTTATTGCCACACGATAATTTAAAAAAATGGGTTGAACGTTTAAACATTGTTTCTCACCTTCTATAACATACTCGTCGAATTTAACTGTGCCTTCTGTCTCTATTCTGACCGGTGGCCGGAATTTGTCTAGGAGTATCCTGACACAACCTTCTCGGCCGTGTCGGGCTGCAGCGATAAGAGGCGTACATTTCACCCCATCACAGCACACGTCCTGTAAATTGTGAATAATCAAGCTAAATATCAAATAGTAAATTTCAGAGTTTAATTTCAGTGGCGAAACATTTTTATTTAATGGGTGATACACCCGCCTGTGCCAATGGTATACGCTAGCGACACATCAGTGGAGAATGATAGGACGATAAGGTCCGGAGAAACGAAGAGAAAAAAGGGAAAAGTTAGCCCATCGTGGGGAATACATTAGAAATTAACGACCCTATGGAGGTTTGATCCGTACCTGATTTGCTATATGATTAGCTGAAGAAAACCAGAAAACGGATAATTACGATATTTGATATAATGTATCCATCTAAAAAGAATTAGCTAATGTTTTGTCTTAGTAGGGACCCTGACAGTAAATAAAAATATTTGGGATCTGACTGTTCATATATACCCGGTACAATTTTATCCGTCCATACATCACAAATAGGGAAAAACGGTACTCTTCCCATATTGAGAAAAATTCGAACATGAGGATCAAAAATGCGTAAGTTTATTTCTAAAAGATAATTGATTGTAACCATTTTCTATTAAAATCTGACCTGATCTGATGGCAACACTGAAATTTTGGACTTCTTTGTCACATCTAGTAGAAAAGAAGTATAGGTTATTTTTAATATTTACTATAGAGATTTAATTTAGTGAAATGTATGCTTATATAGTATGCTAAATACGTTTTGCCAAACAACAAAATATGCATGATTTGCCAAAACACCTCCACGTTCAAGGAAGTAATAAAAATATGTAAACAAAGAATATTCACTAATCCATTAGACTCTAAATATGGTAAATGACTCAAATTTTATATAAAAATCTTAAAAATATATCCAGAATATAATAGGAATATATTACACAAATCATAATTGAATAATGTCATTATGAATGTCATAAATTAAAGAGTTAATGACCCTAAATTATGCCCAAAAGGTAGCAAGTTCAAATCTGGCAAATACCAAAAATGTGTTTAAATTTATGTTTCTGAATTACTCTCTGGTGATTGATACACTGATAACAACCAAAATTAATATTAGAGATGATTGTACACTGTGTCTTGTTGGATTAAAGTATACTAAATGTTGCTTATTTCCTCTCTGTAAATATCATCTGATATAAATAAATTGTGACAAGGGAAGGAAAAAAGATCTTTAACTACTTTAAACAATATAATTAATAAGAAGTATCATTGCTACTTTTTTTTATTTCGCAAGTTTGATTCTATGCAATAATTAAAGAAAACAACTATATTACAGTTACATTCTATATTAATCACAGAAATCCCCACAGAACCTGGACATAACACATACAAATAAAACCATAGAAGGAAACAACTATGCTTTTATGTGTACCAACAAGCCACAAGTCAGATTTTGTTGTCATTTATTATATTTGCACTGCCAACAATTATTCACTGCACCACCTATTGTTGACTGGTAGAGAGTGCTGCATGGTGCTAAATCCAATAAATGTACTGGACTATATATTGTATTGTGTGCATTGAAGTTAAAAGTCAAGAGTGGGTATTGAAATACTTCAGGGTTACTAGTACAAGTTACATTTCCTTATTCTTGTTTATGTCAATAATAAAAAACACAAGTAATTCATAACAGCAGACTGAAAGAAGTGAACATGTTACACAAACATTGGAATATTATCAGAATAGACATCAGTCTTGAGATAAAATTATCTTATTTCTATTACAACCTTCACTATACTATGAAGATTTGTTTCAAAAACGTAAATAACATGTCAAGTTCAGTGACATGTCATTTACCTGCATAATGAATGGAGACCGAGACATATAAATAAAAGTGTGATGAAATTTTAAAAAATTCTTATTAGATATTGTATATATGTATTTATATTATTGCATACTACTGGACAGACTATATCCAGGTGTAATGACTTTGTGAGTTTTATATATAATGTAATCTACAACCTATGACAGTTTTTTTTTAACAGTGAAATAATCTTTAAGCTCTGAAGGAGTCATAGTCTTAAAAAAAACAATTCAGTGGTTTCGGGGTTTTGTCTCCACATAATAGAAATAAAAAATAGAAAATGGGCATGATGTATGTTCTTTTATTAATAATAATGAAATAGAGCTACCCGATTGTGCTAATTATTAGCTGACTGGACATTAGTGGGTAATGATAGGTTGAGATTGAAGTCAGGTCAGTTAGCACCTTGTAGCAAATTTAACAGGAATAAGCTACAATAGTTTCCAGTATTAAAATATCATTGTAAAGTAATATAATTGTTTGCAATATTTGTCAATACATCAACTCACAATGAATAATATCTCATATGTTGATAATATCCCAATGATAAGGAAGGGTGGTACTAATTCATCATTGCCTTGCCTTTATCCCATTATTTGGGGTTGGCGCAGTATGTCATTCTCTTCCATTGCTCTCTATCGGTTGTCATATCTAAACATACTGTTCTTTTATTCATATCATCTTTCACATAATCCATCCATCTTTTCTTAGGGCGTCCCCTTCCTTTACAGTCCCTAATTGCAAATTTATATGGTATTCTAAAATATGTCATAATCATTAGAATTCATAAATGTCTCACTATTCTCTTTCTGCCTCACTAAAGTAGGGTATAGTGACTTATATTACCACTAGCTTGTACCCACTGCTTCACTCGCATAACTTCATTACTGGCTGCTAGATGGCGCTGAAGTAACAAAACTACTTTTTTGTTTTTTATAAAAATATTTATTTTATAATAAGTATCCTATGTACATTGAAATACCTCCAAGAACATATGTACAAAATTTCATGATGATAGATTCATGTGGTGTTTGCATGAAAGTGTAACAAACATCCCTACTTTCACATTTATAATATTAATAATTAATCAAGATGCTAGCCATGAAACTTCATATAGGGTGTTATTTTGAATTTTCCTTCTCTAACAGTAATGCATCTAAGGGTTTCATAGTATCATAGTTTCATAGTACCTCCTAAAAGATGGTATGGATAAAAAGGAACTGTGATACAATCTGAGAGAAAACATTTTAATATACAACAAAAATACACCACTTGAGTGAATTTATTTTTTTAGGATAGAATCAAACTTAATAAGTCATTAAAAAAAAATTTTAATCAATTTACCTATAATCAATATTCACACACATAGCAAAATAATAACAACTAAAAAACTATATTTTCTATTTGTCATAAGACTGGTTATTGCACCATATGCCAAAAAATTGAAAGACTCATATCACAGCAGATATAACATGTTTTCCTCTAGTAATCCAATTAAGACAAAAGTACTCTATGTCTATTGTTTATGTGTATATCATACAAACATCTATACTGAATTTCAAAATAACATATTAGTAACAGAAAACAGCTGTTTTTTATTTTTTTAATAAAATGTAACAATGTAATGTAATAGTCAACAGCAATATTTGATTAATTTAGTCAGTATCAAAATAAGATATCGGTCTTCATATAAATTCGTTAGAAATAGTGAAAAGTTGAATTAGTTTTATAAGAAGTAAAAGAATAAATAGGTTAGATTGATAGAGGTGTGTAAGATATAGTAAATTTGGAATTGGCCCTGACTGATACCAAGGTTAATACAGCAGTAAAAACAACGACGATACGACGCAAATCTACATTTGACGACGCATGAAAAATAATTCCTAACATATCTACGCGTTAAAGAGAGCAAAAGGCAACATGGTCTGTTAAAAATAGATTATTATCATTTGGTTATAATGATGACATTATAAAAACACTTGTGATCTTTGTAATGAAAGAAAGTAGCATTCTTACTCACATTATTGACTAGTTCATCAATTTCGTCATATTTTTTTTCAAATAATAATGCGTATAGGGTCAAAGACATTCCATCCCTCGCTGCGAAAAACACCCTTTCTCTCAAGGTACTCAACAAATCATACAACATCATTTTCTTTTTCTCCATTATCTAACAGTTTCAACTGATTATTCACAATTTATATTATTCGTAAAATAACACACTTTCTCAATTCGTCCAATTTGTAATCACATTTAGAATGACATCAAATAATAATATAATTTAAGAGCATAATAGTCATAAACTAAATATATATGAAATTTTTGTACCAAATCTTGACTCGACTAAATAATCAGTGTTGCCAATTTAATGTCAGGTTTTCGAGCTAAACTGAATTAAAAGATTTGGATCGATGCAATGATACAGATAGACAATAAATCGACGGTACTGGTATTGGTACTGATCATTATGGAAAATGAGTTGCCTAATATCATTTTAAAATCGTAAATGCACGCATGATTCATGTGCTTACTAATCATGTTTAATATATTGAAACATTTTTAATATATTGGATACATTTGTTGCTGATGTGCTTGATCGATGGAAAAACGACTTGTTTTGTGTAAATAGTTTATTTTGTTAATATAATATTATGAACATACAATATAGTTTTTTTATAATATTATTTTTCATATAAAAGCGGCGATCGAGTGAGTAGTGATGTACCAGTGTCACCAACAGTTGCCTTATGGAGTGAAAATTTTATAAGTACTGTTATTGTTAATGATACTGCACAACACTTTTTATTTATTAAAATAGCGATATACAGAGACATCAAACCGTTACACAAAACTAATTTCGTGGGTAGCTCCTCCTACGACAATTCTCATGTCAAACTTTTTATAAGATTTGATTAGATTCTGTAACAAATATAGAATCAGTAATAAACCATTATTTGTACATAACAGTTATTTCCCTTAGGACTTAAACATAATACCATTACGACACGTAATACATGATACAACTAAGTAATGCTCACAAAAGCCGATTTGTGGTAAAAAGTCCCGAAACCAATACCATTCCACAAATGCAATATGATGGGATATAGAAATATTACACAATACTTGGAAATCAATAATCGAAATACAATTTGAATAAAAAGTATTTTGTAATAATGAACTGAATCAGTCTTGAAGAATAAATAGGCTAAGTCTAGCCCTTAAGGTTTTAGTTGGCAACACTTTGATTGCCTGCAATTTGACATATATTGACAACTTAACTGACTTATGCCAGTAATTGACAGCAAAGGTAGTGTAGTTTTGACACGATGATTAGTTGCGCAATCTGTGCATAGATGAAATAATATTTTATTTTGTATACTATGTAAAAGGAAGGTCCATATGACATGGACTAAAATTAATTTAAACTCTTTCATAAGGTTAATTTTTTATTAATAAATGAACATACAATAAAATGACCTTTTCATTGCTATGTTTGCCTTTCGCCCCAAGTCTAGGCGTATAACATAATTTGTACATGACCCCTTATGTCGTTCTTAATTCAAAGGTATAGCTGAATAGAAATATATTTTATTTTGTTCAGGGTCATGGTCAGTCTTTATTAAATTTCTCTTAGAAAAAGTACATACTACTTAATATAATATTTCTTTCGCTACGTTTACCTACATGTGTATTGATTTCAAAATAAAAATATGTAATGTCTATATATATTGTTGTACATTATATTTATATTTAAACTTAGCTATTAAACACTCTAAAATAAATTGCAATTAGAAACTTTTCTAGAAAGTATATCCTTGTTAAATAATTCTCGCAAAAATTACAATACGGAACGCACAATTCTGCCACGTTTTGACCAAGTGGAATTTGTGTTGCTGTCGACCAATCCGAAACGTTTGTATTTTGACTTTTTTGTGCCATTTGATTTTGACGTGTAACCTGTCGCTTTCCCTTTATTTACATTACGGAAATTTTCATTGAAATTTTTAAATATAATTGCATTATGTCTAGCGGTCAATGGGAAGTTGTTGGAAAAAGCAAAAAATCTCAGAATGGGAAGGTGAAAAATAAGGAGGAAGACAAAAAGTCTTTCAAAAATGGGCCCAAACTTGAGGACATCGGTGAGTCGTGTTCAGTTTTTATTTTACTTTAATAATCTTATGTGATCTTTTTAGTTCATTATTTCTTATCGCTATTTGATTCTTATCAGGATAAAATTTCATGTGAGTATCTAGTAGTATTTGATCTACAGAAAAATACAAGAAAGTTTGTCAAGATGCTTCTTAATTTGACTCTCCCACTCATAAGGTGTCATACAACAAAAAAAAAAAGCAGCGAGTAAAAGGCGTTACATATTTATTATACTTTTATTTTTTACTTTTGGGGTTTTAGAGTCAAATTAAAAAAATATTTTTATTAAATTAAATTAAAAAGTAATTACAATTATTAATTTTATTTTTAATTTATTAAATCACATATAGTAATTACAATCATGATAAATTCTAAAACTTTTAATATCCTTTTACTATTAATAATATTAAAATATTTTTAATTTTTAATATATATCACACCTCCATTCAAACAATGGTATTTGAGTGGAAGTGTGATATATATTGAAATATTAATAAAAAAATCTCGTTATATTTTACATCTCATGTTTTAAACATTAAATTTAATATGCTTTCAGTACCCCATTCACAAATAAAATCCTTCTATGCTGGAATGGAGATAGATGATGAGAAAAAGCCACAGAAGAAAAAGGATGGAAAGTCTAAAAAATCACAAGATAAAAAGTCAAGTGAACCTCCAAAACCAAAACCTCCCAAAACCATAGAGGGAGCACTTGAAGCTGTATGTAATATATGTTTTTTTTAAATAATTTAATTTACATGTAAAAACCATTTATTAATAGTTGGTATATTATTTTAGTATTAATTCAGGTTTTACTTAAGTTCTAATTTTAGTTCTTCTTTGTGATAATATCCTAAGACAATTTGCATAGCACCTTCCAGTCCCCAATTAATCTGAGCTTGTACTAAATGATAGAAATACATAAAATATTTTTTTATCTTCATATTTAATGCACATTAAAGTACAACACTTAAACCAATACAAACAAAAAAATATATATATATAGAAAATTTACTACATATTTATTTTCTATGTCTAATAAATATGTATTGAAATAAAAATATTTTATGAATATAAATTTTTCTATGAAGTAAGAATTGAAACTGTAACCATTAGAAGATCGAAAGTAAATTGGTACTCAACAGAGGTCGTCAAAGAGTACAAAAGTACTACTTATCTATATTTACTCCTTACTGTGGAAAGATACAACAGTATCAAAAAGTACTTTAACCAATGATAATAATATATCAAGTATATTTATGTTACATCCTGTTTTTATTTCTCTGATAACATCTCATTTAAATTAAATAGCTCTAGAGCATTGTTTCCCAATATGGGACTCACACCCCACAGGGGGGGGCAATTTGATTCTTAAGGGAGGCCATTCAAAAATAGACTATTAAAATTTTGTAAAAATACGATTTTGAAATTTAAAATTTTCTTTATGTTTTGAACATTTAATTGCTGTTTCATTAACAATTTCCTAGTGATCTCTTCCTAAAACCTATTAATTAAGTTTCTTAAGTGAATAGTTAATTTTTTTTATATTATAAATTTTGAATGATATAAAAGAGGTGTGGGAGGGGGGGGGGGGGAAATAAGTAGAATAAGAATTTTATACAGGCTAAGGTGGGGCATGGCTCTAAAAAGGTTGGGAAACACTGCTCTAGAGAATTATTAGCTCCTTGTTTGTCATTATAGTAATGTTTCAAGTATTTATTTATATATAAAATAAAGTCAATTACAGTATATACAAGTAAAGAATGTATTGTACCTATTTTTATGAACCTTGATTTCTGGGATTGCTCTTTGTCTTGGATAACAATAGTATTATTAAATAATATATCAACACATTAGGAAAATAATAATAAAGTAAGGAATCATTTGTTTGATGATATCTTAATGAATTTATTGATTTTAATGAATATTTAAGATTAATTTAACTTACCTGATACAGCCAGTTAAATTCATTATTTACATTTTATCACAGCTGCAGAGTGGAAAGATAAACATACCTTATTGTTTTTATTTCTGTATCATATTAACATGATACACACAACATGTCATATCATATACAAATAACCAATAATAATTATAAATGCGAAAGACTGTATATGCATTGATGTTTATTACTTTTTTAAACAGAAACTGCTGAATAAATTTTAAGAAAACTACTATGTTATAATTAGTCTTGTTTTCTCCATTTAAAATATTTTATAATAACATGTATATTTTGAAATGAATTCTCAGTTAAGGTATAATTCCTCCCAACCCTTGAAACACATGTCACATTGGAAATAGAAATAATCTTTATTCAAATAAACTTAAGCACTTTTTCTAAAAAACTAACACTAAAAGTCGTATTTTCGATTCTGCTACTTATTCGGAATGCAGACTTAGAATAATGAGAAGTCAAAAGAAACTTTTGTTTGAAATATTTGTTGTTCAGAATTGAATGCACGCATTTTAAAGAATTTTCTATGAATACAGACTTCAAAACTGCTCCTTGAGTAAAAAAATAATCATTTAACCCCTTTCTTTTGTGTATAATGTAATTTATAGCTGCCCCCTAATTGCCTTATAAGAAAGTTTGTGCTATATTTATAGTTAATTTATTTAATTAATTATTACTGGACAATGAGTAACAAAGTCTACCAAAGTTATTTATTAGTTATTTTCAATCAACAATCTATAGAACTTAAGTTCTATCATGAATATAATTGTTAGTTACTATTTATGTTATTTACTTTGAAACTTGTGTGTTTAGCACACATTATTAATAGAATTTATGGTGTACTCTAGTTATTAACTATAGAGATATATATTATTTACTATAAAATTATTCCTATTAAGATGTACAGCCTATTTTGGAATCTAAATTCAATGTCATTATCATTTGTAGTAATTTTTGCATAGCCATCACAATGTCTGGAACCACAAGGATAAAGAGATATTTTAGAGAGAGATATTAGGATGTAAAGATATATTTAAGAGGGTAAAATAAAGTGCATTTGTTACACAAATGCTCTCCATTTTATCCTGTTAACTTATACACTAACATATGGATGGACAGTGCAAGCACCCACAGTCAAGTAATATGAATCAGAATATTTTTTCACAGTAGACCATAGTAGTAGACCGACAGTAGAATAGACTAAATAACTATTACTTAACACTATTATTATTTAACACTAAGTAATTATATGAAACAGAACTTGCCAATTTTAATAATAGCAATGCTTTTCCAGATCGACCCCATCGAGCTAGCAAATATAATTGCTACGAATAAGGTGCGGTTCTCAAACGCACCACTGGTGTGGCTGAAAGAAGTCGCCAGTTTCCTGAATTCCAAGACTCAAATAGATGTTGATGACCCTACCTTTTCAAATTATTCCTCTTCGTACCCATTGTCGGTGTTACCTTCAGAGATTAGGAACAGTCTTGAGGGTGTACTCCAAGATGCTGGGAAGGCAAATGCACAATTATTTTTTGATGTCACCCTTACTGCTTTGGCTAATGATATGAGTAGAGGTATGTGAAGTATGAATTTTAGACATGATAACGTGATATACGTAGTGCAGTCCATGTACATAGTGATGTTTACCATCAGGTTTGAGTTTCAGGAGCCATTAAAAATGTCAGTCCTTTTCATTAAATGAAGAAAACTATTTATTTTATTTATTCTTTACAACTGAATAAAGTTTGCGCTACTTTATATTGATATGTTATAACATACACAGCGCCATCTAGATCCAAGTTAAACTAGCTAAAGCTGATAGAAATACATAGATATTTTTCTTAAATACATAGTAAACACCCAGACTGATACAAACAATCATATTCATGAATACAAATGTTTGGGCAGCTAGAACGTAGAGGCCATCTAACTATATAGAATTAGCATTAATATATATCCTAATGTTTATTATTCATAGGACAGTCTGTGAATGGGCACAGAATTCTTCTCCAAATTCTGGCCAATGATTATCCTGAGTTCTGTGTGGCGTCAATCCAGAAGAGTGCCAGTCTCCGTAACTCTTACCAGAACAGACCACCTATCGGACTCTCCTTACTCTGGGCATTTGGTCAAGGAGGACTTAATAATTTCGCAGTAGGTTTAAAAGGTAAGTACACATATCAACATACTAAAACTGAAAATAATTATTTGAATTAAAAAATTAAGATATGTCGTAAATAACACATTATAATTAATTTCTGTTAAAGATGAAAGATGGAATTTGTTGTATTTAATGTATTTATTATTAAATAAAGAAAATATCTTTCTCCATCACTTTTAACCATTACCAAAAGGATAGTTTTCAATTTACCTGTATTCCTATCTGTTAAACTAAATATCTTGCCATAATTGTATAGATTTGGATAATTCTATCTGAAATCAGACTGAATTAGATAGATTCTAACCACTGAACTTAACTCACTTAATTGGATTAAATAATGGTTGAAAACAAATTTGTCCTGTACTATTTGTGTGAATGTGAAACAATAAATATTTATTTATTTTATACAGCTTGGCAGGAATTGTTCCTACCAATAATCGAACTGAAGAACTATTCTAAGTTTGTGATTGTTTACTTATCAAAACTTCTGGATGAACATGCAAGCATGGATAGCACAAAGGTGAGCCAGGAACAGCTCTTGGCTATGTTCGATTTGGTGAATAACAAGAGAAATAGTCTGTCCAAGGAATTATCAAGTGACCTTATCAAGCAATTAACTAAATATAAGGTAAGGATTTGTATACAGACAGTAATTAAAATTCTACCACAGTTTGAGTCACCGTGTTCCAAATTGGCTCACGCAATTATTATATGTTTTAACTTACAAAACTTTAATAGTGATTTTAGGACACCATTTCATTGTATGCATAATATTATATTTACAATTTTATCTAGGGTCAAGTTGATAAAGTAGAAAAGTCAATTGCAATGCAATTAATAATGTTAGATAGTGCTGCAATGTTCTGCAGTAATTAAATAAATAAAAATAATGTATTACAATATTTGCAAGGAGAATGTATTAGACTTTAATTTGTAAGCTCTTTGGGGTACCAAAATCTTGATATACTTAGTGACTCACTACAATTTTTTTTAATACTATGTTAAGTAATCGTACAGTCTACTTCTGGAAAATTTCCAGTGAGCTATTAGTTACATTTTAATATTCATATAGCTTTACAATTTATTAATATTAGGATGAAAATAATCCATTTATAAATAACAATTTATTAATGAAAGTTTTGAATCTGTCAGTAATTACAGCAATTATTTCCTATAGGTATAATAACCCTTTTAAGTTAGCTAATCCAAATTATTAAAAAATATTCTCAGGATATAAGGATTTTCAATAGAGAATCACCTCTCATGAGATTTATACACAGTCAACAAATTTGCTTATAGTCTGGAAGACCGATTGCAAGTTATATAGAAAGTGTCAGACATATGTATGGTCATTATAAACCTAATTTATATTTCTTTCCACAGGATATATATTTCAATAGAAGCGGCAATAAGTTACAAGTGACCTTTAACCAGATTATGAAGAAACTGCCCAACCAGTTCCTAATCGGACCTGCCCTAGACCCCTATAATAGGGTTTTAGTTGAAAGCCTAATAGATTGTTTACAGAGGGATGATGCGTGCAATGCTACCTGGCGGCAGCTCTTCCAAAAATGTACCAAGCAGTCGGCTACACTACTAGACTATATCAGTGAGTAGTCATATCAATGTCGACATTTTAAAAATCCCTAAAATATCTTTTCAAAATCCTGTCGCAAAAAGAGGCGTGTTGACATTATGAAGATTCTCAAAAATACCTTTTTAAAATCCTGTCGCAAAAAGAGGCGTGTTGATATTATACAAATTCCTAGAATAACTTTTCAAAATCTTGTTGCATAAAAAGGCGTGTTGATATTATAAAAATTCTTAAAATATCTTTTTAAAATCCTGTCGCAAAAAGAGGATTGTTGACATTACAAAAATTCCTAAAAGACATTTTTACAGTTCCGACGCAAAAAGTTTAGCTGAATATAAGTTTGACGTGTATATCTACCTGTGATTGTCGTAGCTCCTAAACGAATTGACAATGATGCGGTTTTTTGTTTGTTCAAAGGCTGACGAAAAACAAAATGGTTGTTAGCTACAATTTATGAAGATCTGTCCTAATCTAATAATCCTAATTAATGCTTAAAGTTAAAATGTACTTGTAATATAATTTACAAAGGTTCACAGTATGACAATAATTGACTCTAAAAATCCTACACAATATATCTTTACCACACTGAGAGTGTTTTAAAGTCGAGATACTAAACTAGTAGCCAAGCTCCTCTCAGTCAGAAATAAATATTAATAATAACTATTTTAATTAGACAGCCACTGGGCGGAAGTAAGTAAGAGACTGAAATTGAAATCTCTGAAGAAAACTGTAGCTGAATTCAAGGAAGTGGGGGCAGACGCTCTCAAAGGCAAGAAGAAAGATGAAACTGTCGTGAAGGCTAACAAGATATGCCAGGTATGGTTTATGTTTCTCTTATGGTATACCAGCTTATAATCGATCAGTCATCAGGTTGTCATAATGCTACTAACTGAAGGGATTTGGTAATGAAAACTAGTAAATGACTTTCATATAATCTCTGGAAATTTCCAAACTATTTGCCATCTCGGGTTAACAGACCTGAAATGAAGTCCGATCGCTTACTCTATCTGAGTTTATCGGTAATTTAGTTGCATTAGGGTAATTGATGACTGAGATGTGTTTCAAAGGGAATAAGGAAGTGTAATTACAGAGTAAGTAACCATGACATTGTAGCCCTTTGGAATGGCAACGCATGACTGACAACACCAAGGGTGTTATGTGATGTCCGTGGTACTGTTCCTGTATACAGGTGATGGTTCCTATGTACCATGCAGTGCAATAGTCATCCTTTTTAGTATTTGTAATGTATAAAAAAACTTAGGTGTCCTAATTTTGCTCACTCTCTAAACTACTCTTTGTCACCAAGTTATCATAAGAGGCAATCAGAAGAACGAAATTCTATTTTTTATATTTGAAAGTTTTTTTTATATGTATTAACAACTGCATCTTAATGATATTTATTATCAATTGATATCTAAATTAATATAAGACAAATTATAATTTATAATATTTATAAATTATAAGATATGGCAATGCTTATATATACCTATAGATTTTCTTGAAAAGCCTTTAAAAAAAATATTAAAAAAATACTCTGAGCAAAACTCGGTCGCCTTAATACAAATATAGGTACTAATCAACGCTTTACATTGATTCAATCCTACAATTTCGCCTGTTAACTCAAGTACAAAATATTTGCTTGTACAAAACGTGTCTAGTTCAATTTCGAATCCGGCATACTATATTTTATTGTGAAATCTGAAATAATTCGTAAATAGCCCGAATATCTATTTACGATACGATTAAAATATTTAAAATAAAGAATATGTATTTTTAAAATAATCAATTTATAATAATCATCGATTATATAAAATAAATATCGATTCAGCAAGATAACTGTAATTGTACATCACTAAAATTCTATCCCTAAAAGTACTATGTTACCAGAAAATCACTTCGTCACTTTTGTGGTAGTTTTTATTTAAGTTTCGTGCTCATTCCATTCGGTGTTTTAATTAATATATAATCTTAATTTTTATTTATCTTTATAGGATTTAATTTCAATTAAGTTTATTTTACATTTCCCACTGTGAGATTAAATTGCAAATTATAGTGACATTGAACTGATTTTTATAGAAGATTTTAATTTCGTGTCTTGTCACACCCATTTGGCATTAGTAGTAAAATAAAAATCGAAAGACGACATTTTTAATCGTAAGTTTTATCTGTGAATGGAAATTTTCGCTTTGTTTACAAGAATCACGTCCAACAATAGGTAAATACGTCATTTTCGCAATGTAATTAACGTGTTTATCATAAATCGTAATTGATCTATTGTGTTAATGAATTCCTTAGGGCGCTTTATATGAGACGTAGTAATCTCAAAAGATACGCGTAATTTTTTATTTAGAATGAGAACTTGAAAGACAACTTTGGTCGTGTGTACCCATTCGTAGTAACAGTAAACGCATATGTGTTATATCCGTTAGAACACGAACGCGGGAGGTGGCCACTTGTGCTGTTGTTTTATTTTTAAACTTTGAAGTCAGGTATGAATTCAATCTGATACGTAGATATTAATTTGTTTTACTCCTGTTTTATTTTTTACTGTCTAAACTTAATCATAACCTACATAATTATCTCATTTTGAGATTCTCATAAAAATCTTGATGTATAAGAGTAAAATAATAATGAATATATAATAAGTATTATTCTAATTTCAAATTACCCATTCATCTTAGGTAACAATTTGTAATGGTTCTAAAGAATAAGTGCTTTATGTAAGGTGAACTTGGACAATTTGAAACAAACTATTTTATTCCTAATGATGTTACTCTATGTAAATCTAGACTTCTTTTTTTAAAGTTATCAATTAAAAAATATAATTATTAATTTACTCGAATATTGTTCATTGTCCATTTCATGTTTTTGAATTAACCTATTTTAGTATGGCTTTTCTTTATATCGAAATATAAATCTATTCAGTTTTATTTAGAAAGTATTGAACCACATAACTATCCAATATAGCAATTACAAGGTTGCATACATTCAAAGCCATAGAACCTAAGAGCATAAAAGATGTTAAGAATCACAATTAAAGTGTTACTCAATGTGGAATCTAGTAGCTTTTCATTTGACCTTCTATTTCTACCATGTAAATTCTATGATACACTTGTCTTTGGTAGAATTTTAAAATTTGATTAAAAAAATCAAACAGACCAGGTGTAAAAACTTTCACTTTTTACAAAGAATAATACCCATTCTAGGATTGTCATTAATTGTTATCATACATATTTCTGGAATGTTTTTGTAAGCGGTAACCTTAGGTGAAATGATAATTTAGTAAGTAGGTATGTTGACCCTTGATTACTCATGTATCTATATATTTACTTATATTAATATGTAGATAATCAAAGATTTAAGTTCATTTAGGTGACTATTTTTAATTGGTACTTGTTATTTGGAATGTGCAAAATGGTGGGCATTAAAGGAGAGTTAGGATGGATATAATACTAGATAAGGACCAGTGGTAGATGACATACTATGCCAACTCCAATGATGATGATGGTATGAAGCAAAGACATATGATTATGTATTAAATGGTTGGGAGTTTTACTTATAGCATATCGAACTTCAACTCAAATTAAGTATATTTGAGTTTAGATATTTGACAAGAAAAAGCATTATAAATATTTTTATTCTATTTGTTTCAAAATCCAATATACTTATAATTAACCTATTCGTTCCCACTGTCCTATTTTTAGGATACTACATTATATTTTTTTTAACAAACTATGTATTTATACTATAGCTACTAATGAAATTTGTATTTAAAAATATTTTTTCTATTTAAATATATTTTTTGGTAGTAATACATATTTTTGGCATTTTAATACATATTACTTATAACATTTTATTTTTATGTATTAAGACTAAGGTCTTAATACATAAAAATATTACATCGATGCTTGGGAAGTAATGGGTTAAATAGTGGTTAGTGTGATTCAATGATTTAAGTCTGTTCGGTTTAATTATTGGAGTCTGTAAACAGAGAAATAAGGTTATGTAAATTTAAAGCACTGTTTTCTCACTTAAGTAAATAAGTGAAACTTTCTTATGACATTTAAGATGACGTAACTGTATTTTTTATGGGTGATGATGGAATGGTGTTAACAGTATACAGTGGAATGTGTCAATGGATGAAGCGAGGATTATTTAGGATGTCACGGATAACAGGGCCAATTTATCTAAAATTAGCATAATAATTTCCAAACATATAGGGGTCAACCTAATATGGTACATTTCTAGAAATGTCGTCTTCAGATCTTATCGTGGTTCTTAGACCTCATTACTAATGTTCTCATTTCCCATTATGGATATATTAGGTAGATTTCTTGTTAAACTGGCTGTATTATCTAGTGTACATATAAATATTGATAATAGTATTATAAATTCACCTTTGGCCAATTGATACAGTGCATACCTCTGTGTTATATCATCTGTAGTGTAGGTAACTCTCTCAAGGTATTCTGTAAACCAAATAACGGAAGGTATTATTATAATGTATAACAGTTTATTCACAGCTAATTTCATATGGATACAACATTTTCTCATTTATAAAAATAATAAAACAACAATATCAGGCAGATTTCACTGACCACAATATATCAAGTTACTATATTGCTATTGTATAATTTAAGAGAATAATAGAGTGCAATCCAATGACCATATTATTGAAATTAGCTTCCAAATTAGACCGGCAGGTAGACTGTCAGATTGTGCCCCATGGTTTACTCTGATCTAACTGATTTTTTTTGTTACTCAAGTAGCTATTATATGTATTTACTTTAAACAATCATGCTATTCGGCAGTTTGTATTCATTAAAAATAATAAAAAAGCCTTTATTTAATAAAGGCTTTTATTATTATTATTATTCATTAAAAATATTAAATATGTAATTCTGACCAATATTTGTTACAAAGAGTAACTAGCAAGTTTTTTCTTTCTTGTGATGATTTTGCTTTCCTAATGAACAGTGGAATAAAAAATAACAATATATGACTATTCCAAAGGACTTCTTTTTATAAGGTTATTAGTATAAAGCTTATTTCTATTTCTCTTTGCATGATATAAAAATTAAAAAAAAATGTTGTCTACAGGATATTCTAGACAGAATGGCGAGTACTAGAAGGTTCCCATGGCTGTGGGCCAGCTTCTTCCTGTTGTTGAGCATCGTCGGATTGGTAGCTTACGATGTATATACAGTGAATGGAAACTTCCCAAGTGAGTACAAACCATTAGATACTATGCTGTAGTTTGTATTACAAAATGCGTCTTCAATTGTAAAATTTTTACCACCTCGGTGGTCTCACGGTTTAGCATACCACCTTGCTTCCGATGATCAAAAGTTAGATTCCTGCGCAGTACAAATGTTTGTATTCGTGGGTATGATTGTATATATGGGTCTGGATTAGGGTTCATGATTTCTCGAGCTTTTCAATTTCTCGGGTCTCGAGAATTCTCGAGGTCAATTTCTCGGGTCTTCTCGGGTTGTCGAGAAATTTACATTTATGTATGTTTTCTCATATTATTTGGTTCCAATAACGTCAAAAAATTCAGTGGTTTTCATCACAAATAAAAGTATCAAATTAAACTTTTATTGAGTATATTTAAAAACATTAATATTACATATGAATATTTTTTTTTTAAATAGAGAAATAATATTAGATCCTTATCCTTTGTTGTACTGTTCACTTTGATCTCAAATATCTCCTCTTTGGTTAGGAATTCCATTTCCAAATTTATACAGCTATTCACTTTGGGTCACTCACAGCATACAAAATGAAAAAACTTAAAATATCGCGTTATTTACGAGTACGAGTTCCGCTGTGGCACCAGTGCTACACGGTGCTAAACGGCTCGAAGTATTAATGATGGCAGTGATCTCGCAAAAGAAAACACGTGCATTTTTGGTTCCAACGTTTTCGTTCTGCAAATTTCGACGAACCAACCAAATCCTGCCCCAAGCAAAATATGGCTCAAAAAATGTTACTTGTGAACGTTTGGTGGACTATTTCCGGTGTTGTTCACTTCGGCTTTCTTAAATCTGGCCAGACGATTACGGCAAATGTGTATTGTCAGCAATTGAGAAACCATGATGGAAAAGCTAGCTGCTAAACAACCGAGGCAGGTCAATCGCCAAGAACACTTAACCACATATTGCACAACAGACAGTTACCAAATTAAAAGAGCTTCAATTGGAATGTCTAAGACAACCACCGTTCTTCCCGGACCTTGCACCTACAGATTACCATTTTTTTTTTCGAAATTTGGATAACTTCTTGCATAGTCCAAAGTGCAAAAACAAAAGGCAAAAGTGCATAAATAGAAATGGTACATACTTTGATTAAATAAATATATTTTATATATTATTTACTTTGATATATTTTGAAAAAAAAAACTTTATTTTTATTCCCTTACAAAACGCCAATTTAAATTTTTTAGGACCTAATTATTCAGACTTATATTTATAATAATAGCACCATTTTTGGCTGCTTATTTAGATAAAAAAAAACAATGTAAACAAAAATAGTTTCTACAAAATAAAAAAATAACACGAAAGAAAACAAAAACGTTAATATCTTAAATTATTGCGCGGCCACGCAACAAAACAAAGGGCAATTTAATTTCTATATAGGTACATGATTTCTCGAGTTCTCGACTTTTCTCGAGCTTGATTTCCCGGGAACAAAACCCATGAATTTCCCGGGAATTCTCGAACCGAGAATTCCCGGGAATGAACCCTAGTCTGGATGTTATCTAGGTGTAATATTTAAGTCTTTACAAAAAAACTATGTATTTATATCAGTTGTCCAGTACTCAAAAGACAAGCTCTGCTTACCTAGGACTAGATGTCACTGTGTGAATTGTTCTGAGAAAAAAAAACATAGAAAAGGAAATTTATAACTCAAAAATTACTTACTCAATTTAAAAATTTCTTTCACCTATAGAAAGATACATTATGAGCAAAAAAATGGCCTTTATATAAATAACATAGATATTAATATTATAATTGCAATTAGTGGATGTCCTAAAGAAACTTGATAGTTATCTGGAAATAGCATATTTCAATATTGTAACGTTGGGTACCTACTATGACGTTAACATAGTGTACTCATTATACGTAAACCCATATATCTTTAGGAAAATTATATATAATAATTATATATATAATAATAATTTTCCTGCATAGTGAATTATATATTATATATTATCATAATATCCTCGACCTGTCGAAAATATTTAAAGCTAACGTAAAAATAATAAATTATCACAGATAGATAACATTATAATTTATTGTTAAACGATTATGTTTAATAATACAAATAATATTAAAATTACTTTTGATTATATTGAATAAAAGTATCTGATAATGTTAATCTACACATAATTTTGTTTTGTTTACATATTTTATGCGTTACGTAATTATTATCATATATATCTTATATATAAAATTCTCATATCAAAATGTTACATACCATACTCCTTCGAAACATTTTATATGCATATTCAGTAGGTTTGAGAATCGGGTGCTATCTATTTTTCATCCTCTTTCCCTAAGTGATAAGGGTTGTCCACCCCTTACATTTAATTTTTTAATTTTTAACCAATATTTTTATTTTTTATTTTGTAATGTGGCATTAAAAATATGTACAACCCAAAATTTTTACACTTCTATCATGGAATTCTATTTTTTAGCAAAACCACGTTTGTGGGGTTAGCTAGTATAATATAATCGTAAATGAGCTGTGTTTGTATGTAATATATACTTTGAAAAAATATTATACACTACTTATAGTACAAATTAACTTGATAAGCTCAAATTTCATAAGATTCATTCAGCCGTATAGTTGTGAAAAGATAACAAATTCAACAAACCTACAGACTTTCCCATTAGGAATACTAATACTCCCAACTTTGTCCATCTAGTGCTATAATCCAAATTCACATCAAGTGAAAAGGTAACAAACAGACAAATACATTTCCATTGTAATATTAGTATGGAATAATTGCCAACATGGCTAAGACTGTATAATTAAATTAAGAGTTAAACAGCATTACTTTTGAACTTAAGGTATTATAAAAAGTGTAAATTTAATAGTTATAAATAAGTATATATGAGTAATTACATGTGTTATCATAATTGACGTGGTCATTGTACTTATTAGTTAGAGTCAATCAAGAAGGTCATGAAGGCCTATTACACTATCATACATACAGGCAACGAACTATTTTATACACGGTTTATTTATACAGTAACCTAACATCCAAGTTATACTAATTTAATATTATAAATATGAAGAAAATTAAAATATTACTTTGCTATTCTATAATTTTTTAGGTACTTGTGAATGGCAAAGAAGCAGGCCACTAATGAAATTTGATGTAAAAATAGATTGTATCTCTAGGACAGACAGGCTATATTTTAGCAATCTGCAGGTTTGACAGCCTTCTGCACTCTTTTATCGTCCGTAAGCTGTAAAGACAAAGCAGATACTGCCAACAAGATTAGAATAGTTCAAAAAAGTACTGCAATTAACATAATAATTATTATATAAATTAATCTAATTTTCCACAGAAAGTGCAACTGGCAAACTTATGAATGACCTTGGTCTTCTGGAGCACAGTCAACGAGCGTGGCAGAAGACGCTATCGTCTTCCGCACGAGGGTACCTTTGGCTTGAAACGAATGCACCCATTTACTACACACAAACAGTTGAAGTCTGTAAACCATATGTTCAACTTTCCAAGGAGTTGATTGTCGTTGGCGTTAAAAAAACTGGTGTACTCTATGAGAATGTTAAAGTTTATGTAATAGAGAAGACGCCAGTAGTGGTGGAAACCATAGAGCAGTATGCTCCAGGGCTGGTGGATAAAGTTCAGGGTTATGCATCAAATGGTTATGAGGCTGTGAAGAAATTCTCCAGTGACTATTACCAGTTGACAGCGGAGTATTTGCAGACAAAGGTGTTTGTGTGAGTAGCCATTCAACATTGTCTTTTGTATAATTTAATAATTGTGTGTACAAATAAATAGTAGGTTTGATGTATATTTTATGTAAGTGGCATATCTTCATGTGTTCCCTTTTTTGTGGGTTAAGGTGCTGTCTCTGTAATTGTATTGTAATATCTTAATTTTTAAATCAGAATACAATATACAAAACAAGCTACTTGGCATTTGCAATGTAATAATTTGTCTCATAAGACAAAGGGGACACCTGTAGATGATTTACAGTCTATTTTAGAAACATACCTTGTTAATTTTCATGTTCATTATCTGCAAACAAAGTTATTTATTTGTACACTTCAGGTAAATACATCAAGGGGAAATATGAGAAGGTCGTCAAATTAGTATCATATTCTACCTGTGTTCCTTGGCGAACACTCATATTTGATAGCCTCTAGCGGTGTAACAAAGTTGCCTTAGCTTTGGTCGCGGGTGCACTACTTGACATTATAGAATAATTTGTATTTACAAAAGCGATATAATTAGTTAACCGCTACGCTACCGACGCTGGGTGAATTGTTCTGAATTATTATTATATCATGACTGTGAACTACATATTTTGTAACTGGTGAAATAAAGCACCCTACAATTTCACATTCTATCTATAAGAGTGTATACATTATTTTATATTTTGTTTCCAGTGGTGAATGGGCCCCAGAAATCTTGCAGAACAAAACGCAGATAGCCCTCAATGCGACGAGGACCCATGTATCGACATATTTCCATTGGTTTAGGGAGCAAGTACACATATACTCGAAGATACCGTGAAGTATGATAACACCTTTATTCTGTTATGTTCTGTGTGCCGATGGAGGAACTTCGAAGTTTTATCACACAGCCTTATTCACCATTTTTTGCTAACATTTCCATATCATATTTTTTTTGTTATTATTTTATTTATCATTTCTTTAACAAAAATAAGTATACATAACCATATTCCATTATAATCATACTAATTATAGGTAAAATAGCTGAAAATGGTGAATCAGGACATTGTTTTAATCTAAAAGCTAAATTAAGGCAAAAAATCTAGTTTTAGAAATGGAAATTCATGAATGTATATCGGGCAAAACATTAGGCCTAAAGTCGCAAGAATGTTAACAATAGTTTGTGATTTTTGTAATAAATTTTAATGATGCATATTTTATTCGAGGGATTCAAATGGTTATTACGTGAGTGATTTGATGCAGTGGTTGATAGCTAGCGCCATTTTTAGACTACTAGTAATGGGCCAGAGCACTTAAGCTTTACGGTGTTGATGTATACCTTTCATGTTAAAGAATGCACAATCATAGTGAGATCACATACTTCTTAACAATTCAATTACTTTAGTGTAAAACTATAAATAATGTAAATGGTCATCAAATTATAGCAATTAGAAAATTCAAGCCTTGGACTCATTAATTGATATTAAAAAGAAAAAATATATTAACGTAAACACAATAACAGGTATAAATCAACACATTGAATGGTAAATGAATAAAAACAACAAAAACCAAGAGGTGTGTGATCATCCTTATTTATATTAGAACAACGTCTGCATTACATGTACATCATAAGTAGCTAATATGATGGTATAAATGAGTCACAATACTGCCCTAACATTGATAACATAAATATGATATCCAGGCCTGCGCAGACGAGGAAGACCTTCTGTCTCGTTAATAAACTGTCTTATTCGTATATATATAATAGGAACTTCGACACTTTTGTCGATATCATTACTACATTTCTTCTACAATGATGTATAAAAAGAAATGCGGAGTGCGGTTTTTCGTCTTGGCAGGCTTTCGGATATATTAAGTGGATGAATGATTGATACGCGTGAATTTGTCTTTGTTTATTACATCTATTAATTTGATATTCGAAAGGGACGCTAAATGCGTACAACAAAACTAGGAGCGTGAACGTTTTGTGGAAAGAAAGGGATGTTTTCAGAAGGGAACCAGTGACTCGGTAGTTCTGCTTACTCACAAAAATGGCGTTAGTTTGTAATAAAAAGCATAGTATTTTGTAAATGAGATTATCATTCCTGTGTATAAAAGTGTACACAGGAAATATATTTATGTGTATAATATATACAGTGTTTATATATTTTTGTGTATACCAGAATATACACAGAAAGTATATATATCTGTGTATAAATAAGTTTTACATTATATGATTGAAGTTACTAATTTGTAGAGTTTAGAATCCATTGCATCCTGTCTATCCTCTCAAGACAGATCTCAACTTGTTTGTAGGTTACATTATTGTGGTTATTATTTTTGTCACGACTATTATTATTATGCACAAATTATTTATATTGTTAATCCTCCATCATGCCCCAAGATCTAAACTACATACCTATATATTTAAAAATAGTACAATAAATGTTAACTTGTAATTTTTAGCATATGCAATAAATTTCCACCATATCATTGTTAATTCATGTTATATTGTTACATTATGCCATGACAACATACGTTTTAAGTATTTTTTTTTATTAATTTGCTAAAATAAATCAATTTGATGAAATTGACATTCCTTATAATGCATTTATGTGGAATAAATTGCCAAGTTACCTTCATTGCAATGTCCAAATATATGTACTTCGTTTTACATCGTTCTCTATATATAGGCATATAGTCGTAAGTTTTTGTAGTATATTTATTTTGTGTCGATGAAAGATCGTGTGTTAATACAAAATTAAATCTGGTATGAGGAATGAATTTCAATTTTGTTCTTTTATTTTGAGCTTACCCTTTACCTCCTATTCGTGGTCTATTCATGTATAGATTTCATTAATATTAAAAGCTAAAGCAAAGCAATTTCATTAATATGAAATTTTCTTTAGTTATTATTCTTATGTATTGTTTATAGGCAAGTATGAAGAAACTAAAGAAATTATAAATATTGTTAATCGGTTTTATTTATGTCAAATTTTGCAAGTTTAATCACACAGTAGCTTACGTAATACTTTTCTTAGATAGAAATGAAACTATCATACAGAAATTATCATATTCATGTACTAAAACTAACAAATGTAAAGGTGTGCTAGACGTAAAATGTAATAAATGTAAATATGTTTATGTATGTTCTTAAATACAATAAAATGTATATACATTATTTATTATTTAACAAAATTAATTGGAAAAAAATAATTTGGTGGTATTATCATAGACAGTCTTCGCCAACTCGTCTATATTTTCTTTCCGTATTGTTGCTAAGATTTCCAAGACTTGTCTGAAACAAAAAGGTATATAAAATTCATCTCAATACAGTTTAATTTATTTACTCGGTGGAATAACAATACATATAAAATTACAGGGAACACCTGCTCGCTTCTGAATATATATAGGACACAATGTGGTGAATTTTTTCCCGGGCTTCAGATGGTATAGTTGCACCACTGCATATCCCCTAGTTGTGCCCTCAGATAAAGCCAGGCAGGTATTGTGCTGCAGCTCCGACATAAGGCCGTCCTTTCAATAGAGATGGACTGAATCCGTCCGAAAAAGATAAATTTTTATCAATACAAAATTATCGAATCTCGCTTTCCAGGGTGAAATATAGATTAGCTGTATAAATGTAAGTATCGTAAATTGTAAATTAGTATTCCAAAAACTCGCAGTTTAAATTAATATAAGGCTATTCCTTGTTTGGACTTAGCCCCTTATTTGTGTCTCGTGAAGTTTACTACATCATTCCTCAGCAACATTAGAACAGTTGAAAAAAACCACTGCTAATAGCAATAGCGTAAAGCAGTCTATGCTACTATATTCATGAATATTATCACTCACAGCCTTATCTTACGTTCCAACCGAAAGACATAAGTTGTCTATAGCAAGCTGCTTGGCATGTGAGATTGAGTTACCCATGCAGATGACTTTTTATCAGGTCTTCTTAACTGATAAATTCTCGAAATTCCCCAATAGAATACTAACTGGTTACTTACACAATATTAACAGGTTCATTGCGTCCTTTCACTTGGTTGTTAGATTCGATATCATATTTCTCTTTCTTCACCGATGTGAACTTTGTCATCACATGTCTGTACCCAGGGTGGGTTGGTTTCACTTCACACCAAGGACAGTCGGTTTCTAACATCAACCGATCTATTGGTATTTTTGCGGCAACTTCTAAACTTTCCTTCGATCTCAGTGAACTGCAAAGTAAGATAAACATTGTGTATGTGATTTTTATAAGATGGCAAACAACCAAATAACCACTATTTCATTTATATATCATACATATTGTAGTTTTGCCATATACTTTTCTTCCAATTAGAACAACCAGAAGTGCTATTATAGAAGTGGAAAAGCCGTAAGTTTAACTTGGTATATTTTGGCTCAGTGTGCTGTTCAGCATACTACCTTAATTCCTATTTTACATTGTTTGTAGTGGTGGGAGTTTTCTTTGTATATTATGTATTTATTTACAAAACAAAAATGTATTGAAATATTTTTAACAGTTGATTAGTACACACAGTAAACACTATAAACAGTACACGCCATTTAGTCCTATACAATAGGACTAAATGGCGCTTTGTGAATTGTATTATTATTGTTTTCAAAACTTAACTGCCACTGAAAATATTTTTGGCTACACATACACTGAAATCTGCTAGAGAACTCTACCTTACAACTTTATATTCTCCCTCCTACAACTTAGTAGAGTTCCCTACTTTAAGTGTAATATAAAAGTAATTTATCTTAAAAATAAATGTCCTTAATTAACATTAGGTAATAAAACAAACATACCATCCATTGATACCTATATACAACCCCAGGCCTAAAATCTTATTTAAGGCATCCTCTGTACCATCAAATGAGTGTACCACTCCACCTACAATTTTATCTCTATTTCTGCTCAATATGTCCACTAGATCGTCAGCAGCAGCACGGCAGTGCAAGAAGAGTGGTAAGTTAAATTGTTTACTTAATTGTAATTGGAACTCGAAATATCTGTAGATAAAAAGATTTTTAAGTAAAGTGAAAGTGGAAATCTTATAATTTGAAATTACAAACAGATTCTTCAATTTTACATATCTAATGTAAAAATGTACTGCTGCTACACAGTCAGCAACTGTTAACACTAAAATAAGTCATACATACTTAATTTGAACATCTTTATCACAAAAATGCAGGCGATCATAGTCTAACCCACACTCTCCAATAGCTACAACTTTATCTTTGTTCGCTACAATCAATTCTCTTAGTCCATCGAGATATTTGTCTGGATCGGGTACAAATTCTGTACATCTTGTCGGATGGCATCCTACGGTAGAGAATAATCTTGCTGAAAATGTATGATTTGCTCAAACACAGTCATTAGACAACATATTTAAACAGTAATAGTGTATTAAGTTTAGCAAATATTTCTGTTAGGCTGTGTAGTTATGTGTTAATTAATAAAGGTTTTGAATTTGAAGTGTATTTAGTTTAATTGTTAAACTGCTAGCTGCTACATGTAACTACAACTGTTTTGTTTTTAGATAAAAGGTAGCCTATATATGACTATTTTATATGGTTATATTTTTCATGTATTACTGTTATTGTACAGTTATAGATAGAAAGTAGAAATAGATTCATCTTATAGAAACAAATTACCAATGGTACAGGAGTGTATCACACAGGAGATATTGTTAGAGAAACTGTCAATATTATAGTGAGCATTACACTTGAAATACCCATACTTCCCACAATATATTTTCAATTTAACATGGCTGGTAATGATCATCAACATGATCATACCTTATCTCATGGTTTAATTTTTGATTTGATGTTAGTGTTTCCTTCACTGGAAAGTCAGTCAAAAATATAACACTCACATTCTCTTGGGCGTAATTCAGGGTAGTAAACCTATAGGTCATGACGGTCTCTACTTATTTTATATTTAGCTTACTATTACAATAGAAATAAAATCTAAACTATTATACATGAATTAAACAAGAATATAAATAAAGGAATTTAAATCCACAAATACTCACAATCTGTGCGAGATAAATCTATTGCTTTCTTGCTATCACATAAACTTCCGCCTGTTATGATCATTTTATCCATCCCGCCAGCCCAACTACGATTAAGAACTTTGTCGAGATCGGGTGCATGTTTTTTAGAACCATGATAAACACCTTGGTACATTTCATCGGTTAAATTGGCGCCAATGTCTGAAAACAGATAAGTATAGATTCCATTAAACATTCTGGTGGTCTCTCAATTCTGGTCGTAAAGTTGAAACTTTAAAAGATAAATGGACTTACCTATATATTTTCTAATAATAGCCATCTTTCTCATTGGACGTTTACAATATTATTGGTTATTTAATAAAGCAAAGTAGTATAGGAGAAATAACATTCAAACTTAAATAAAATAAGGCAATTTTTCAAAGTAAAAAAATAAATATTAAAATTGGGAGAACATGTGGAAACGAAAATGGGAAATTGAAGTCTAATCTGACATATGTCAGTAATGTCCATAGAACACTTATATAGATTATAAATGTCGTTTCGGGTAATGTCACTGTTAATACTGTTATCATTAAAACCGTAAATATATAAATAATCATACATAAATACATATATACAACAAAACATACATAAAGTAAATATAAATAAAAGCATTTTTGTTAAGTTTTAAAAAAATATATCTAGCACATTACATTATCAGGTTTACGGAAAGAAAAATAATATATTTAAAAAATAACATCCCTTCTTACCTTCAATTTATTTAAATTATAAAAAGACTGTAAATTTTACAAATCTGAATGGATATAATTGTTTTACTTTTCCAATTACAATTACCCCCTATCCGATTCGATCCAATGCTATGAACCGAAAAAATATTAATTAACAATAGGGTGTATTGTAGGTACTGTCCAATAATCAGAGACCTGTTAATAAAATAAAAAATACAGATATTCATTTACTATTGATATATATTTACATATACCTAGCTATGATAAATAATCTATAGATAGATGTTTTTCAGTGCATGTGTGTTATCCCCATGAGTGAATCACTTCAACAGTATCTAGGTAATCTTATGTAGGATTACGGGTAGATTTAAAAATAATATATTTTAATTCTACTTTAATATTTTAATGAAATTTTAGAGTAGTATTAAATTGTAGCTAATTTTAAATTTTCACAGAACTCATAGATTATTAATTATTTAATATTTATTTATTTATATATATGATGAAATTATGTATTTCTTGATATTCGTCGTCGAGTTTGTTATTTTTGATCGAATGAGTAGTTTTATTGCTTTATAGCATAGCATCATTTAAATATTTATGTTATCACTTCGTTATCAACTTGCTTTTCTCCCAATGATAGTTTTTACTGTAAAAAAGTATGCAATTTTAAATCTTGATTATAAAGTTATGTACATTTACGTTAGAATAATATATATATATTATTACGTTGGAAAAAATTCTGATAGCCCTTGTCATGAAAAAATATTACTGGCGTTTTCAGACATGAACAAGTACCTACTGAGAAAAATTAAAAACTTGACCCTTGGTAGGTGCCAGTCAAGCATTACCATTTTTAAGAACTATTAAGACTGCATATCCCCGAACCCTCACTATTAAAAAATATGTTTTTTTTCACAATTAAACTCAATGAACGTAAATATTTACGCAATGTTCCTGAATAGAGATTGAACGAATAGATACTGAAGAATGCATATATTAGTGCATGCTTATTCTGTTGAAATATGCAGTTATTACTGTAATAGTATATTATTTTCACACTTCAAACCGAAACCACCGTATATTTATCTAAGCACAGCAAAAACACAAGTATGGAAGTAGGAACTTACATTTTATAATGTGTCATTTCAAGAATCATAATACCGAGAGAGAGTAGAATGCCATATATCATGAGCAATAGAACAGGTTTCAAATCCATCAGACCAACGCTACTGAACGCTGCCAGTTTGTTGGAGCAGTGTGGCTTCGGTGTTTGCAATCGTCTGTTGAGGACTGACAAGATGCCGGACTCCCGGAGTTGTTTGTATCTGTGAATCCATAATTGTTCGACATGATTCCTACGGCTAGGTTTTTTCGACTACATTATGGGAATTTTCAAGAGTAGGTATATTAGATATATTAAGGTTTTTTTCATTCTTTTCTCTTTAGGTTCGTAACGCACGAGACACTCCTAGTGTATCAGGCATCCATAGGCTTGTTATCCACTATCAAAGCATAAAATAAATACAATTAATGAAATTTGAAGTGAGGATAAATCGCATCACAAGTATATAAAAACAAACGAATTCTGTTTTAGGCCTCTTACAAAATTTTACACTGCACAAAATGTTGCCCCTTAACGTGAAAGGGCGTACGAAAGTGTAAACTTTTGTAGCAACTGGTTGGGAGGCGTTCTAAATTTAAAAATCTAATATACAGAAGTACCGTCCAAAAGATAAAATTTGAACGATTAACAAAAATAGTTCAAATTAAAAAATAAATGTGACGTTACACTATCACATATGTGACCAAATGTGACAAGGTCGGGGAGGGGAAAAATCACGACGTTCTTGTGAAATATGGATGGCCCATAATGATGATTGTCACTGACACAACCCGAAGTAGTTCTATGTACGGCGAGTCCTTTTGCACTGGCGTTGCTGCGTCGAAACTGTTAATGAAATCCACTTCGGTCAGATCGCATTTTTCTGTTTCCTGGAAGGTTTTCTCAACGCGATGGTATACTGGTTCTACTATTGAATGGAAAGCGAACAGGCCCTGAAATATTAATATTCTCTGTAGAAGCTCCAACGGCAAGCGGTGATAATAATAATAACTTTCACAATTCACGTAGCGCTATCTAGTTCCAAGCTAAGCAGGACATGACACATCCACTTTTCGTTCTATAATTTTTGTTCTACCTTCTCGGATAAATTTTTAGTTTGTATCGATGTTTCCTTCATCGGAGAGTCAGTCAAAATATATAAATTGACACACAAAGTTTTCTTTGGTGTCGAACAGACTTGAACTGATGACCTCTTAGATATAATTTAGTAAATCATTAAGCCCTATCGTTAGTATAATAATTAATAAAATAAAAATGTATTTAAAAACTACCTTTCTCATTCTTTCCACGCCTTCATAAATATGATAGTACTCCCCTTTTCCGTTGCCATTGTCGATTCTATCGTGTATGCTTTGATGTATCGGGTCTGTCAGGGTCTGGGAAGGCTATATAGAAAAACATACACGTCTTTATTACCAACAAAAACTTAATGTAAAAGAATTCAGAGGCGTTATGCGAATGGTATTGAAATAACTGTGTTTTCATAAAATAAAATGTGATTCGAAATTGTTGTAGAGTTCGGAGAAATAATATGTATATACTTTTGTACTTTGTCATGGTAATAATTTATCATATAATGAAAAAAATATATACGTAGTTTTCAATAATGTCTCTATGATAAATTATCTGTACAACAAACCATAGTGGTTAATTTTTCGTCAAGATGGGCTAACGAACATATTAAAGGCCATAATAAATGGTTTTAGTATGATAGTACGAGTAGTAAGTAATAATACTAATAATACACTTAGCACAAATCGATTGTAGTCTAAATCATTTGCTGCCAGATGGATCTTGGAATTCGATAGCTCTGCTAATGTTTTAATGGAGTTGGAAGGTGCTTGTAATAGGACCACAATATTGGCTGAATACGCTGCGTATAGCGCCATCAACACCGCAAAGAAGACCCATTCCATTATGCGACCTGGACAATTGTGAATAATAAGACCAATAAGCTAAATAAATATAATATAGGTACCTAAGCAATTTTTAATAATATGTTTCTTTTTATTCTACCACTCATTGTGAACGCAGACTCATCACAAGAAGAATGGTTAAGGATCTTGCGAGTTGCTCGTTTAAGCAAATGTTGTTTAGAATTTTTAAGAATTTTGTGTGAACCTGCTAAATAGCAAAGTAAATGAGTTCTAAATGAGAACACGTTTATACCACAGTTACAGTTATACGTAAATAATATATATATAATCTATCAATAATATCTATAGTAAATTACCTACTACAAATACTTTGAAATATCTGTTTAAAACGGTTCAAGTAGTAGTTTGTCTACTAATGAAAAGACTGATAAATAACTGTTTTTACACATTGAAAGATTATTTTTCATGCAAAATGGATGACCTTAGATATATAAATTGTTTGATTATAATGATTTTCATTATATAAGCAGACATTATTTAATTATTAATATAAATAATATAAGAAATTCAATTGAGTTTCAGAAAAAAATATAATACAAAATATTTTATAATCATAAGCGGCTAAAATGTCCGATATGAATAAATGTTTTCTTATTTTGAATAAAAATAATATATTTGCATATCGAACAGACTGAATGCCAGGACTACCAGCAAGTATAGATCCACCTGTATAATTAGATACCATTCATTGCAATAAATAATTTCATTTCATTACGTTTCATAGATAAATCAAAGTAGAGAAAATCTAGTCCCATGCTATCCAGAGCTGTATACACAATTACCTGGTATTCGCCTCGGTTCAATATAACAGCCTTGTTGCGTGACAGCACTCATTGTCAATAGTAAAGCATCACCAATACTGCCATCTAATTGCGTTGGGTTCTGCGGAAATACAAGAATAGAATAGAATAGAAAGAAAATCTTTAAATATAAAAAATCTCAAATAAACATACATTTAAGCAGTTTTGAATATTCATACTTATTTTATTAATTAAACCGCTTATTCGAAAAGCTGTCAAGAAGAAGGAGAGATAAACTCGCATGTTGCTCCTTTAAAAAATTGTTGTAACTTTATATTTTTAAGTTAAAAACAAACTACCAAATAGCAGTAGGTAATTCATTAGAGTCAAAATACACAGTACAATTAATTAGTCGCAATGATTAGAGCAGACCAGTCTGTAGAGACTACAAGCTCATTAGAGTAGTGTACTTATAACTAAACAACTGTTAGAAATACATTACTACATTTTTTTGTAAATACATACATAATATAAATAGAACAAAACACTCTGACGAACATAAACAATCGTAATCATGAATACAAATGTTTGTACTGTCCGAGGAATCAATTCCGTAACTATTGGAAGTAAAGCAATGCGCTAAACCGCTACTTCACTATCATCCTATCCTACTATCATATTAATATTATAAATTTGACACTTTCTGTCTTTAGCTCCTTTTGGGTGTATTTTTATTTTTCTTTTCTAATGGGGAAATTGTTTGGCGTGAAGATAGATTGTGTCAAGAGGACGGATATAAGTTAGCCTTTATTCAATAACAGCAGACGAAGTCACGGGAAGATCTAGTTTAATATATTTACCATTCCAAATGTACGTTCCCATTTGCTGGTGAAATAAAAAGTACCAGTACAACCCAGAGAGCAGACGGCTATCGCCATCCAAACGTTTCTCGAGAATGGCAAAGAGAATATATTGGATACGTAAGAAAGAGGAGGCTGCCGGAACACGAAGCGCATTCTCATGGGTGCCACAGTGTCTGTATAAGCTACCACTTCCATGCGATCAATGAATACCACGCAGTTAGTACCTGAAATTATTATAAAATTTACAATAAGCTGAGCCACTAACTATTTTGTGTAGACAGCACATAGACTAAGTTTTTTGTTTTTGTTGCTTCACTTCTTGTATTGTTATTTGTGTGTGCTGAAGATATGAATAAATTATTTGTGTATCTAATTAGAATTTATACATAGGTGAAGCTGGCCACATTTAAAAAAGAAAAAGTGTTTTTTTTTGTAATGGTAGTGGCAAACAAGCTGTCTACCTAAAATGTTGTTCTCGAACTATGAATTTTTTTTTCGAACTATGGCTGCAGCTGGCCTGGTAACTATCGCCTATATACTTGAATAACTCTAATTAAGTAAATACATAGTTTATAGGAATAGCACACTCGTCGACCATTTGACACTTGTGATACTACTCATGAATTGTATTATAAAGGATTAGGATGTCATGCCTCTTATCCTGCCAAATCCGCATCCTACAACCGAAACACAACTTACAAAGCAAGATGATTGGCAAAGGCAATTGAAAGGCAGCTGAAACAAGTAAAAGCCCCGACGTCTACCCAGACGTATTTTTCCAGTCTATATCGAATTAACCTAGAAAACATACTGTTACCAGCTATTTTCACTTTCTCAGTGTCATTAAAAATGCAAGAGCGATACCCAAATCTGCTTTCTTCAATTGTAAATCATGCACCATGCCGGACCACTTTCCTTTGACTTTGTACCCAAATCTATAGCTGAAGATATATCTTGGGGTTGCTTTTAACATCTCAAAAGCGTGCGTGGCAGATATCCAACAAATTTTTGCCACAGCATCGTATTGGAGTTCTCTAGAAAAATAATATTCAATTCTCATAGCTAGCATAGCATAGCTATGTAGTCCCAAGCTAAGCAGCTTGTGTTATGATTTCTAGATATATTTAACAGCACATTCTGTGAAACTTTCAAAATTAAATTAAACTCAAATTCACATAGAAACTTTTGGCTTTTTGTTCATGTTATATTTATCACTATCCCTATCATCTAGTTCAGATGGCTACTTCAGATGAGAAGAACTGACAAAAAACTCAACTGCTATACTTTTTTAATGTTATTTTTCATCATTTTAATTTCTTCACTGGTTTTTTCGTGAAACCTGGACACACATGTAGATAATTTTGATCTCGTCATATTTGTGCTATTATATATAATAAAGATAAGTAAGTTTGGTAAACTTACAATCTGTCCTCTTGAACAAGATGATATTTTGTCGTGTTGCTGTCTTGTATCACATTCGATATCGTCAGGTAATGGCCCTTTAGGTCCCTTCTTCGTCGGTACAATGACTTGTGAGATCTGGTGTCGAGCAGGCTTCCATTATAGAATCCTCTTGATGTTGATATCATTGAATAATTGATAGCCGGTTTATGCACTGCACAAAGTATGAGAATAGGCATTGAACATCATAATAATGGATATTCAGATTTAGGTGAATTCTCGCGACAAACGAGCTTGCGGCATACCCGTTGGTAAATGATTACCACCGCCCATAAGCACTCGCAACAACAGGGGAACTGCAAGTGTGTTGCAGGTTCTTTATGAAGGAATAACCTCTTTAATTGAAGATTCAATATCGTATTGGTTAATCGGTGTGGTTGTGTGTGACAGACTAATTTAAGTTGCATAAATTACTATAAAAATAATAAAAACACAATAAATGAGGATGTACATTCTACGAGTATTAGATCTTCGAGTCTTAAGAGTTATTGGTTCTCGTAGAATATCTTATTTTGCCTCCATTGTGTTCTTTCTTTTTTTTTTGTAATCGGAATGACAAAAAAGCTAATGGCCAATATTATTGTAGGTGGGAACCGTCGCTCATGTATATGAACAGCATTTTGATTTCTTTTTTCATGGATGATAATGATATGGTGCACCTGGCGGGACATCAGTGGAGGATGATAAGATGAGCATGAGGTCAGGTCAGTTTGCCCATCCTGATTAAATAATCACAATAGTTTCCAGGGGGAACCATGTGGAGGTTGACCTAACATGGTACATTGCTAACAATGGGATCACTAGACCCCATTAATAACAATCCCCTTCTCCCTTATGAATCCAACTGTAAGAATATCATATTATACATAAAACAAACTCTAGAAATACTTTTTATAAAGAGTTATCGAGCAGTTTCGTATAAAAGATCTTAGTTTGAAGTAGTACGACTCAATATTTATTGATTGACAGCCTCGGTGGTCTAGTGGTTTAGCATACCGCTTTACTATCCGATGGTCGCGGGTTCGATTCCTCCCACAGTACAAACATTTGTATTCATGAGTATGATTGTTTGTATCGGTCTGGGTGTTTTCTATGTATAATATGTATTTATTTACAAAAAAAATGCATCCATGTATTTATATCAGTTGTCTAGTACCCATAACACAAGGCCTGCTTAGCTTGGGACTAGATGGCGTTGTGTAATTCACACAACGCCATCTAGTCCTGAAATATTATTATATTATTATATAATTAATAACTACTTACATTCAGTCAATATGAATCCTTCAGCTGCTTGCTCTGCTAATACAACTTCGCTGTCAGGCAGCAGTGGTCGGCTGAACAAAATCTCTTTTGATGTTTCTGATTCCTCATTGGAGAGCGCTAGCCAACGAAATGGAGATGCAAATAGTTTTCTTTCGGTTGCCTAAATGTAGAGAAATATACACTCAGGTTTGTAATTCCATAGGTGTCCATACTTAAAAATACATAATAAATGAATACTGTATAAAAAAAGAAGCCAAATATATGTACATATTTAAATATCCAATATTAATAAAAAAAAAGGAATATAAAAAAAAGAAAAGAAAATAAAAAAATAAGATAAACTGCGGAAATTCACAATACATAATTTCGCGGACAAAGAAAAGCGAGGAAAAGTCTATAGAAAATAAGGGTGCAACTTGATAAAAATAAAAAAATCATGTCGTTGGAATCACGATGTTTGTATGGGAAAAACTTTTGAAACTACTTAATAAATATTTATTAAATTTCGCTTACTGTATTCTTATAAGGATTGGCCAAAACTAGTCTATCATACTGGGTTTGAGAAAAGATTTAATATTTCATATATTTGTTTGTTTAAAGCCAAAATCATTTATTCATGTAGGACAATTTTTGCCACTTAACACATGTGCACGTTAATTTAGTAGTTTAGTTATTTAGTTCGGCTAGTTACTTTAATTGAGCTAAACTGGCACAAAACTTTACTGCTTTCTAGGGAATAAATTAAAAAGACTTGATTTCAGTAAATCTGTGTGTAAGGTTAAAGAATAAAGTATTTGGGTTTTCGGCCTTTTTTCTAATCCTGTAAAGGGATTATGTATAGTTAATAGAAGTTTTATAATTGTATAAGAATACAACTAAATATGCATGTTTAATCATTCCTATTTTATTGTAAGTTCAAATAGAAATGAAATGATACGTACATCTAATAATATTTGCTCTGAACCAGGACAGCTTAAGTCGATAAGATGTAGTACTAAATGGCGTTGGTATTTACATATTACATTCATGAAGTTGGACGATCTGACACCGATCTTAGACAATTCACTCACTAATTTCATCTGATTATCTGAAAGATTGCTCAAAGTTAACTATAAACATAACAAAATAATCTTAAATCCTTTCCTATATTGTATTATAAATAATAAGTAAGCACATATTATACAAATAAATAAAATTGATATCTGATTTATATGATATTATATCTGATTGTAATTTCAAATTTTCAGACTTCACTAAATGCATATGAAAGAATATGCGGTAAGTACTTACATAAAAGAAATTGTCTGTCTGTTTGTTGTTACTAATCTCTCTGGTTGCTAAAATCTCTGGCTGAGCTAATTTTGACGGGACTCGCAGATAGCTAATGTTATAAGGAGTAACTTAGTCTACATTTGTTTTAGAAATTGTTTTAATTCAACGCGGACGTTGCGGTTAATCGTCAGATGATGACTATAATACCAGATAAGGTAGACGGAGGCAATGTTTCAGCTAATTATACATACGTATATATAAATAAATACATTATATAGGTACATACGTTTCTTCCAACACAATCCATTCATAACCAAGTCGGTAGGTTTCTGCTCATTTTCGATAAAATTCTTTACGAACTGTATCACAGTTTCATCCCTTGACTGAACTAGATGTATCATTAATAAAAACACTCGTATATACATGCTGACATCCATGACATGCTATCCTTACAGAGGTAAGATCCAAGTTTTTTTATTGTACGCTGAAAATCAATTTTCTGTAGTTTCTGCCGCTGCTCATTAGTGTATTGTTATTAGTTGATATTTTCTAATTATATTAAGTACTTTTGAAGTACTAATCAAAATACTGTTAGTTGCAGCTAGTCTACAGTTTGACTAGACAAGGACCAGTATGTAGCAGTTGTACTTACGTCTGCTTGACGAATGCTACGTTAGTCTGATGGCACTGATAGGGTTGAAACCTTTACTGAATCATGGGTGCTTGTTCCAAACAAAGGCCTTGGAGGCGTGCGCGTGTTCTCACAAGCTTCCACAACTGAGTAGGGCGAAATAGGTTGCCCTAACGACGAGTAGGGCTCTGCACTAAACTATCTACAGATCGGGCCAACCACTGAAATGGCGGTAAAATGCTAAAGCCACATCGCGACTCCGGTGAACGCCATTGTTCATAGGTACACCGTGTGGTTTTGTAAAGCGGTAATCACACATACCCCCTCATTACCCCTCAAAAGAGGGGACAGTTTTTTGAATATTTTTCCACACGTTAAAAAAGAGGAAAACCCTTTATTTCGCAAGGCCGAGGGTCAGGTCAAAGAAGAAGACCAGGGAGTTTTGGCGAGTAACAATCTCACATATTCCACTCGACCCCTCCGATCGATCCCCCGTCCAATTCAAACGGGGATCGAAATTACGACGGCCTGAGCCGAGGTTCGAACCCCTAGTGGTGCCCTCAGACTAAAGTCGTATCCGTCAGGCAGGAGTTGGCCTTCAGCCGCTCCATAAGTCCTTCCGCGGGTTTGGAGTGCCATCTGCACTCGCCCCATAACGTCCGGTGAAGTTGTAAAGGCCAGCTACGGCCAACAGCATTAGAGTAGTCCGAAAAAAAAAAAGAAATTCCACTCGAATGAAGATTTCTCCTCATTAAAAAAGGGGTTGAAATCTCAGCTCACTGTAATCTTGATCTCTGTTGGAATGCGATAGGGGTGTGCGGTCGAAGGTTGAACAAAATGGAGAGCAACCTTATCAATGCCAGTTTTGATTTTGATTTTACTCTAAATTTTTATTGCAGAATTCGAACGTACATATTTTGCAGTAATTTGGGGTAAAACTAATGATATTCTAAATAAATATAAATATTTACTTAACATATTAATTGAGAAATATGTCTGTTCGTAACTGTGCGAACATTTAGAGTTAAATCAAAATATGTTAAGTAAACATTGGATTTTTGTTTAGGGTAGCACTAAAGCGTCTTACATAAGTGTACCTTTAGCACTAAGTTTGCAGAACTATATAGTACACTCTACCGGGTACCACATAATAAAATACTAGAAATTTTCTTGTTTCAGACTTTAAATACCCTTAACTTGACTTAATGACAAGCTATTGAATTATGTTGTCAATAATGTTTAAGCATTAAATGATTTGTGCTCAATTACTTTGTATGTAATTTGAAGTACTAAACTTGTTAATATATGTTTACCTAATGACCGTAATAGTTCTAAAACAAGACTTCAAACAGATAAATGGCTTTTTGACAGACAGTAATATAGGCAATTTCTTTGTAAATAAATAAAAGTCACAAAGTAAACTACTTTAATAATATTTATTGTTATTTTTTTAACAAAGTGTGTTATTATATTGAAGTGAAAATATTACATTTTTTCTAAATTACTATATTATGTAACTAATTTCTTATGTAACATAATTATATTATACTAAGATTTTATTAGATAATACTTCTACTAAAATATATTCTAAACTATAATATTTAATAAATAATCTCATAAATACGACTAAGTTATTATTTCTAATCAATATCTAACACTATAAAGTTACATTTGTGTATAAGAATACTTAGTAGACGATTGGGTCTACCAGCTTATAAATTTATAATATTCGGTATAGAAATAAAAGAAATATACATCACTATTGTTGTTGTCTGTTACAATCTTTACTCGATATTAAAGTTCATTATACAAAAAATATATAATAAAATTCTTTCGAAAAATATAATATATGAACTATAAAAGTATGTGGCCAGTACATCAGCAACAACTATCTTTAAATATTATACATCGTGAGTATTGGAGTTTGTTAAGTTCTTGACGTTAGTCGTATTTGCACTTTTTTTTAATTTATTCTTTAGTGTTTTATTTATATTAAATTTATATAAAGTTAATTACTTTAATAATATTAGGTATTATTATACTGTATTGTAAAATGCTGAACATATACTGTCATTACTATTTAATAAAAGTTAATCACGATTGTATTTCTTAGGATGCGTCGTTTTTATTTATGTCTGTGGTTAAATTGAGAATAGATTAATATTGTCTGTCTTTAATACTATTTGTCTATAGTCTTACTGAATATCTTTTTGACATTCAGTAAGACTATGTAATATTATATTATCTGTGGTAAGACTATGACACATGACTATATTTTTTTAAGAAAAATACTTCTCCCAGATTCTAATGAAATGTAACACTGGCAAGCAAGCATTTTCTACACATTATGCTGAAATCATTTTAGAGAAAAAATAGACCAATTTGGTGGCAATTATTCACAGTTAGCAGGATTCAATACATTTTTAATTATATCGCGTCGATTAGTTGAAATCGTATAAGATATTTCTTGGATACTTATATTTGGTCCAACAAAGGTTTCGGCCAACAACGACGTCGGCCTGTCACCGAGTTTCAAAATCGAAACCAACATTTAAATATAAATAAAATGCAATTGTAGCTTCACGACTATGAGGTATACAAAATGATGATTGCATATAAAATTTCACAAAAATCGGTCTACCCGTAACTAACATTGTGACACGAGAATTATATATATATATATATATATATATATATATATATATATATATATATATATATATATATAAGACAAGCTGACCCGGCAAACTTAAAAAAATTTAAAATAAAGTTAACAAAAACGAAAAATTTGTTATAAACATATTCTAAGTTCTACTAAAGATACATATAAATATTCATCAAAATTGGTCAAGCTAACGGAGGAGTATAAACGAACTTAAACGAACTGTAAACACGAACCCTGTGACAACTAAAAACGTTATAATACTAGAGAATACTACTACAACAGGTTGACAGGTTAACCTTATAATATTAACTTTGTATTTGTGACTTATTATAATTGTATATTAATTTAAAAACTTATATTAATTTTACATAATTAAAACTAGCTACTCGCCCCGGCTTCGCATATGTATACCTGTATTATACATATAAACCTTCCTATAGAATCACTCTATGTATTAAAAAAAAACGCTTCAAATTCCGTTGTGTATTTCTAAAGATTTAAGCATATATAGGGACGGACAGACAGCCACCGCGACATTGTTTTATACTATGTAGTGATGATAAAATAAGTTGACAGGCCCAGATCACGGTACGACTTTAATCTTAGAGCATCGTAAGGGTTTCGTACCTCTGCGTATTTATTTTTTGATATATATATTTTTATTGTGACATTAAAAAATATACTATACCTTTGTAATTGTAAAGATGCTGTGGCTAATGCGCCTAACTCACCCTGAAGAAGATTTAATGTATGCACTTCATTAATAGCTGATCCACGCAATTTCCTATGCTTCACATTTTCTCCTTTTTCCAACATTTTCCATTACTGCATCGCTTCCCTTCTATTGATTAATATTTGTAGCGTGATATTATATGAAGTCTACTACGTATATTCTTTTTGTTTATAATTAGGAGTTTAGTAACGACTGTATTTTTGCAAATCAATATGAAGATCCAACAAAAATAAACGCTAAAAGTTGGTCTAATATACAAAAAATACTATTTTAAAACATTTTCAATGAATAGCTGTGAACTTTTAGAGATAGCAATGTACGTAACAGGTATGTAATTAAATAATACGAAAATATATTTGACAATAATGTTTATGTTTAATTAGATGTGCATCGTGCATAATATGCCTTAGAGAATGTGAAATAATTAGACAATATTATTATAGCACATATTAAAAACACTTACACATTATACATATATGCCTTCGAATATATACCAATTTTAGGTAGATATTAATACACCTCTAGTATTTGCATTAGAAGATAATGCACTGATTTTTCTTATTTTTTTCGAACGGCACTACGATCATCAAGTTATTATGTGACATCCATGATATTGGTCATTAAGATATGAATTAAGGGATAAGAGGTATGCTCTTATACCTTAATTCATTATTCCAACTGCCATTTCATATAAACTCAACTTACAAAGCAAGCTGCTTGGAGGCTGAAATGAGGTGAAACGCAATGTATTTTTACAAAATCTCAGTAATATATATCTTTTATTATCATGGTGGCAACCGAAATGTTTAAAAGTCAAGTTGTTTTTCTACTTCTATATTTGATACTTTTATTATATTTATGTCTTCCTAAGCGCTGAACCTAAATAATAGGATAAAGGCAAGGCAATGATCTCCGTTATCTAGGAATGGTCTTCTCCGACAGATATACCGGCCGAGGTGGCGACCGATTCAAGTCCTGAATGTGTCTTTTTAGATTTTATCGATTTATGCTGTCTACGCTGTCTTATTTTCATTCTGAAATGTAAATAAATAAAACACATAATGTATAATATCATTATTAATACTTTGCGACATTGCCTGCGTGATTTGGAGTAAGAAGTAGATTCCTAGATTAATATTGGATATATTAATCTAGGATATGATCTATATGTGTATCAAGTTTCATTCGAGTTTATACAGTGATTCTTGCGCGTGGTATCTTTCGTGGTAAAAATTCTACAAACTCCCACTTGAATTTCTGAGTGGATGGTTTTCCTCTCTCTTTGGAAGATAAAAAAGATGTAAAGAATCACGTTACTTCAAGACAACAGACAGACATTTAAATTGAAACGTTGTCTACGTTTCAGTTTGAATGTGTGGAAATATTAAATTTTAGTTATAAATTTAAAGCGATAAATAACCGGTACCTTGGAAACCATCGTCGTTAATTCCTGAAGATATCGCCAGGAGAGACTTACTGACCTGACTTCATGCTCAAACAGTCATCCTTCATTGATGTTCTGTCAGCATTTACCGCTAGCGCAGGCGGGAGTCCATTCCTTTATCACCGTTTAAAAAAAAGTTTAAATGTGAACATACAGTCTGTAGTATGCAATTTCCAGGAGCAGCACCGCTGGCGCCATCAGCATGCCGTAGAACGTGGCCATCATGGCCGGGTACATGTCAGTAATGCCAACACTGCTGAATGTGGCCACGGAGCCTGAACAGCGCGGCCGAGGAACCGTCAGCCGGTGACGATTGTTCGCTTGGATTCCCGTTTCGCGAATTTTCAGAAAGCTGCCGAAATATAATGATAATAACAATTCACACAACGCCATCTAGCCCCACGCAAAGCAGAGCTTGTGCTATGGTCATGTAACGATCACATACTAGGTATGTTGATTGTTTCATAAAAATTAGATTAATAAATCTAACACCTAATATATAGAAGTGACGTGATGTTATAAGTACATAGTAAGTGCGTATTATGTAGAATTAAGATTTTTTTCGCGGAACGGATACTTAAATAATTACTTCATAAAAACGGCTGCAACTCTCAAACGTGTCTATAATATTTCGTATTTTGTTCACATGCCACTTACGGATATTGTAGGGTCCTTATTTTACCACAAAGTATGTACCACCAAATAGGTATTAGTTAGCATATATAATATTATCTTATTAGAGCATTAGAAATAATGATGCATATGTTTTATTAAATTGTCAACCATCTAAGTATTGTTTATTTAAGTAACATAAATTAGTTACTTTATTAGACGTGGCGTTACTTTGGTAGAACTCAAGCTGAGAAAGTGTCGAGTTAAAACAATAAATTAATAAGTTTATTAGACAGGGCACGACATGGGACAGTGGCTTGTTTAAAATTTGCTTTAAGGGTCGTTAGCAAAAAATAGTAAAAGTAAGAAGGACAAGGGGCGCGGGGAGGCAATACGTGTCATGGTGGGATTGAGACACGGAGAAATCAGGACAGTTGGTTTTGGGACGGATAGCGGGGTAGTCGATCTGAAATAGGCAGCGGGTGTCGGAACGAGTAGCGGAACAAGCGGACTAGTCGATCTGAATTAAGGGTTAATTTCCGCGTTCCTTGAGAGACGGCAACGAACAATGAATCCGGGGCGGTGCAACGGTGGCTGAACAAGAGACGTCGACGTCAAAATGTTATTGGTGAGATAGAATAGCTACCACATGACAGGTCGTATAAAACTTTAATTATTATTTAAGTTTATTGTAATTTTATTTTAGTCATAAGGTAGATAATTGGTACACTTTGGAGGGGAGCGTGATGATGTTAATAATTGTATTATAAATATGGTAATAACTATGATACATAGGATTGGGTTCCATTCATGTATATAGATAGGTGACAAGGGCAAACGAGCTTCGGTAACGGTTGCTGTAACTGTGAGTAGATTTTAAGTAATGGACAAAACGTTAATTATTATAACATGCTCAGTGTAATCAACAAACTACTGAACCGATATTTAAGGAGGAGCGACTGAAATGATGATGATATTTTATTTATTCTGATATAAAACTACACTATTAAATATAATTTAATAGATTTTGTTATTGATTTACTAAATGTGCTCATGTCCATATGATTAATATTTAATCATTAAGTACGGCTTAATAACTGATAAATATTTATAATATAATCATTCATTTAAAAAGGGAAATCTTCTCTGACCCCCCTAAGAGTTTTATGTGATTACTTTAATAGTTTTGAAGGATAATGGGAGCTTTTCTTTCTTTTCTCGAATGCATGTTTGTACACATCCACAAGGTGGAAGTTACAAATAAACTATTATATATTTTCAAACCGAAACACAGCAACTTCCAAAAGTATGTATTGTATGTTTGTTTGTTTTTACAAGGTAGAAACTTGCAATTATAAGAATAATGTTGAGCAGAAAGACAGTGCTTTCTTTAATTATTGTGATGGATGTTTGTACATTTCCACAAGGTGGAAATTGCAAATAATGAATAAGTAAATAGTATATTTTTCACAAGGTGGAAAATATATTAAAATGGAATATTTAAAAGAACCACGTCCTTAATATGAACCTTGACTGAGCATATTGAAGATAATCACCGGAGTAATAATATTAATTATTAAGGGATAACATTGACTATCTCTTTATGGAACGAGTTGTGAATATATCCTTTCTGGGACTATCATTTTGAATTCTTAACAAATTGGGTTTTTAGCAATAATACAATCATACGAATGTGATACATATTACAAAACGAATTGTAGTTAAACTATAGAATTATTCAAATACTAGATCGCGTATTTTTGTTTACCTCATAATGATTCGAGCATAGATAATTATATATTTTGTGGTGTGAATATAATATCAGGTGAATATTCAAATATTATATATTTTATTTCTTCTATATAATCATAAATCAATATTACAACAACAACAAGATTGGTATGGACGTAAAGTAGTTGCTCGAATTTGATGTGGGAATAGCAAGTTCTCTGACCAGCATAGGGCGGTATGTCAGCGCCGATCGGGCCTTAGGGTACATGGTCACAGCCGTACTTAACTGTGGATGGCAGAAAGCCTGTTAACTAGGTTAAATATAATATTTTCGGATGTTCTCCATGGTTATGTTCACTTTTGACTCTCGATTTACATCTGTTATGACTTGATTCGTTCAGTGTCGTCGATTCTTGGATGTAAGTTTTCCTAGGCCCGGCTGACTAGAACCCTACCTTGTTCTCGCAACTCGTGTTAGATCTAGGTCCAGGAGTGCCGAGAATGGATTGTCTTATGTCGGGTTTTAAGGGCTCTTAACGTGGTCAGGAAGTAGCAGATGTGGGTCCCCTGCGCGAACCTATTTTAAAGGTGTAATTTAACTGTAGCACTATCGTATGCGTCCATTCTGATAGAATATATTACAACTATAGTTCCAACTGGGTTAGTCTTCAATGATGAGACTAAGATATTTATCTTCCTTCTTTATCCAATTTTCATACTACGAGGGAACTACGAGTCGGTATCCAGGTATAAGACGAGGCGTGCACGCGACGAAGGTGACCTCCGACAGCATCCAACGAATCTTACAGCTGGGTTCCTGATAGTTCTAATATTAAGAAGTTATGTATAACATTAATTTCAATCATAAGCATGTAAACATTGTAACAGAAACATTATTATAACAAAGAGCAAAATCCAAGTTTCTTGCCCGTATCTTCTTTGTCGCAATAGATAGGGTTCCGAACGGGTGGTAAAGTCATTTAATATTAAATTCATTTAAAACACATAACGAATCGAATAACGCTGCTCACGTAATAAAACCGAAAATAAATAACTTCATTTGCGGCTCGATCCTTGTTTTATTTCTTACTACTATTTCCTAGATAATAATCAAGTAGGCTTCATATTTTGCAGTAGGTTATTTCTTAGGTATTAATTGTAACAACGTAGAGTCCTAGACGATCACTTGGCCATCACAACGACATATATACGTAAGCATTAGATAGGGATAGTTAGGTCTGTGTTACGACCGTCTGTCGTCACTCAGTGTAGGTTATGTAGGGTTAGGGTTAGGGATGTTACAGTCACTAGATAACGTGGTAGTAGAATTAGACAATACAAAGTAAACATTGCCATAATTTTACAAATCTCTCTTTTTTGTTACTTGTGACAAAGTAAGAATTTTGATGATAGTATACGCCTCTTTAGTTAGTAACTTTTCTTACGTAATTTTAAATAAGTCCTTGAAAGGAGACCTTCTCTGGCCCGGCAACCAGGGTTCGACCTCGTTGATGTAGTCTATCTCCACCAGATCACACTTCTCATTCTCCTGATATGTTTTTTGTATCAGGCGATATCCTTGGTTTAGTGGCATGTGGAATGCGAAGAAACCCTAAATGGTTGGTAAAATAAACAATATTTTAATGGATTATTTTGTTAACATAAAATATTCATGTAATAATTATGAAAGTGAATGAAGCGAGACATTAAATAAGGTAATGCTAGTCAATGGCACTGCTCTCTGTTAACTTCGTATGACCGGATCAAGATAAGTAACTTCTTTATTAGAGATATACGTAATCAATTAAATTCTAGATCGGCTTCGCTCTGTAAAGGCATTAACGATAATTTTAAATGTGTCAATCACAGTAAATTTGCTTTGATATCTTATTTAATTTTCTACATTTTATCTATTTTATTATGTACAATACAAGTCTTCCTTTACTGTACTTCATTGAGGTCAAATTGTTCTCTTTTTTTATTGTTTAATTTTGGTCACAAATGTATATATGGTATGATATGCTGATGGTCATTGTATTTGCCCTAAATCTAAATATTTTGTATTATTATTATATTGCTTATATTTTCAATTTAAAAACAGTCAATATTGAATTTTAATATTTTTTTCTGGTCTTCAAACTATAGTCCGATCAAACAATAGATTTAACCTACTCTGAGTGACTCTAATGAATGAATAAAGCAAGCATTAGCAATTTTATTCACAAAAACTTACCTGTCTAATTTTCTCTACTCCATCCTTCATATCAAAATAATTTGGTGCTTTCCCTTTGGGTGCAAACTTGGTATCGTATATACCTTTCCTTATTGGGTCATTCACTTGCTGAAATGATTATGATTTTTTTAGATCTAATTCTTCGCTTATAGATTTAAATCTCTATGATTATCTTACACCCTTATTATTGTCTGAATGATAATGCAACGGTCATAGATGATGATGACAGACAAGCAGTAATAAATGAAAGGATGAGTATAATATATTAATAAGGCTGACGTGACATTCACAAGACTTTGACCATAGTAGTTTCCAGGATTATCGTGTTGAGCTAAACATTTATGATTAATAATGAAATCAACATCTTCATTGTAAACAAATCTATCGTTGCAATGGAGTTTAATCAATAAATTAGGTACAAATTATAAACTTACTTTCATGTAATGTCTATTATATACCATATCACTAGCTCCGACTTTAAGAGGTGAATTCAGAAGGTCAGATAAACTCCTCACTGAGGAACTGGGAGCTCTTAGTAGTACTACAATGTTGGCTGAGTACGCAGCGTACAGGATTGTTAGCGCTAGGAAGAGTAGCAGAGTCACAGTTCTACCTGAAATTTATTCTAATTAGATGTTTCTGTGTATATGTCAGATAAATTTGAGAATTACAAACTACTTCTATTTTTATGACTTCTAAAATGTACGTAATTTTAGAAATTATAAAAATAGAAGTAATAATGAATTTACGAGACTTATTTGATAAGACTGTAGATATACATTTTAAAAAAGTGGTTTGGTTAAAAGTATGGTTTAGCTTGAAATAAGCTAAACTGGTTGGTTGATTATTTATCATTCTTTTCAGTTATTTAGTTTAGGTTATCAGGGTCTTCATTTTGTATTGCACAACTTTCTGCCATTTGATTACCTAGCTAACTAACCTCAACTATTATGTACTCTCCTTTTTAAATTTGTAAACTTGTGGTTGTACAAATAAAGCATTATTATTATTATTCTTTAAACACAAAAGTACTCATTGCAATCATCAAAACAAGCATATGACTAAACTAGGCCTATGCACGACAAAAATCTGCAGATTCTGCCAAACTGAAGAGGAAACGCCACTACACATCCTATGTGGTTGTAGCCCACTCATGCATAAACGAAATATCTCCTTTGGAAAGTTTACACTCTTTCCCGAGGAGATAAAAACCATCGCTCCTAAGAATATCCTTCAATTCTTGTCCCTGACGGGTCTAGGCAGCGTACTTTGAAAAAGGGCGAGCACAATTGATCTATGTAGGTCGTAGTGCTACAGGTGCTACAAACATCTGACAATAGCCCAAACAACCCAATGAAAAAAAAATATATATTATTATTCTTTAAACACAAAAGTACTCATTGCTAGTAATACTCTTATGACTTAGTCCTGGTAATTCTTTTTTCAATTTAATAATTTTATCTTTGTCATTATTACTTTTAATTTTTTAAGATTAAACAAGGTCAATTTCCTTTTTTATTTATAGTGCTTTATTGCACCAAGGTTAAACAAAATAATTTATTTCTATTGAAAATATTGGTACAAATATGCAAGGCAAGTCATATTTTTTTAGTCCTACCGTTCCGTTTCGTGTAGTTGATCTTTATTATTAATCAGTTTCAAGTTTTCTAATCTTCTATTGGAGCCTTTGCAACCACTACTTTAGTACTATCAAAGTATTTTTTTATACCTAAAATCTTTCAAATATAATTATTTGAAAGATTTTCTATACATACCAGGCGCTTTTCTATACATATCTATACATACCAGGCGCATATCGTGGTTCAAGAGTGGATCCTTGTTGTAAGACAGCTCCTATGATTAGTATGAGGACGTCCATTTGGTAATGATCCTGAAATTGTTATGTTAACTTTAAGAAGTGAAAAACTTGTATATAAAAAATATATAAGAAGAAAGAGACCTTGATATGAGGAAAGTAAAGTCAACTGTGTTTACGAGTATTTAAGGAACTATGTCACTTTTTGAAAGTTACATTATTCCAAAATAATTTAGACTGTATATTATGTAGATATATAAAGAACTCATAAATCTTTATTTCTTTATTCATGTAGGTACATACATACATATTACAGACTCTCATAATAAGCCAAATCTACCGTCAGTTCGGAGTGCTTCCGAGCTGAGAAGAATTGACAAGAATGCTCTTATTCTTTTCAAATGAGCTTGTTTACAAAAATCAGATTCATTTTTATATTCAAATTTGTGGGAATACAGTGAGCGCCAGCATATATGATTTTGCAATTTTGTTAAAAGGAAATAGTTTAATCAATTTCCGTAACCCGAATAGACCAGTCCCCGTTAAGATCGGACTACCCGCGCGAAGCTGGGAAATCCACTAATTTTAATACAAGGTAGTAGGTATAATAAGTTCCAGCAAAGGGGAGAGTACATTTTCATATTGAAATTATAAATGCAAAAATAGGCCGTCTTCTTAGATATTTTAGTAACGATTGTGTTAAAGATTTGTTCTTTACAGATTGGACAATTTGTAAGTTTTATCTGGCCTCTCTGTAATTAAACAGTATGTTTGTTAATTATATTACTAACAGCGGAAGCATAATCGATTGTTAGAATCTATCGCTTTAACTCCCTTGTGCCTCAATCAACATATTTCTTTTATTTTTTCGATTAAAATAATTAAATTATCTTTATAGAGGTTGAATTAGACGGGTTTACAATTCTATAATTATTTTCTATAAGGATTGTTAGACAAACAATAATATACTTACCGTGGACATAGTGGCTTCCCATTTGGATGTGATATATAGAAACAAGGCACACCCCAAAATACAAACAAAAATGGCCAGCCACACGTCTCTGGTGAAGGGCAGCGTGAAGATATTGGAAATATACGGGAGTGGTGGGTCCCTGAACACGAACCTGACGCCAGTGGATAACACCATCGCTATGTAGTCGATGACGTCTAACCGTTGCTTATTGAAGAATGCTATGGTACCTGATAATAGAATAGAACAGAATAGAAAACAAAATAGCAAATTCTTTATTATGAAATTTAAATTTAAGCACTATTGTTATAATAATTTTTTTACAACCGCTCTTTCGGAAGTCACATCAGAAGAATAACGTAATGAAAATTGCGTGTTGCTTTTTTAAATAATTTTTATACCTTTACATTTTTAAGTTGATATGTGAGAATATAGAATATATATAACATTATAACAAACTGTCAACCAGCGCTAATTCATTAGAGTCAATATATGAAATAGTCAATCAACTAAATAAGAGTAAATCAGTCATAGTAATTAAAGCAGACTAGTCCCTACAATCAGCACATTTACATACTAATATTATGAATGCAAAAGTGTATCTGTCTGTCTCACGGAAAACAACTAAGTTTCTTATAGCATATATTACATATTTTTTGGTCTTGGCTTTAACGTAAGTTCAATTCAAGGAAAGAAGGATTTAGAAGGTACACGTCGCCACCTGCAATGTTCAAATGATTCGGTAAAAGTTGCAGAGGACACCGGGAACGAGATGGATTTGAACGCACCGGGACCTTCTACAGTGCAAAGTGAGCGTAACTCAACGAGTAAAAAGCTGTCAACGTCTTCGTCGATAGCAGAAAGGCGAAAGCTGCAATCAATCACAATCGTAGGAACCTAGTGGGCTAAAAAACGATTTTGTCAAAGAGTGGTTAGAAAATAACAAGCAAGATACATTGGCAGTGTACCACTCGCCATGAACCCGTTGCTGATAAGTTGCTGCAGCCGGAACGACCAGAAAACTAAATCCATAGCGGCTAAACATACTCGTATACTCGAAACCGGATGTAAGTGCGGTCGCCACAATTGTAATCCCTGGTGGTACTGATGAAAACGTGATGCGAGCACGGTCGAGTACACTGAAGGCTAAGAAACCTAGCCGCTACTAGTGCTCGTGGATATAATGATAAAATGAGCAATCGTTTATGTACACCGAGAGATCTTGCCTGCATACTCAGGAGATCCTCTGGAATAGCTTCAGTTCAAAGTAGTTTATGATGAATCATCACAAGGCTATAACTACCTCTTTAGCCGGTCCATGGAGACTCTTCCTCAAGCGCCATATGTTCTCCCTCTCACTAAAGTTACAGATTTGTGATGATTCTTCATAAGCTACTTTGAACTGAAGTTATTCCAGAAGCTCTCCTGAGTATGTAGGCAGATCTCTCGAAGTTATTCGAAGCATAGTTACAGTGATAATTATCGCAATCGCACACAAACTATTTTATTTAATAATTTACTGAATGATACATGTAGTAAAGAAACAGTATGTCGGTTTTGGCGATTATCTAAACATTCGTCACCCGACTGTAAAAAGTATAAAAAATCACTACGTAAAAATCGGTGGACTTTTGTGAAACATCATGGTTTCTGTTATAAGTGTCTGACATCACAACATAAACAAAATAACTGCCCCGAACCCGTGTATGACCATAGACAGTTGTGGACAAAAGTAATCTTCTAGGAAGGCTTATTTGATTTGAAATCAGAGTTTTCCATCTCCTATTTGAACTACCAACCAAGGTTGACGAGGTCTAACTCCCCAGGCATAAGAGCTTTGTTTATAGTGGTGGCTCTAATTCGCCACTGCCATTTCTCATCATGGAGTTTTGTGCGCTATTTATCGAGTTATACCTTGCCACAAGCTCCCCAGCACCTCTCCGACAGACCGCTGCATTGTCCGCGACTGCTTATTTGTTATTCGCAGCTAACCTCCATATGTGGTGGCTGTTCGCTATCCGTAACTTGCGACGCGTGTGGTGGCAATGACCTTTGCCCCTGGAAATCTTCCCCCAGAACCACAGTAGGTACTATATCCCATATAAACATAAACAACTGTAAAGTATTATTAAAGACTGTGCCTATACACCTACACGGACCTAGCGGTGTAGTTCGTAGTTGTGCATTGCTAGATGACGGATATTTGAAATAAGAAATTGGACTTCAAACAACCACACAGTATTTAATAATTTACCTAATCACAGTATAAAGTCATCTGTCTCATTTAGAAATGGTCAGCTCTATGACAGAGAACGTACGCTGGGCCTTATCTGGTTTCCCATCAATGACACGCTGGGCTTCGATGTCTCATCTAAACGATTGGGTATTCGTTTAAACGCTAATTATGACGGGTCAAAAGAAAACCACTAAAAGAGAGATGCTGAGAGCATTGATGTCTATTTTTGATGTCTACGGATTTTTATCACCTGTCACAATAAAAGGAAAAATCATTCTTCATGATACATGGAAATCTGAAATAAAATGGGACGACGAAATAACAGATAAAATATTTATAAAATGGTTACATTGGATAAACATAATGAAATCTATAAGTAGTATACGCTTGCCCAGGTGTTATGCACTTGTAACTAGAGATAACAGGGCTAAGACAACTAGCGCACTCGAGATGCAAGCTCTCGGTCGAGCCTACAAATATACTTAAGGATCCCTGTCGGGGCGCAGCGCGCTATACAAACCTAGATTTATATGTGTTTTGTGATGCGTCGTTGAAAGCGATATACTCTGTGGCTTATTGGCGCTGGTAATAATGCCGGTGGTTGATAATAATAAACAGATACAAGTTGCATTCGTATCCTGTAAGTGTCGGTATATCCATACCGTGTCTAGAATTGCAGGCGGCAGTGATCGCTGGGAGATTGGCAGATAGTATATGTAATGAACATAGAATAAAACCAATAAAAATGTACTTTTGGTGTGATTCTGCTACTATTTTGTACTGGATAAGAAACAACAGTAAAAATTATAAATAGTATATTCCTCACCGACTGGGAGAAATCGATGAACTCACACAATTAAATGAACCTACATACCTACAAAGATTTCTCGGGTCTTCTCGGGTTGTCGAGAAATTTACATTTACGTACGTATTCTCATATTATTTGGTTCCAATAACGTCAAAAAATTCAGTGAAATAAAAATCAAATTAAAATTGAGTATATTTAAAAACATCAATATTATGAATAAATTACATTTTTTTTAAATAGAGAAATAATATTAGAATATGAAATTGGCGTTTTGTCGTAAGATCTCAAATATCTCCTCTTTGGTTAGGAATTCCATTTCCAAATTTATACAGCTATTCACTCTGGGTCACTCACAGCATACAAAATGAAAAACTTAAAATATCGCGTTATTTACGAGTTCCGCACCAGTTGGCACCAGTGCTATACGGTGCTAAACGGCTCGAAGTATTAATGATGTGTATGGCAGTGGTCTCGCAAAAGAAAACACGTGCATTTTTGGTTCCAACGTTTTCGTTCTGGAAATTTCGACCTGCAAAGCAATCTCCGTGGGCGGCCGGAATCCAAGGTTGATAATGAAGAATTGAAGGCTATTGTGGAAGCGGATCCATCGCAAACCCGTCCGAGTTAGCTGCAGGCTGCGGTGTTAGTGACAAAACTGTTTTAATCGTTTAGCAAATTTGAAAATTGAATTCATGAGGGACCCCTCATGAATTCAATGGAGTAAATCGACAAACGCGCGTAGCCTGCTGCGTTACATTAATCAACCGGCATAATAATGAAGGGATTTTAAATCGAATCTTTTCCTGTGATGGAAAGTGCAATGGCTAAATCTCAAAAAATGTTACTTGTGAACGTTTTACTATTTCCGGTGTTGTTCACTTCAGTTTTCTTAAGACGTCGGCCAGACGATTAAGGCAAAAAACTGTGTATTGTCAGCAATTGAGAAATCATGATGGAAAAGCGTGCTGCTAAACAACCGAGGCTGGTCAATCGCCAAGAACGATTGACCACATACTGCACAACAGACAGTTACCAAATTAGCTTCAATTGGAATGTCTAAGGCAACCACCGTACTTCCCGACCTGCTCCAACAGATTACCATTTTTTTCGAAATTTGGATAACTTCTGCAAGGGAAAAAATTAAACTCCGATGAAAATGGTATATATATACTTTGTTTAAATAAATATATTATATTTTGAAAAAAAAATACTTCAGGTTATTCCCTTACAAAACGCCAATTAAATTTTTTTAGGACCTAATTATTCATACTTATATTTATAATGACAGCACCATTTTTGGCTGCTTATTTAGAAAAAGAAAAAACAACGTAAACAAAAATAGTTTCTACAAAATAAAAAAATAACATGAAAGAAAACAAAAAAGTTAATATCTTAAATTATTGCGCCGCCACGCAACAAAACAAAGGGCAATTTAATTTCTATATAGGTATATGATTTCTCGAGTTCTCGACTTTTCTCGAGCTTGATTTCCCGGGAACAAAACCCATGAATTTGAATGAATTCGGCAATGAACCCTACTGCATACCTACAAAGATAAATGTTACCGATATTGTCACTCGAGAAACCTGTGAAATAAAAACATTACAAATTGAGTGGTTATATGAACTTATATTTTTAAAAGAAAATGAAGACTTGTGGCCTACAGCGCTTTAACAGCCGGATGTGTCTGAGATGGACCTGCAATGTATAAATAATATTAGCTTCACGCCTTCACGCACGCCACGCACGCCCACTTACCTGCTGTACCTGAACGGTTTTCCTCATGGCTCCGCTTGTTGAAATCTACGTGTTTTATATTCCGCTTCATAGAAAAATGTAAAAAACTTACTTGTAATGCAGACCAGACGTTAATGGAGCGTGCTGAAAGCCTATCATTGAAGTACTCGCAGATGAAATCTTTCCCTGATGACCTGCATAACCTGAAATGAAACCTAAAATAAAAAAGGTTTAGATAAGAAAACTAAATTACTTACCTTGTCGTCTATGCTACATGAAGACTTAAAAGGTAATTTTCGCTTGGGTGGTCGAATTAACGCCGATCTGATATTTCAAGTGCAGTAAATCGACGATACTTGATCGATACTTGATACTGTCATGTCGCACACTGGATTGTAAAGCACTACCATGTGAGAGCATGTCATGGTAACCAGGAAATGGTTGTGAATGAAATGAAACAGCGGTATTGGATTATTAGACTGCAACCCACAGTAAAGCATATCACTTCACAATGCATGATATGTCGGATTAAGAAAGCTCAACCTTAACCACCCAGAATGGGTGACCTGCCAGAGGCGAGGATGGCTCATCACTAGCGCCGCTTCACTCATACTGGACTAGATTTATTTGGACCTCTAGAGGTAACAGCCGACCGAGATAGCAGAATAAAGATACGGTGTAATTTTTACTTGTCTTACTGTAGGGCCATTCATATTGAAATAGTCAACTTACAACTGATGCATTGATAATGGCACTGCGACGAATCGCAACCAGAAGAGTATGGCTGCGGTATCTGTATTCCGAAACGGGACCAATATGAGCGGAGGTAACATAAAGCTAAAAAAATATATCGAGAAACTAGATGAACAGCAACTGAAAGATGAAATCATCAAATATAGCACTGCTACAACCTGGACTTTCAACCCCTCCGCTAGTCCTCATTGGCGGTAGGCATGGGAGAGGTTAATTAGAAATATTAAGACAGCGTTGAAAGTGATAATGAAAGAGCGAGCTCCACGAGAAGAAACACTCCTCATATTGATGGCTGAAGTCGATATGGCACATAGCCGCCCCCTCATTCAAGTAACCACGGAACCAAGCACGAATGAAACTATTATGCCTAATCACTTTCTTTTAGGAGTTCTCCAACTTACCAGTACTCGGTACATATAACGAGTCATATATGCACCTCCGCAAATAATGGCGCATATCACAGAAGTTGGCAGATATGTTCTAGAGACGATGGATACGCAAAGTCCTACCTGATATGCGGCCTAGGCAGAAATGGCACAAAGAGCAGGGACCCTTGCAAGTGGGAGATCTAGTGCTTGTGGTCGATCCCAGTTTTCCGAGAAATGTGTGGCTGAAGGGTTTAATTCAAGTCTAGTATTACCGGGCAGAGACCGTAAAATTAGAGTCGTTTACATAAAAATGAAGTCTGGGGTCCTAAGAAGGACAGCTGTACGCGTCGCACGTATACCTACAGGGTCTGAGTGCTGTGCCAGCACTGGGGAGGGGAGTGTAGGCGACACGTAAATGTTTAAATATTCTAAACAAATGTTTAATATGTGATGTATTTAATGTATTGTAATTTAAATAAATACGCGTTATGGCGAACGCAGGTGTGAGCGAGCGCGACTGCAGCGCCTCTCGCGTATTTTTAACGAACTAACACTGCTGCAGCGTTTCTTGTTCTTGCTCGAGCGCACGTCCGTAACGCAATAAACAAAAAATAACCTCTAATATTTTCTTCTACATCCTCAACACTAGTTGTGATCATGACTTTAGATACTTAATATAACATTAATATATAATTTTCTGGTTTTAAGTCGTTTTGAATAAAATAAACATTAACTGTTATTAGAAGCTTGCGACAACATATTCGCGAAAATCGCATTCAGATCAAAGTTTTGCCGTTTTAGAAACCAACGACTATAAACAAACAGACAAAATTTTTTAAAACAATTTTTTTACCTCAGTAAGTAGAAGAAAAAACATATAATGTACAGACACAATTACTAATTACGTATATAAGATACCTAAATCCGCCTCTTTCTTTATTAGCTGTTCTATGAGTCCGTTATAACTTCCATTTTTGTCTTTATATCCCCAAGTGGAGGTAAATAAAACTTTTTCAGTAGCGTTAAGCGACTGAAAACATATCTTCACAACAGCGTACGATACTTTCGTTACTAAATCTTGATCAAGAAACCTATAATGTGAAGTAAATTCGTAAGTTTATGACAAAATACAATTGTATTGGCATTATTTAACGATTTTCAGCGAAATGTTGCCCACATTGGTAAGTCTTGGATTCACCATAACATCGATAAACAACAATATCTCTCTTTATCCCATCTGGAATAATAATCGTGACCGTAAGTGTATGTGTAATATGGCGGCAACCAGAGGAAAAGTCAACACTAGGCTTCCATGCTATATTCGAGCTCTATTCATTGCCTGATAATGCCTCGTTCAGAGGCGAAACATGTGTCGCAATATAAATATGTAATATGGGTGTAGATTCAATAACGGTTGGAATTTGATCAATAATAGAGAAGGTCTTAATGCTTTCAGTAGCGGTGGTCAGGTTTTCGCTTTGCCTATTTTGTTCTTACATATGCTAATGATAGCGGAATTTAAAACGTTAAGTAATGGAATGAAATTCCGCAAACCAACATCTAATTCGATAAATTATAGTTTGGTTGATTTTTAAGCAAGGCTATTGCGACGCAAAGTAAGCAAATCTAAGAAATAAATTCATCGCGGAAAGAATACGGCGAGAGAAAAGATAGATGAAAGAAATATGTGTAATGCTTTTTGTGACTTACAGTCTGTCATTCAAGTGTTCTTTAGTTTGATTATTGTCTATTATTACATTCGACATTGTAAGAATATGTCCTCTCAAATCTTTTCGTCTAATAAACAGTGATGTTGATCTTCTGTAGTCTTCTATTACACCGTATTTATTATCTATTATTATTTTATGTCCTACATTCTTGCGACTGCTTTCAGATATAGCAAAATTAACATCATTTAAGTTTGTATTGTTATATATTTTATATTTATAATTCACAGGACGCCATATTGCTCGAGTCGTATAAATTATTTCGCTATCTTTAGATATCTTGTAAACTGCAACAAACAAGAATAACAATTATTGTATCGTTTTTTTTAAACTGACTAAACAAAGAGTATCGTTTATCATTGTTTCTTATATTATTTATGCAAATTATTAGTCATTACAGATTTATCTAAACAATTATTGTTAATTCTATTTATTTGAATATTATTTTGCTAATATTTTGTTATCAGTAACATACAAATATACGGAAATACCTTTAATAGCGATGAAATATATTATAAATCAAATTTATTATAGTTTTAACAGTACTACTACTTTGGCCCTTCTATGATCATATGACTAGTAATAAAGTTACCATCCACTCGGAATGTAGTTGCTGTCAATTAAGGCATAAGTAAACACGCGTTAATATTATCTACAAGTTACAATTAATCAATCATTTATCTAAAGGTAACTATCATAAAATATTGATTTATGATAGTTACCTTATACACATATATTATATACATAAAATGTCAATTTCATTCCTTGATATACTTTAATGACTTCATTGGGATGAATGCAATTCAATAAACATTCAAAAACCTAATATTATTATTATATAAGATGCTTTTTGTATTAAAATAAAGTTAGATAGAATTTGATGGAATTATTTATAAAATAAGAAAAAAAATATTAAAAATTAAAAATAAGAAAATAATATATATTTCGGCATTTTATTTTTAATCTGTTATTAGTAAGGAAAATAGCTTGAAATAATAGTACAATGAAATGAAATTAATAGCGCAAATAGATTTATTCATAAAAAAAATCTAGTTTGTGCACACTTATTACGTTTTAGACATTGACAAGCTGTTTTCCTAGACTTCGCAAATGGATTTATCATTTGCCTGCATACATTGATGCTGCAATTCAAACAATCTTCATGCCTCGATACTTGACTTGTTTAAATGATTGAGCAATTAGATTAGAGTGAACAGCCTACACCCATAGGGAGGAGAACAAAGTTTTACTCTTATTTTACACATGTTTGCCATTCCTGGAGCATTGGAATGGTAAACACGCTGTCCGCCCACCTGATGGTGAGAGGTAACCCATACCTATATACATGAATACCTATATACTATGGACATCACGTGATCATATGATACCCGCGATACCATTTCAGAGGACTAAGAGTTCTTGCCTCCTATCCAGTAATTTCACTGTTTAACCGAGACTCAACTTACAAACCAAGCTGTTTGACGGCTGAATAGAAAATAGATGAGACTAAGGTACTTACGCACACAGCTATTTACTTCTGGTACTCTACACAGGTTTTAACCAGTTTTAGAAAGAAAGTAAAATATATTTATTTGGCGCATACAAACATTCATATCAAGCACATAACAAAATATTTTTCACTTCTTACATAACTATAATTATTGTTAATTTACATTCCTATTTATAATAGTCGTATATCTCATATTAAATTATAGTATCTTGGTATTTATAAAGTTCTGGTACTCTAACTGTAATTCCTAGTTTCAAGTTTCTTTATTATTTATTTATTTATCTTATATTATTTTGTTCAGTTTATGTTTGGTTTTAAAAAATAAAAGTACATTATTCACCCTCGAGGATATCGCTGAAAATCAGGTTCTTGCTCCTTGAGTGATTATCCACATTTAATTATGTACCAGTTTTGTATTGCTATAGCACACATATGCAGGTTTACCCTTACGGATTGTTATAATTGTTATGTAATTTTATAATTAAGGCTATATGTGTGTATTAAGATACAAATATAAATTATTATCTATCTATCTATCTACATAACAAGTAAATAAGATGCTTTATATAACAAACATTTATAATTAATTATTTAAAAAAAATACAGCTGCGGTCAAATTGGTTTCCACTCAGCTTTGTGATAGGTTGTAATGCCCAAACGCTGATTTTCAGTAAATGTAGAATGCCAGTGCCATCACATGGCGATTATCAATGAATGGCAAATGCCGGCAATCTGAAGAATGATTAGGATAAGGATGATGTCAGTTAGCCCATTGTAGTGAAGGAACTATGACTATGGTTTTCAGGGTAACAGTGTGATGATTAACTTTGTAAGAATTTACTGACGTTTCCTAAAATTCTCTACTCTACACTACTCACCACCGTATTATTGTTTTTTATTTAAGACTATTCCAGTCAGATTTTAATCTTTAAATTAATTAAGCTAAGCTAAGGCACAACACTAGGGATAATTGCAAGTGCGTGGCCGGCCCGAATTATTATACATATCAATATTTAAGATTATCTGTCTGTCTGATTGTTACCTTTTAATGATCAACGACGGGCCCCTTGGCTGAATGAAATTTTATATGAAGATCACCTAAGCTATTACTATATTGGTAAACTTCATAATACTTTACCTTCAGTAAATATGAATTCTTCATCTGTTTTACTAGCGACCACCACATCACTATCAACCAGTATTTCCATATTGTCTAAAACTTCGTTTTTTCTACTAGAATTCTCAGGTGCCAGCAACAACCATCTATATGGTGATTTCAAGTAGTTCTCTTCACTAGCCTGGTATAAAAAAAACTCTATAAACTTTTTCACAACTGTCCATCAAAATTGTAACAGTGTTGAAATACTGGAAGCTTATAAGGCGTTCTCATCTCGTACATTCCAAAAGGTTTGTATTCCGAAGTATTTATATCTAAGGATTATATCTTTACAAAAAATGTACGTAAACATTTTTATCTGTTGTTCACTATCCATATAACAAGTTCTACTTAGGCTGAGTTTGGACTGCTCTGTGGATTGCTCCAGATTGTTAATATTATTACAATATAAAATATATAAAAAATGCCATAAATAAAATAAAATTATGAAATACATAATTTTATAAAAATTTTAAATCGTATGTTCCGTATGTTCTAAATATTTTTTCATAGAATTTATTTAACTAAGTTGCAATTTAGCGTACCACCGCGCGTGATAAGCTAGTCGTAATTATTATAAATATACCTTCAATAAAAATTCATCAGAATTAGGACATTCCAAGTCAACAAACACGATGATATGCTGCAGAAAATACTCTGTTCTATTTGCCTGCAGTGAGTAAGCGACGCTGATGCTATTCTCTCCCATTAATCTTGCCATTGATATTATTTTATCTGAGAAGTCGTTTGATAAATTAAATATGCAGTTATTTTATATTTTATCTATCTCATAACCGCCGCTTTACGGCACTAAAGCAGGAATTCTCTTTTAAGTCCTTCCACAGGTTTGGAGCGATATCTGCGCTCGCTCCCTATCGTTCAGTGAAGCTGTAAAGCCAGCTGCGGCCAACAGCATTAGATTATTTCGAATCGAATCGAAAATAGAATCAGTTGCTACTTTGCCATTTTAGTAATATAATTTATTAATAATAAATATTTATTTAATTGTAATATTTTATTAACAAATAAACATAATTAAACACATATTTAATAATAAATTATATTTTTCGTTCCCCATACTTACATCTGGGCCAACATAGATTAGGTATTAACAATGACGTCGGCCTATCGTCAAGTTTTAAAAATGATATTAACATATAATTAACATTGTTATCTAAACAATTCGCTAACGCATAACATATTAATTTAAATAGAATAATAGTTTTTACTTTTAACATTTTCATAAATTCTCTTAATGAGACAACTGCAGTGTAATGCTGATGTGAAATGCTCTGCATATTATTTCCTTTGCGAGATGTTTTTATTTTGTAAACAAATGTTTGGACTGTTTAAAATTAGAAAGGTATCTACATATCTGATTAATCAGATACAGTCATAGAGTCAAACATTACAATTTTTATTTTTATTTAATAAATATTAAGCCGTTACTTTTCTTAAACAGTAATTGTCTATGATCTTTATATTTAACTAGCTGTTCCCGCGACTTCGTCCGCGTGGAATTTAACTTCATTTTTCTAAAATAAAAGTAGCCTAAGTTACTCCTTATTACATCAGCTACCTGCCAAAAGAAGTCCCGTCAAAATCGATCCAGCCATTTCAGAGATTAGCCGGAACCAACAGACAGACAGACAAAAATAAAAAAAAATGTTTTTTTGGTGTATGTACCGTATTTATATTCAAATGCGTGTAGTAAAAAAATTGTTATTTTAATATTACAAACAGACACTCCAATTTTATTTATATGTATAGATTGAATAAAATATATACCTACATCTTTATATGTTTATGTTATTTTTCTTTTAGGTATTTGTATTGAACATAGAAACCACTGGGTATACGATGGGTTGAACGATGGATGTTTTATGGGGACCAGTGGCCCTATTGATAGCAATGTGGAGGTCGACCTACACGCGGTCGTCACTGTAGACCGTCGTCACATATTCGTAGGATAGACTTACTGTGACTTCCTGCTCATTTTATCATTGTTATGAAATCTTTCATTATGTCATTTAATAATATATAAACATTTAGTGGATATCCGATTCATCACAATCATCATCTACTGATAAAAAATACCACTACGCAACCGGCTGCACTATTCCATTATCATCCATAAAAATCGGTTTTGTACGCAAATGTATCGGAAAGTTCAGTTAATATAAAATATATTATGTTGAATAAGCAACTATACTTACACGTTTAGATTCTTTTCTGAACCTACCAATTATAACTCGGGCACCGCCCATACCTACATAAAGTGTATTGTTGACCTACAACATCAGCTTATACAACAATTATGTATCTATTATTGTTTTTAATAATTTCGTATGTTATGTAAATATTTTTAGCTTTTGGTATGTAAATACGTATTAACGAGCCTTTTATTATTTACTAGCTCTGCCCGCGACTTCGTCCGCGTGATATAGTGACCTTGACCAAATAATAAACGATAGGGAAAAAATTATAATATAAAAAAAATACGTTCTTCAGCTGTTAAAATGTCCTACATGAATAAATGATTTTTGATTTTTTGGACTGGTCTGTTCAGGTTGCGAACACTGATTAGATTTTTTGATTTTTTTGATTTTTTTTATATAGCATATGCTGGTGGTCTCTCTATTCTCCCAAATTTGAATTTAAATGAAATAGTATTATTGTAAATATGTACAAGATTAAAAAAAAATACGAGCTGAATTTCTTGTCAGTTCTTCTCATCTCGAAATCATTCCGAACTGACGGTAGATTTGACATATCATAATAGACCTACATGAATAAAGATATTTTGAATTTGAATTTGAATTTTGAATTATAAAGAATAAAGAAAATATATTTAGTTAGATTATAACCCAAAATGTTTCATGTTCTGCTTAAAACATAACGAAACTTTTATACAACCTTTTATCTTCGCTTTTAATGTATTTATATCAGTTATCTAGTACCTATAACATAAGCTCTGCTTATCTTAGGGCTCGATGATGTTGTGAGAATTGTAGAATCAGTTTTCTACTCGATATTCGAATTCACTGTGTGAATGAAACTGAGGGAAACTGACAGTTCAGCAGTTCTCGGGACTTGCGACCCAGGTGTAGGTTTAAGGGACCCCTTTGTTAACGTATATCATCAACCCAGTCAAATCTGATGAGAGCCTGAAGTGCTGCTTTATATGCAGGTTCTATTATAGAACTTAAATATATATGGTGTATTCGGTTTTCTAATTATACTTAGAAATGCTTAATACATAAATTACGCAGTTCGAATCGCCCTGTTTGCCTAGAAAACCTTTGAAACTTCTCAATAATTGTTTAGGAAATTTGAGTTGTAGTGTATGAAATTTGTGTTCTGTTAAGTGATTTTTATTATAAGAATTGGGCAAAAATTGTCTATATTAATAGGTAGAGTAAAGATTCAATATTCTGTATGTTTGTTTAAAGTCAAGTAGAACTTAAAATCATGTGTTTAACTTAAATTTAAAGTCAATAATGTCATCATCAAGAATGCTATTTATTTTTTTCGAGTAGCTCCACTGAAAATCAATGCCGCAGTGACACACTGCGGTACCAGATGTGTGGAGGCCCTTTCAGCTCATAGCGAAATATTAGTTTTTAAGTATTCAATATTTTTACTCTGTACTATGATGCTGAATAAATTATAATTGTTATTATTATTCATATAAGACATTATTTGCCACTTATGCACGTCAATTTTTTTTATCGATAAAGGTATTAATTCGGCTAGTTACTTTAATTAAGATAAACGGGCAGAAAAGTTTACTGACTTCTATAGATAAATAAAATAATAGTTGACTTAAGTAAAATATCTGTGAGTAAAGATAAAGATTATTTTGGGCTTTGGAATTTTGGCGTTTTTTGCTATAGATACTTAATAGAAGTTTTATAATTATATTAATTCCTATTATATGTTCAAATAGAAATGAACTACGTACATCTAACATAATCTGCTCTGAACTAGGACAACTTAAGTCGATAAGATGTAGTACTAAATGGTGCAGGTATTTACATATAATATTCATGAAATTGGGTGATCTGACACCATTTTAGATAATGCATCCACCAATTTCACCTGATTATCTGAAAGTTTGTAAAATGTTATGTAACAAAATAATCTTAAATTTTTACTATATTGTATGGTACATAATAAGTAATCGTATATGTATACAAATAAATAAAATTAAAGTGTCTGTTTATTCTTGCTAAGCTCTGAAATGGCTGGACCGATTTTGACGGGGCTTTTTTTACAATTTTATAAATTGTATATAATATAATTCCACGCCGACGAAGCGCGTATAACAGCCTGTTAATGGCTATAATATCAGATGGGGTAGACAGAGGCAATGTTAACTGTGAGGTAAAGGTGGAATGAAATGGAGAGCAGCCTTATTATTAATGCCATTTTTTTCATATAATTCTAAATTTTGAATGCAGAATTCTAAACGCACATATTTCTGTAATAATTCTAAAATAAGACTTCAAACAGATAAGTGGCTTTTTGACAGACAGTAATAGAGTAAATATAGGCAATTTCTATGTAAATAAATAAAAGTCACAAAGTAAACTACTTTAACAATATTTATTTTTAACAAAATGTGTTATTATAGTGAAGGTGAAAAGATTACATTTTTTCTAATTTACTAGTTTATGTACCTTATTTGTTATGTAACATAATTATATTATACTTAAGTTTTTCAAAGACAGTACATCTACTAAAATATCACATATAATTAATAAATAATCTCATAAAAACGCCTAATGTCTAAGTTGTTATTTCTAATCAATACCTAATAATATAAATGAAATGAAATTTATTTGCGTATTATACAGTTAGATATTATAATATGTACAGGTAATAATATTATTGGCCACTGTTTATTTGCCCCAATTTACGGGCATGCAAATGGTAATTAATAAAGTAAAGGGTATATTAAAATGGAATAATTTATAATATTATAATTTAAAATTAATGTCTTATGTACCATTCTAATTATATAGTAAAAAAAAATATATATATATATATAATTATATATATATATATATTTATTTAATATAAAGTTAATTTGTGTACAAGAGTAGTTAGTAGACGATATCCTTAAAATCCATATATTATTATCGTGATTATAAGAGATTGTTAAGCTCTTGATTTTTGGATAAGCAATTTAAAAAAAAATATTTCTCAGCCTTCTATTTATAGATTTTCTATCGGAATTATGCCAATTATATTTTTCTTGTAAAGTTAATTACTGTAATAATATTTAATTGTATTATGTATACATTGTTTATATTAATTACTTAATTGTAAAGTGTTGATCTTATACTGTCATTACTATAAAATAAAAGTTAATCACGAGTGTATTTCTAGGGATGCGTCGATTTTATTTTTCTTTGGTTTCTTGCTTTTGTGCTGAAACAATTTATTTTAATTACATGTTTTAGTTACTGTCTGAACGCATGTTTGATATACACCCAAATCTACTCTTTTGTTTATTTTTAAAGTCTGTAATCAAATTGAGAATCGATTAATATTGTTTGGCTTTAATATTATTTGTCTATAGTCTTATTGCCAATTAAATTAATGTGTGGTTAAATTAATGTAATTTCGAACATTGGGCGACCACTAATTATTATTATTATAATTTAAATATTAACGTACAGTGTGTAATAGGCGATTTCTAGGATCATCTTTAGAATAAACCTTTTTTTATACTACGATGATGACAATCTAGCCTACAACCCATCTGAATGGTTACCGTAGTCTTCGGACGCCAAACGTCTTACGTATGCGTTGCTTACCTTTATTAATATTCTTAACACATTGACGGACAGCAGGAACAAGTGATGTTCGAAAATGAACACTATGTTTTTTGTAATTTTTAGAATATTAGAAGTTGTTTAGTTTTACTTTTTCTGCTTAAACAACCTTAATTTTGAAACAATTCGAGAGAAAACACAATCGCACTTATAAAGCTGCAAGTCGTGTGAAAAATAAAATTCAACTTAAAAAATTGTTTCCAAAACACGAAAAGTCTTCTCAGTGTTCAAAACCGACCGTTTTACTTTAGACGGCTATTGCGGTCATGCCACGTAGTGAACTTCGTTTTGACGGGTATAGACGCAAGTGTCCGTCAACGTGTTAAAAAATCCCATGCTGTAGTCTCTAGAGACATTCTCTACTGATGCCCTGCCCGCATATACATATATTTAGCGCAAACGAAAACAATAATGCATCACTCCTTTAAAAAAATAAGTGCACTTTCAGCGTAGGAGCGTTTTGAACACCATTGCATTATCATCGTTTAAAAACAGTTTAAATGTGAACATACAAACTATAGTAGGCGATCTCTAGAAGCAGCACCGCTGGCGCCGTCAGCATGCCGTAGAGCGTGGCCAGCAGGGCCGGGTACATGTCAGTAATGCCAACACTGCTGAATGTGATCACGGGACCTGAACAGCGCGGCCGAGGAACTACCAAACGTTGGCGACTGTTCACCTGGATTCCCGTCTCGCGAATTTTTATAAAGCTGTAGGAAATTAAATCAACAGACAGGGGGTGACTATATAATCTTAGACCATGTTGTCTACAATGTGTCAACGGTTAGTGCTCAAGCTAGGTGGACTAAGGTAGTCCATTGTGACGATTTAACCAGAATATGACTGACTTGTAACTACTCATCACTAATAATGCTGTCCCCCTAATATGAAAATCATTTGGCATCATAATTATTTAGTCGATAATTGTCCGACAGCCTCGGTAGTATAGCGGTTTGGCATACCAACTTATTTCCAATGGTTGCGGGTTCGAAGACATGCAAACATTAATATTTTTGAGTAGGACTGTTTGTGTTGGTCTAGTTATTTTATATACATATTACGTATGTATGTATAAAAAATGTATTTAAGTTTTTATATGTGTCTGTTAGTACCCATAATACAATATCTGCTTAGCAATTCAATTGATACAGCATCATATAGTCCTAAGACTAGATGGCACTGTGAATTGTCCTGTGTTATTATTAAGTTAAGAATTGTTTTTTAAAGGAACTACTATTAGGCTCTGAGATATCGTTAAAAACTCGAGTACTTAGTTTCTATTATTTAAAATATAAGGAATATATGTCCTGTATTTGATTGGTAACATCATCTTACTTGATTTTAAAAAGGTCTTTAAACGGAGATCTCCTCTGGCCTATCAACCAGGGCTCTATCGCGTTGATGTAGTCTATCTCCACCAGATCACACTTCTCATGCTCCTGATACGTCTCTTGTATCAGGCGATATCCTGGGTTTAGCTCCATGTGGAACGCGAAGAGACCCTGAATATTTATTAAGTGTCTACAGTGTTTCATTTGAAATATTCTAAGAGCTCTGTTGAATTATTCCGCCCTTTTTCTTGTTTAATACCGTTATCTTTCTAACTACATCCTATATCATTTACAATCGGATTAATATACTTATATCTATTGCTGCTTGCACTCATCTCAATGTGCAATCTATTTCTTATCGTCTCTATCAACATAACTAGTCGTACCCACATAATTAACACCTCTCCATATCCTTCCAAATTACATATAAATAATCAAGATGAATTATTCTTGTAAACTCTAGGAACAATAATTATTTAGACTTCCATACAGCATCCACAACATCCACTACTTACAAACATTCGATCACATCATTTTCATTTATCCATTATTGTGTCATGACATACCCGTACATTTAACATCAGTCATAAATTATTCAATATCACTGTACTCACCTTACATCAATCTAACTAATATTATAAACACGGAAATTTCTGAGTGTGGATGGATAGATGGATGGAGCTATGTTTGTTACTCTTTCACGCAAAAACTACAGAACGAATTTTGATGAAACTTTACAGTAACATAGCTTATACATCAGAATAACACATAGCTGAAATTTATATAGTGCGGGTGAAACCGCGCGCACACCTAGTGTTGCATAATCTTTCATAATACTTGCCTTTCTAATTTTCTCTACGCCTTCATTCATGTTATAAAAATTCGGCTTCTTTCCCTTAGGTGCTATCTTTGTATCGTATATTGCTTTACGTATTGGTTCATTCAATTGCTGAAATCAACATAGAGATATCACATATATAGGAAATAGATTTTCAAACGTATATATTATTATACTGCTATTAACAAGTATTTAGTATATTTCATTAAAATGTAAAATCATCATGAAAATGAAATGAAAAAACTATTTATTGTTTCTCTCACAGAAAGGAAAAATACAATTATACAAAATTAACATAATATATCAAATATAAAAAAAACATAATTACAATACATAGCTAATAATGGGAGGCCTTATTGCTAAATAGCGTTTTCTGGCGACCTTATTGTTACGTTTACATTCAGCCGCTTCCCCTACCACTCGCGCTGCCGGAAATATTGCCGCGTCAGCGTCGACAGGAGTCGACGATCCCCGTTTGAATTGTGAGTGTCGTTTGCGCGACACGTCTTCGCCGGCGAGGACGGTGTCGTGTTGTCGTTTACACTCAGCCCTCATACTTATTTACCGGGCGACTCTTCCTTACCTTCCGCTGGGACTGAGGGCTGAATGTAAACACACGCTGCCAGTCCTTTGACTCGAGCACGAAAAACCGACAATCGAGGGAGCGCCGGGCAGTGCGAGCGGCAGCGCCAGTGGCATGGGAAGTATCGTGTTTACACTCCCGCCCTGCTCACTTACCTGCCCACTCGGGCTGAGTGTAAATTGGGCTTTAGGATAGAGAGGAGTGATTAGACTGAGTCTGGTCGAGTCATAACAATAATTAGTCTGACGACACTTACTCTGACGAAGTATTTATTATATTCAAAATCACTAACTCCAACTTTAAGAGGCGAATTGAGGAGATCGGAAAGACTTCTCACTGAGGAGCTGGGAGCCCTCAGAAGTACTACAATGTTGGCTGAGTACGCAGCGTACAGGATTGTTAGCGCTACGAAAAGTAAGAGAGTCACGGTTCTACCTGAAAATTGCATTATTTACAATATAATAATAATAATATACTCAGGATACACACAGTACCATCTAATCCCAAGTTGAGCTTAATGCTTGTGTTATGGGTACTAGATAACTGATAAATATATAGATATATATTTTTTCGTAAATACATACATATTATACATACACCCAGACCGATACAAACAATCATACTCATAAATACAAGTGTTTGTGCTGTGCGAGGAATCTAATTCGCAACCATCGGAAGGCGGTGTGCCAAATCGCTAGACCACCGTCATAATTATGTATATCTATACTAATATTATAAAGCTGAAGGGTTTGTTTGTTTGATAGCGCTAATCTTAGGAACTACTCTACTGATTTCAATCGTAAAATTCTTTTTGTGTTGGATAGTCCATTTGTCGAGGAAGGCTTTAAGCTATATAACATTAAACTACGAATAATAATAGCGGAGCTGCAATAAAAAATATTGCAAAAGGTGCGGAAATGCAACGAAAGAAACGCAGACGAAGTTGCGCATATCAGCTAGTTTAAAATAATTCTGAAGCATTGCCACAGTGGCTTTATGGTATGATGTCCCTAGTTATATAAATCACTTGATGGTTAACCATTTTACAACAGATGGTTCAAAAGATTGTATGTTATTTTCGGTTCAGAAATGTGCATGACATATAAAACGTAATCCTAATCAGAATTGTTATACATTTTTAGAAAAAAATATATATGATATAATTAATTCTATTTTGTACCTACTGGGTGTAACAGTCGTTCTTTTTATATTACAAAATACCTTACTTTTCTTATTTCGAACATTAATAGAAATGTATCAAATGATTACCAGAAGCATATCGTGGTTCTAGAGTACATCCTTGTTGTAAGACCGCTCCTATGATTAGTACGAAGACGTCTGCCCACGAGCCATCCAGTTGAGATGAATGCTGCAATATTACGATGCATTAATAGTAAAAATATATTTTCCAGTGGAAGTTGTAACTGTGAACATAGACGAAGACTTAGGAAGCGGGTAGACAAATTGGTCTGCTCATAATAATTGTTTATACATTCTGCCTATTATGGTTAATGTAGTTTATGTAGTGTGTAAATGAATGGTTCAATATTTAATGGATTATTGCTACCCAAAAAGAACAAATTAATAGTAGAGTATAGTAACCGTATAAATATAAAAGTAAAGCATGAAGAAGTACTATGCTTCATGGTGGTAATAGGTAACCTAAAACTAGTATAACGTAACTAACTGTAACTAGATAGGTACCTAAAACTAGTAATCATATAATTCCAAGTAATTAAAAAAATATATAGTAACTGTATAACTAGAGTATTGAATCTTTCTAAAGTTCTTTGTTAACCTACAAATACTTACTCTAGTCATAGTGGCTTCCCATTTTGAAGTGATGTATAGAAACAGAGAACACCCCAGAATGCAAACAAGAGCGCACAGCCAAACATCTCTAGTGAATGGTAGCGTGAAGATATTTGAGGTATATGCAAGAGGGGGCTCCCTGAATACGAATCTGATGGCAGTTGATCCAATCATAGCAATATAGTCGATTATCTTCAAGCGTTCTTTGGTAAAAAATGCTATTGTACCTGTTTCACAAAAGTCTGATCTATTAAAATTCTAAAAAATTTCATTCATAATATGCTGCAAATAATGATTCTCTGAGTTTTTGATAGAATAGAACATGAAATCGTTTATTCAAATAAATTTACATTGAATCACTTTTGAATAATCATCACATATTTTTAATCTACCGGTCGTTCGGAAAGCTGTCTCATCACAAGAAGAACGAGCAAGAAACTTGCGTGTTGCTCTTTTAAATAATTTTATTCTTATACATTTTTAAGTTTAAGTGTGTGAATACAAACTACCAATTAGCACTAATTCAATTAAATACTTAAATATGAAAAATATTGAATATACAACCAACTGGTTAAACAATTAATAAGAGGAAATCAGTCATAGTGATTAGAGCAGACCAGTCTCTACAAGCAGCACCCGGTCACGAGTATGACGGATGTGACGAGTATGACGATAGATGGAATGATAAACCCGTTTGCGCTGACGGCTTACTTAGGCGAGGCACCAGTGGAGGACGATAAAATATGATTAACTGTAATGGTAGTGCTGCTTGCCGCAGAAATTCAGAGTTGATAGATTACATTTGTTTTTTATGACACACTTCAGTAGTCAGCGGATGCAAGCGAGGGAAGTACAATGCAAATATTGTTGTATTTGCTGTAAAAACTATCACAGTTATTAGTGTTAAGTTTTCACTTAGAAACTTAATTTATTAGAAATTTAATTTATTATTATAGGCATGTAGACAGTGACCTGTTCTTAAAATCTATAAGAATATGTAACTACATACCTACCTAACGATTGTAGACCAATCAGTGCAATTCTTTGCATATTAAATGTCAGTAAGAGATTTTATATGCAAAGAAAAATTAGCCGGAACAAACAGACAGACAGACAAAAATTGTAAAAAATGTTATTTTGGTGTATGTACCGTATTTATATTGTACTAAAAAACGGTTATTTCAATATTTCAAACTGACACTCCAATTTTATTTATATGTATAGATGTTTGGATAATATAGGAGTACCTAAGTCAGCCTCTTTCTTCAAAAGATGTTCGATGGCACCTTGATAGTTGCCGTTTTTATCCTTATACCCCCAAGTGTGAGTAAATAAGAGCTTTTCAGTTGCATTAAGCATCTGGAAACATATCTTCACAATAGCGTAAGTCATTTTCATCGCTGAATCTTCATTAAGAAACCTGCAATGTGTGATATTAAAAAATGTTAGTCTACGTAAATACCTAATGTATTGCTTGTCCAAGTTTCATATATTCATATTATTAGAATTTATATCATTTAGAAAATAGATTAATAGAGCACTTTTGCATATTCATAACGTTAGAAATTCCTTAAATTTGATGTATAAATATTGATGAGCAATTTTTTTTAATATAGTAGATATTAAATAAATTGGTCATCGATATTAATCTACTTTTTAAATGATATATTATATTCAGGATTATATTATAGTAATATGTATTAATAATCTTATACATAAAATTCTCGTGTCACAATGTTAATTACCATACTCCTCCGAAACGGCTTGACCAATTTTTATGAAATTTTATATGCATGTTCGTAGGTCTGAAAATTGGCTACTATTTATTTTTCCTACCTATAAGTGATAAGGTTCTCTACCACTAACATTTTTTTGGGACAATTATTTTTATATAATATGGAATTACAAATACATACAACCCTAAATTTGTACCTTTCTAATGCCTACCCCTATTTTTTAATAGCGAATAGCGTATGCGGGGTCCGCTAGTTTTATATAAATGTTTAATTGCTAGCGTAATGATAGTAGAACTTACAGTCTATCGTCCAAGTGCTGCCTAGTTCGATTGCTGTCTAGGATCACATTCGACATTGTAAGAATATGTCCTCTCAAATTATTCCGTCTAAATGACAACCCTGTTGACCTTCTATAGTCTTCTATTGTACCATATTTATCATCTACTGTTTTTGCACGCAATATATTCTTTTGAATATTTTCTGATACGCCAAAGTGACTATGATTCAAAGCAATATCACTGTAATTATTGTATTTTGAATATTTCGGACGCCATATAGCTCTAGTTGTAGAAACTATTTCGGTATCTTTGGCTATCTTATAAACTGTAAAGAGAAAAATAATAAATAAAATATAAATTATCATTATTTTTTTTCACATAGATTGAAATCCTTGAAGAGCTCGGGTCTCTTAAAGATATTAAAATTTACTGGAGTATTTTGAACAAATATTATGGTTTCTGGTACATAATACATAATTTTATAAGAGATCTCATTTAATATTTGTAATATAGTTTGAAGATCTAACAGTTATATTAAACATATATATTTTATATTTAACTAGTTACCTGCTCCGGCTTCGCACGGGTGTATATATGTATTATACATAGAAACATTCCTCTTGAATCACTCTATCTATTGCTTCAAACTGCACTAAAATCCGTTCCGTAATTTAAAAGACCTAAGCGAACATGTCTGTTCGCTTAGGTTCGACTTTATTTATACTATGTAAAGATATGTTACCTTCTGTGTATATGAATTCTTCACCAATTTGCCTTGCGACTACTACGTCACTATCCACCAATATTTCTAGATTATTTAATATGTCAAGTCTTTCTTTTAGATTCTCGGACGCTAACAGCAGCCACCGATATGGAGACTTGAAATAACCGCCTGCCACAGCCTGTTTATTATATATATTTCTATATTAGATTCACGATTTTGTATGACGTTAGTTGTTCAGACTACAGATTTTATATATTAGGCACTACTTAAATGCTATTTAAAGTTACTAAAAAATATAACGTAATAAATGTACCCTCCACCAACCCATGGCCATTCCAACCTCTCGGTTATTCTGGATGAATCTGCGGGGAATGCGCGCTGAAAAGCACGCATTCTCTTGACAAACTACCTACAAATTATATCTATTCCTGTCCCTTTATATCGCACTCTCCCCCTTCTGGGGCAGCGGACGAAACAGAGATGGTTTCGGTGCCGGGCAGCACTCCATCTTCAGCAGCATCCTCTCTTCTTGACGCGTACCACCGTCAGCCCTCTCGTACTCGCTCCGCCTCCGGTGCCACTGACGCGAATTCACCGCAGCCTCCTAAAATTCTCTTTCGAAGATACCAAGTCCGGGTAGTACATCGGACCCCCTCCTTCGCTTTCACCGCGACGTATCCCCTCCAGCAGCTTTCCCCTAAGGACGGAGTCTAATAGGCACTCCCGCAATTAGTGGTGGATGTCCTTCTCCGACTCCCCACAACTACAGCCACTCGACTCGTAGAGTTTCATGACGTGCAGTCGCGTACCTTACGTAATAAATGTACCAGTTGAGTTTCTTCTTAGTTATTCTCAACTGAAGTAGTTGACCGAACTGGACGGTAAGTATGAGGATAAACAATATGCACAAGACGCCGGAAATTCTTAATTTGAAAATCATAGAAAATGTAATGAAATTTTGTAGGTTCACTGTTAGGATATAGATATCCAATTACCTACTGTTTTGTACCGAAATATATCTTCATTCATTATAATTTTATATATTATGGTACGTGTTGATGCGTCTCGAATGATCAGATGGTAGATGATGTTGCGGCTCAAATGATAGATGGTAGGTTTGATGGCTTCAGCAGATTACAGGGTTGTTTAAAATGATAGAATTTGATTATATTCTTCAATTTAATGGGTAAATACTGTGATAAATTATAATTTTGGTGGAGTGAACTTAGAGAAATATACGTTAGATCGATCGGTTGAATTTGAAGTATGTACGTTACGTTGCGTATTTAAATTGGATGGGTGTGCGGTCCAATCAGAACGCTCCCTTTGTATTGCGTTTTGTTGCTGCTTGCTACGCGACAATTATTATAATAATGTTCAGTTTTGTTTTTGAATATGTTTAACACGTTTCCAAAGTAAAGGCCAAAGTTTATATGTAATATAATAGGCCACATGTATCTAATGAATTTATATGCTAACTACAGCGAAGTTAAAAATAAAACATATTTAATACCCTCAGTAGAAATTCTCTTGTATTAGAACATTCTAGATCTGCGAACACAACTATTTGTTGCAGAAAATACTCCGTTCTATTTCTCTGCAGTGAGTAAGCGACGCTGATGCTATTCTCCGACATCAATCTAGCCATTGACGTCATTTTATCTGCGAAGTTGTTTGATAATAAAAATATGCATATTGCACGCAAGATGTATTTTCGGAAAATTAAGGTTTTACCACTTTCTTTCCCATCCTTATATTTGACGAACTCAGTGATCTAGCGGATCAGCACGCCGCTTTACGTCCGATGGTCGCAGGTTCGATTCCTCGCACGGTACTAACATTTGTATTCATGAATATGATTGTTTGTATTGGTCTAGGTGTTTCCTATGTATAATATGTATGTACCGTACATATACAGTTATCTAGTACCCACAACACATGCCCTACTTAACTTGGGACTTATATTATATTGTTGCTTATAAAGAAATATTATAGGATAGTCAAAGGTGACTGACATAGTGATCTATCAACGCACAGCCCAAACCACTGGACGGATCGGGCTGAAATTTGGCTGGCATGCAGGTAGATGTTATGATGTAGGCATCCGCTAAGAAAGGATTTTTATTAATTTTACCCCCAAGGGGATAAAATAGGGGATGAAAATTTGTATGAAACTTTGTCAATTTTAAACCGATCGGGCTGAGACTTTGCATGCATGAATCTACTATGACGTAGGCATACCCTAAGAAAGGATTTTGATAAATTCCACCCCTAAGGGGATAAATTAACGGAACGAAGCCGCGGGCAAAAGCTAGTTTAGTATAAAAAGATTATGTAGTTGTGATTTTTAAAAAACAATCTTATAACAGTATTTTGTAATCATTTTATGCTTTGACTATTTTGAGGGAAACCATATAAATATAATTATCTAAATTAATAACTCTCTGTCTAGAGTAAATGTTGCCTTGATATTTCCGTCCAAAAACATGCGTATATGTATATTTTTAAGCAAAATATATTTCTTCACCGTTAATAAATGTGATACTGGCATGCAAGCATAGGTACACATGCAGAGGCATTTTAGAGAAAAAAATTTATTGATTTAGTGGATAATTTTCTTAATTAGCAGGGATCAAAACATTTTTAGTTATGTCACGACGACTAGGTGACATCGTGAGATTATTCAGATATTTTTGTTAGATACTTACATTTCGTCCAGCATAGATTTGGCATTAACAAAGACGTCGGCCTGTCATCAAGTTTCAAAAATGAAACCAACATTTGATTAACATTGTTGTCTAAACAATTAATCATTGTACAACATAACAATAAATTAATTATAAAAATTTGTTTTATTTTAAACATCTTGTAGGCGTGTTCTATGCATTTGTGTCAGTAATCTAGTAGGAATACAAGCTCTTTTTTACTTGGGACTAGATGGCGCTGTGTGTATTGTCCTGAGATATTTTTATTATTATATAATACTTCATTCAACACTGGAGTAAGCTATACTAATATTGTAATACATTAAAGAAATTTATTGAATTTCCTTTCCGTGATTTTGTGATATTATAAAAACATTACGGTTTACTGTCTGTACTACATCATTCAATAGATATACATTGACAAAATACGACAATTTAGTAAATTTACTAATAGTTTATTCATATTAATCATACTTAAGTTATCTTTTTTTTATTTTTTTTTTAGATTTGCATTTAAGATTTGGTTAATGCACCCCCTATATGCATCTCTGTTTGCCTAATGACAGGGAGAAAATGCCTCAAGGTGTTAAGTCCGCCATGTGCACTTTTATTTGTGTATTTGTGTAATAAAATTTTAATAAATAAATAAATAATTAAAATGTTTTACTGCCTTTTTATACATATCCTATATAAAGGCAGACTAAATATATTCAAAATTTCAAATATAAATAAAATACAATTATACTTCACAACTATTAGGTATACAAAAGGTGTTAAAGCAACACTTGACATATCCATACTTAATTGGGTATTCATATAAAGTAAGTCTTCATTTTATCTTTTTAAGTAAAATATATTTAATCATTAAAATATAAGTGGCCCTAAGTATTCTTTACTATAATAGCTGTTTGGGAGTAAAAGTCCCATAAAATCGGTCCAGCCGATACCAACATTAGCGAGAAAAAACTGAAATTTTTTTAATTTAATTTTTTAGGCTTTAGTACCGTATATAGCTTTAGTGGTAAGTTTAAAATTACGAACAGACACTCCTAATTTTATGGATATATAAAATATGAATATAAATGCGAGTGCGTCTTTCTGTCTGTTAGTCAAATACTTTTTAATAGGGTATAATCTTTTAAAAATACGAAATATATCACTGTAGAAATAAAATGTTTTATTACTTTTTAATTTCTACAGAATTATTTATTTAAGCTGTCAAGTTCACAACAATTGCACATCATAATACTACATTTATACATTTAAATAATATGACAATATATCAAATATATATGTCTCTCTTGTTCTCTTAAAAATCTGAATATCTTTACAATATTATTCCTTTTTAGTTTTTGTCAGCATTTTGGCGCCAAAGTTAATTTATTTTTTTAATGGACTAAAGGCAACAGATCGACTTCAGAGAGTTATAATTACATTATTAAAATTAACAAATTATAATATTGAGATTATATTAAGAGTGGGATATATAACAAATAGACTTTCGCATTCATACATAATATTACTATTCTTAGACATGACTATATGTTGAGTAGTAAGAAAAATGAGGTTAATATATACTTATGGAGTTACAAGTTAATGGCAGTTTAACGATGTGTTTACAAATTACAGGTCGATTATATTGCAATATAACATAACAGCACTTAATACGTAAGGCAAACGTTAGAATACTAAGTAATACAGGTTGACCTTATAATATTAATATTGTATTTGTTACTTAATATAATTGTATGTTAATTTAAAAACTTACATTAATCTTTACACCATTTTTTTATATAATTAAGAAAGAAAGAAATAACATTTATCGACAAATATTATTAACATATATATATGAATATATATCAAAAGCTTGTATCAACAATAATAACAACTGGAAACAAGCTGAGAGGCCATATAATAGACTCTGCAGTTTGATTTGGACGGGGATTGATGGGGTAGCCACACATGAGTGATTATCACGGGGTCATGATAACGTGATATTTAAAGAGTTATAGGCGACTATTAAATCGAAATTACAAAGATCTTACGGTGCTCTCAGATTAGAGTCGTGTTCCTCAGGCAGAAGATGGCCTTTAGCCTCTTCATATGTGTTTAGAGCGCCATCTGCACTCGCCTCCTATCGTTCAGTGAAGTTGTAGAGGCCAGCTGCGGCTAATAGCGTTATAATAGGTAAAAAATGCCTTAGAATTCCAGAGGACTAAGATGGTATGCCTTGTATCTTGTAATTTTACTGCTAAACCTATCTTCCACATGATTCTTTGTAATTTTTTTTTTATTGGGTTTTTTGGGCTATTGCCAGGTGTTTGTAGCACCAGTAGCACTGCGACCTACATAGATCTATTGTGCTCGCCCTTTTTCAAAGTTGGCTACCCGTCAGGGACAAGAATTGAAGGATATTCTTAGGAGCGATGGTTTTTATCTCCTCGGGAAAGAGTGTAAACTATCCAAAGGAGATATTTCTTTGTAATATTACCTCTGGTAAATATTACCATATATTTTTACAATGATGTGCGAGATGCCGTGGCAAACATTTACCCTGAAGAAGACTTCCAGATAAAGTCGAAGCAACTGTCACTGAAGATGTAAACATAGTAAGTTATTTTAATTATCGTATATAGTTATAAACTGTAGATGATCCGTTGAACGTCATATCACTTACCAACTCACACGCAAAATTCCTCTCCTTCACATTTCCTTCGTTTTCCTAATTTCTTCATTGCTGAACCGTCCAGTTTGATGATGATTACATGATCGTGGTCGTGATCGTGATCGTCGGTGGCTTAGCAATTTAGCACACTGCTTTACTTCCGATAGTTGCGAGCTCGAATCCCCGCACGGTACAAATATTTATATTGATGAGTATGATTGTTTGTATCGGTCTGAGTGTTTTCTATGTACCTATATTATGTGTGTATTGAGAAAATATTATCTAAGTATTTATATCAGTTGTCTAGTACCCATAACACAAGTTCTGCTTAGCTTGGGACAAGATTGTGTGAATTGTTTAGGGTTTTGATTATACACATAGTGTACGTGACATCTCTTGTTTTAGAATAAGGCATTTAGTAAGGTCTACATTTTTCAAATTTATATGAAAACGACAAGAATAAATGCTAAAAATCCATCTAATAACATATGTAAAATATTACTATTTTACAACTATGAACTTATATAGTGATGAAATAACATACATATATGTTAGTCTAGTCTAGTTAAATAATATCAAAATTTCTTGAGAATAATGTTTATTTTTTGTTAGGAACATTGCACTGTGTTATAATATATCTAGAGCTTTAGTGAATGTGACATACATTATTACAACACTTGTAATATATATATTTTTTAAGCAAACTACCGAAATATTTAAAAGCCAAGTTGCTATTCTACTTCTATATATAATAGTTTTATTTATATCTTCGTAATCTAGTAGTACACAGTAGTTGGTCTTCTTGTACTGACATACCGGCCGATGTGGCGACCGATTCAAAGTCAGGATGTTTCTTTTTAGATTTTATCGATTTATGCTGTCTACGCTGTCTGCGCTGTCTTATTTTCATCCTGAAATGTAAATAGATACACATATGTACACATGTATAATATCATTACTAGTATTCTGCGGCATTGCCGGCGTGATTTGGGGAAGTATCTAATATTAATCTACTCAATTTAGGATATGTTCTATTGATACGAGTATCTTTAGTTTCATTCGAGTCCATACAATAGTTTTTGCGCGTGGTATTTTATCGGATAAAAATACAACACGCTCCCACCCGCCTACTGTCTTTCTTAGTGAAAGATTCTTCCCCATTCTTTACATCTCCTTCTTATCTTCTAAAGAGATGGCCCGTCTACTGTCTCTCTGAGTGGAAGATTCTTCCCCATCTCTTTAGAAGATAAAAAAGGAGATGTGAAGAATCTCGTTACAACAAGACAACACTTTTAAATTCAGACGTTGACTACGTTTCAATATAAATGTGGGAAAATTTTAGTTATGATTGTATAGTGATAAATAGCTCCATTCCAAACACCGGAATGTCGACCTCCAGCCGGTTCCGCCTGGAAACCATCGTCACTAATTCCTGGAGAATTCGTCAGGATAGTCTAACTGACCTGACCTTATGCTCAAACAATCATGCTCCAATACTTGCCAGCAGCAACAGGCGTGAGCACCATTCCTTTATCACCCGTTTTAAAAAAAATAAATGTTAACGTACAATTTGTAGTAGGCGATCTCTAGAAGCAACACCGCTGGAGCCATCATCATGCCGTAGAGTGTGGCTAGCAGCGCCGGGTACATGTCCGTAATCCCCACACTGCTGAATGTGGCCACGGAGCCGGAACAGCGCGGCCGTGGGACAGTCAGCCGGTGATGACTGTTCGCTTGGATTCCCGTTTCGCGAATTTTCAGAAAGCTGCCGAAATATAATGATAATACCACTGGACATTTCATACTGTTATGCCCATAACAACAACGTGCTGGCAGAACTACATAATACAAAGTAATTATCCAGATAATTTTACAAATATCTATTTTTTGCAACATGTGACAAAGTAAGCATTTTATAGTATAAAACTTTTTAGTTAATAATTTCCCTTACTTGATTTTAAATAAGTCCTTAAAAGGAGATCTCTTCTGGCCCGGCAACCAGGGGTCGACCTCATTGATGTAGTCTATCTCCACCAGATCACACTTCTCATTCTCCTGATATGTCTTTTGTATAAGGCGATATCCCGGGTTTAGTTCCATGTGGAATGCGAAAAGACCCTGAATGGTTGGTAAAACAAATAATATTTTAGAGCAAGTAAACTCTCTAAAGGATTATTTTCTTTAATTCCGATATTAGCAGGTGCAGTGCGGAAACCCGACCACCGCTACCGGAAGCCTTTACCACTAGTGATCAAATTTCGACTGTTGTCGGATCTATACCCATATTGCGACACTTAATTCGCCTTTAAAGCCTAAAAGGGTATAGTTTGGAAGCTCAAATATAGTCTACTGACTATTCAGCGACTACTAATTACGACGTAATTCCTTCGTTTTTTATTCTTTCATTTGGTGACAAATATATGTTGCATAACATGCTGATGATTGTTATTTTCGCCTTAAATCTAAATTTAAGTATTCTGTATTATTATAATTGTCTATATATTTAATTTCAAAAACCATCGGAGTTTTAATATTTTTTTCTTGTCTCAAACCACACTCCGATCAGGCTTACTATGAATGAATGACTCTAAGGAATGGATAAAGCATTTACAGCAATTTTATTGACTGCAACTTACCTGTCTAATTTTCTCTACTCCATCCTTCATATCATAATAATTCGGGTTTTTCCCTTTGGGTGCAAACTTTGTATCATATATACCTTTTCTTATTGGGTCTTTCAATTGCTGAAATTATTATGATTTTTTTTAATCTATTTCTTCACTTATACGAATTATAAGATTCAAATCTCTACGATTATCTTATGCGCTTATTGTTTTATAAATGATAATATAACGGTCGTGGACGATGCTGACAGACAAGCAGTAATAAATGAAAGGATGAGGATAACATATATTAATAGGGCTGATGGGAGATTCCCAAGGCTTTAACTATAGTAGTTTCCCGGATCACCGTGTTCAGCTAAACTTACCATCTACCAACAATGAGATTAAAAACGAGATCAATAGTCTTAATTGTAGACAAGCCTCCTATCATTGCAATGCATTTTAACTAATAAACTAAGAACAAAATATAGACTTACTTTCATATAATGTTTATTGTATACAACATCACTAGCTCCGACTTTAAGAGGGGAATTCAGAAGGTCAGACAAACTTCTCACCGAGGAGCTAGGAGCTCTTAGCAGTACTACAATGTTGGCTGAGTACGCAGCGTACAAGATTGTTAGCGCTACGAAGAGTAGCAGAGTCACAGTTCTACCTGAAAGTTATTCTAATTATATATATAGATAAATTTAAAAGAAGTATCTGTTAAGTCTACGTACGTACATTTTAGAGATATGTTTATACCTATTATAATAAAGTTACCAGGCTTATTCAATAAAGGTATAGAGAAACATTTTACGAATATGGTTACGAATATGATTGACGCTGGAACTTCAGCTACACTTCTATACTTTTTATTTTTAATTTATTTAAGGATGATGCAGTATACCTTCAGCCTATTGTCAAAGTAGATTAATAATTAAATTGTAAAATTACGTGCTCTCGGTGAGTATTACAGTATAATATCCATGCACTCACCAAGGAATAAACTTACGCAGTACATGCATCATATCTAGAAATCATAATCGTTCGTAAGCTAAATTTCGTTAAACACATACAGAATTTAAGTTAAGTTACAATATACTTGTCTTCTAGCCAAGTCTTTGTAACTGCTACTTTTATACTATGTAAGTATTTTATACCTACAGTCTTTCAATTAATCTATACTTACCAGGCGCATATCTTGGTTCAAGAGTGCATCCTTGTTGTAAGACAGCTCCTATGATTAGTATGAGGACGTCAGCCCACGAGCCGTCCAGTTGATATTGATGCTGAAATTGTTATGATTAATTAACAAGTGAATATACTAATAGTAATAGTATACCATGTTAGTAATATAAAGAGTAAGAGCGGTGCGGTATTATACCATATTACTAATATCAAAAGCATAATCAAAGATTGTTAGAATCTATCGTTTCAACCTCTTGTATTTTAATCAACGTATTTGTTTTATTTTCTCGGAAAAGATAAACAATATATCTTTGGAATAAGCTCACAATTTATAATTAATTTCTATAAGGATTCTTTGATGAAGAATAAAATACTTACCGTGGTCATAGTGGCTTCCCATTTGGATGTTATATAAAGAAATAAGGCACACCCCAAAACACAAATAAAAATGGCCAGCCATACGTCTCTGGTGAAGGGTAGCGTGAATATATTAGAAATATACGCGAGTGGTGGCTCCCTGAACACGAACCTGACGCCGGTGGATCCCACCATCGCTATATAGTCGATTATAACTAACCGTTCTTGGTTGAAAAATGCCATTGTGCCTGTTAATAGAAAAGAACAGAATAAAATAGAACATAAAATAGCAAATTCTTTATTAATACATTTAAATGTTATCCTATTGTTGTTATATTATTTTACTATCGTTCTTTTGGAAGGCTGTCACATCACAAGAAGAACGCGCAAGAAACTTGCGTGTTGCTTTTTTAAATAATTTTTATACCTTTACATTTTTAAGTTGATATGTGTGAATATAAATTATCTACCAGCACTAACTCATTAGAGTCAAAATATTAAATAGACAATCAACATCTGATTAGAGCAGACCAGTCCCTACAAACAGCACTCTTTCATACCAATATTATGAATGTGTAACTAAGAAAAATACATTTAATATATGTACAACAATTAATAATTATGTAAAAATACCTAAATCAGCCCTTTTCTTTATAAGATGTTCCATGATTCCGTTATAGCTTCCATTTTTGTCTTTGTATCCCCAAGTAGAAGTAAATAATAGTTTTTCTGTAGCGTTAAGAGACTGAAAACATATCTTCACAATAGCGTACGATACTTTCGTTACTAAATCTTGATCAAGAAACCTATAATGTAAAATAAATTCCTAAGTTTATGACGAAATAAAATTGTACTGTCATTTTTTAACAATTTTTCATCGAAATGTTGCCCACATTGGCAAGTCTTGCAGTCATCACAACATCGACAATTAACAATATCTCTTATTACCTTATCTGGTATAATGGTCATGACCGTATCTGCATGTGTATGTGTAATATGACGACGACTAGAGGAACGGTCAACAGTCAATACTAGGCTTCCAAGCAATATTCGAGCTCTATTCATTGCTTGATAATGCCTCGTCCAAAGATGAAACATATCGCAATATAGGTATAGATTCAATAACGGTTGGAATTTGAACACTAATAGAGAAAACCATAACGATTCCAATAGATACGATAACGATGGTCAGGTTTTCGCATTGACTATTTTGTGTTCCATATGCTAATGGTAGCGCAATTAAACAAAATATAAATATATTAAATAATGAAATGGATTTCCGCAAGACACTACCTTATTCGATAAAATATAGTTTGGTTGATTTTCAGGTAAGAGTTTTGTGGCGCGAAATAGGCAACTCTAAGAAGTAAATTCGCCACGGAAACAATGAAGTGCAAGAGAAGAAAGATGAAAGAAATATGTGTAATAATATTTGTGACTTACAATCTATCATTCATGTGTTCTTTGGTTTGATTATTGTCTATTACTACATTCGATACTGTAAGGATATGTCCTTTTAAATCTTTTCGTCTAATAGACAGTGATGTTGATCTTCTATAGTCTTCTATTACACCGTATTTATCATCTACTACTGTTTTCTGCCCAACATTCTTGCGACTGCTTTCAGATATAGCAAAATTAACATCATTTAAGTATGTAGAGTTATTTTTGTAATTTATAGAACGCCATATTGCTCGAGTCGTATAAATTATTTCGCTATCTTTAGATATCTTGTATACTGCAACAAACAAGAGTAACAATATACATATATACTTTATTACACTTTTAAATACAAGGTTTTAAATAGATTTTACTAATTTTGTTTGCAAAGGAGGACTTATCTCTAAAAGAAATCTCTCCAGTCAACCCAAAACAGAGTGATACAGGAAGTGGTGTGTGGGCAGTATGGGTTACAGGAGTGCAAATAATAAAAGTAAGAAAAGATAAAATTAATTCTAACAATTATTGTATTACTTTCTTTTAAACTGAAGTCTGCTTAGTGACATGATAAGTGTATGTTAACTCTAACATAAAAATGTACATAACGTACGGAAAAATCTTTATTGATGATAAAAATTTTATAAGCAAAACAGTTCAAATTTATTATAGTTTCAACAGTGACCACTTTGTCTATCTTATAAGTTGTAGTAAAATTACAACCGACTTGGAATGCAGCTACTACCAATTACGGCATAAGTAAACATGCATTAATATTACCTACAAGTTACAATTAATCATTTATCTAGAGGTAACCATCATAAAATCTTGATATTCATAAAATGTCAACTTCATTCCAAGATATATTTTAATGGCTATTCATTGAAATGAAGGTAATTCAATAAATATTAAAAAACAAGTACCATATTATTACAATAAAAAATTAAGGAAAATTAATATTTAATATTAGAATAAAATAATGCTTTTTAGATGAAAATATATGGAATTTTAAAAGCCCCTTTATTTATAAAAATTATGAAGTAGTAAAATACCTATAATAATTTTAACTAATACGTATTATTTTGTCATTCTCTTTCTAATTTGTTATTACTGAAGAAAAAAAGCTAGAAATAATAGTAGGTACAATATAATTTATCAGTACAAATAGATTTATTTATAAACGAAACTAAAATTCCGATTCGTTTAAAAACTCTATATATTTAATCTAGTTTGTGCACATTTATTACGGTTTAGACATTGACAAGCTGTTTTCCTAGACTTCGCTAATGGATTTATCATTTGCCTGAATATATTATGCAGGCTGCAATGCAATCAATCTTCACGCCTCGATACTTGACTTGTTTAAATGATTACGAATATCGAGGAATTAGATTAGAGTGAACAGCCTGCACTTGTAGGGAGGAGAACACAGTTTTACTTTTTTTTGTAATTGGAATGACAAAATGCTGACGGCCCGCGCGATGACCTATATACCATTTACTTTAAGTTAGTTATTTAAGTTAGATCAAAATATTGTTACAAGAAATTTTACATATAGCCTAATAGAATTCTCTTTGATTTCATCTATTTTTTAGTATTGAACTTTCATCTCCTATTTCAACCCCGTCCAGATTTTATTTTCGGAGAAGATTGCCTATTTCCGTTCTCGTTATTACGAACTATCTTCATGTTAGCCGTTTAGATGATACAAAGTAACAAACAGATTGAAAATATACTTTAGAATTTAGAATACTTATTTATTTATGACTTCATTGAAGGTTTAATAATATTTAACACAATAGGTTTACGTTTCTTAAAATTCTAATAGAAACTCTACACCGATTTATGTGTTTTATTTTTAAGACTATTCCAGTCAGATTTATATCTTTAAGTTAATTAAGCTAGACTAGACATGACGGACGATACAGATACAACACCTATCTACTATTAATTAAGGAATCGGTGTACATACATTATTCTTAAAGTTACATTCAACAAGCAAGCCAAGTAATGTTTAAAAGATCGTAAGCATTGAACAGAAAATATTTTGAATTTATGTAAAAATATTATTAATATAATAAAAGTTTAAATCTTTCCAGGCAATCTTATCTATCTACATGCAAGTACCTATTGGTACTATGTATATTTTGATGTAACAATAATGGTAAAAAAAATAAATACTGTTATTATTTTCTGTTAATACCATGTTATAACATTTTTTAAACTATTTTAATGGTGGTGGCATCTGGATTTTACAGCTTCACCGAAAGATAGAGGGCGAGTGCAGATCCCTAAGTCCTTCCGCGAATTTGGAGTGGCCCAAATCTGCGGAAGGACTCATGGAGCGACTGAAGGCCATCTCCTAACTGATGGATACGACTTTAGTCTGAGGGCTAGGAGTTGGAACCTCGGCTCAGGTCGTCATAATAAATCGAGAAAGAGCGCTCTCATCGTAACACAGGTTTGTATAAACTTAAAAGGATAAGGATCACGCACTTTGTATATTGTTGCGTTGTGAAATAAAGTATTTGTTTTATTATAAACACGAAATATAAAGATTGTCTGTCTGTCTGATTGCTACCTTTTAGCGACAAATGAATGAAGACTTAGATCATATATGCTATTTCTACATCGGTAAACTTTATAATACGTTACCTTCAGTAAATATGAATTCTTCATTTGTTTTACTAGCGACCACCACATCGCTATCAACCAGTATTTCCATATTGTCTAAAACTTCGTTTTTTCTACTAGAATTGTCAGGTGCCAGCAACAACCATCTATATGGTGATTTCAAGTAGTTCTCTTCACTAGCCTGGTGTTAAAAAAAAACTTTCTTCACAACTACTATCAAAATTGTAACTGCTTTGCAAAATTGGAGTTTTATAAAAATATATAGCAATGGTAAATATGTAGTTTAGCCGTTTTGACACTGCCTTACTATGAATGGCGACCATTTAGAAGTAAGGCGTTTCGTTTCGTACGTTACAAAGATTTGTATTCCGAAGTTTGTATGTATTGTTTTGGGTGTTTGGTTAGATTATATTTTTACAAAAAATGTACATGTATAATCATTTCTATCGGTTGTTCAGTATCCATAAAACGAGTTCTATTTAATTTGGGTTTAGAACTAGATAGCGTCGTGAGGTTTCCTCCAGATCATTATTATTATAATATAATGTATACAAAAAATATAATAATAACAGAAATTTTGCACATGCATAATTAAAAAAAAACTATAATATACATTCGAATCTGTACGCGAACGTATGATCAAACATTTTTTTTGTCGAATTTACTTTTCTAAGATTTAACGAAACACGGAGCGTGATAATCCAATCCTAATTGTTATAAACATACCTTCAACAAAAATTCATCAGAATTAGGACATTCCAAGTCAACTAACACGATGATATGCTGCAGAAAATACTCTGTTCTATTTGCCTGCAGTGAGTAAGCGACGCTGATGCTACTCTCTGCCATTAATCTTGCCATTGATGTTATTTTATCTGTGAAAACGTTTGGAAATTTAAATATACAGTTATAAAACATTTAGTATATCGTCTACTTCTACCATAAAACAGCTGTATTGGATAAATGGTGAGATTTGGATAATTAGAGGAAAACAAGTCCTTTTTGTCGCCAGGACTGACAAGGTATGAGGTATATCACACCTCAGCTATTGATCTATCATCACATATAAACGGAAGCATAAAATAATGATTAAATTAATCATGTATCGAGTTACAATTAACACCAGTCTGAAGAATATGCCGTCGAAATTATTGAAATTATGAAGGCCTTAGCTAAGGTTAGAACTACTGGTGGTGCTGTCAAATAAAAGTCGTATCAATCGCAGGAGTCAGCTTTCGGCTGCTTCAACCTGCACTCGCCACAAATCGTTCGGTGAACCTGTAAAGGCCAGCTAAGGCCAACAGCAGTAGAATAGTCGAAAAAAATAAAACCAGTCGTTATCTATACATATAAATAAAATTGGTGTGTCTGTTTGTAATATTGAAATAACCGTTTTTTACTACATGCATATGAATATATATACGGTACATATACCAAAATATCATTTTTGTCTGATTGTCTGTCGGTCTGTTTGTTCCGGCTAATCTCTGAAATGGCTGGACCGATTTTGATGGGATTTTTTTGGCAGGTAGGTGATGTAATAAGGACTTAGGCTACTCTTATTATAGAAAAATAAAGTTAAATTCCATGCGGACGAAGTCTCGGGAACGTTTTTCATAAGATAGGAATTTATACCATTTTGCTAATATAAAAATAAACATAATTAGACACATATCCCATATAACATATACCCCATGGTAACTTATATTTTTGTCCCCTATACTTACATCTAGACCAACATATATTAGGTATTAACAATGACGTCGGCCTATCGTCAAGTTTTAAAAATGATATTAACATATAATTAACATTGTTATCTAAACATTTCGCTAACGCATAACATATTAATTTAAATAGAATAATAGTTTTTATTTTTAACATTTTCATAAATTCTCTAAACGAGTCAACTGCAGTGTAATAAGTGCTGATATGAAAAGCTGTGTATATTATTTCCTTTACGTGATGTTATTATTTTACAAAAAAAAAATATTAGGACAATTCGAAATTCGAATATTATCTACATATCTGAGTTATCAGGTACAGTCCTGAAGTAAAACATTACAATATTTTTAATTAATAAAAAAAAAATATATCAATCCCTCACTTTTATTAGCTAGTAATTGTCTACGATCTTTATATTAAATTGACTAAAATAATATGTACCTTTTTATATATTTTTGTTTTAGGTATTTGTTGTGAATATATAGGATAGATACGATGGATTTTTTATTAAGTATGGGAACCAATGGCCTTATTGAGAGCAAGGTTGACCTACACGCGGTTGTCACTGTAGACCGACGTTTCATATTCGCTGGATGGACTGACTGTAACTTTCTGCTCATTTTATCATGATAATCCGTAATAAAAAATACCACTAGGCAGGCGGCACTATTCCATTATCATCCATAAAAATCGATTTTGTACGCAAATGTACCGGTAACTTCGGTCAATGTAAAATATATTATGTTGAATAAGCAACTATAATTACACGTTTAGTGTTTCAAACCTACCATTTGTAATTCTGTCACCGCCCATACGTACATAAATTGTATTGTTGACCTACAATATAAGCCTGTTTAACAATTACCTATTGTTTTTCAATTATTTCGTATGTTATATAAATATGTTTTGCTTTGGCATGTAATTATGGTTAGAGCAACCTTTTTATTACCTACAATCATATTATAAAATAAGAGAAACAGAGTTCATTTTATTATGAAAAAAATTAACTTCTGAAACTCTCTATGCATTTAAGTAAAATATATTGCCTGAAAAGTATAGAAATATAAATAATATTTATTCAAATAAACTCAACACAAGCACTTTTGAATTGCGATATTTTTTTATTCTACCACTCATTCGGAACGCAGTCTTATCACAAGAAGAATGGGCAAAAACTTGTGTTGCGCTCTTTTGTAAAACTTGTGTGTTGCTCTTTTGGTATTACATTTTTTTTTGGTAATACAATACTTTATGTCCTTATGTTATTGTTTACATAAAATTTACATAAAATAAAATATAAATGTTTTTTATTTTATTTTATAAAATTATGATTTGGCTTTAAAAATACATACAACCCTTAACTTTCACCCTTCTACCACCAACCTCTACTATTTAACGGCGAACTTAGTACTTAAATTTATACGGCAAAGTAACGTTTGCCGCTAGTATATATATAATAATGTAAAAATAGATGTATAAATCATTTAAAGAATGTAGGTATATATAACCCAAAAATAAGTGATTCTTAAGAAGTATTCTGTAGTATTAAAGTAAAAAAACTCTCAAAATGATAAAGTAAAAATAGAAGCATGAATCATTTAATAAATGTATGTTAACCCAAAGAAAAGACCATAATGACGACGGAGCTGTCCATGACATAATTGCGAAACCACGAGCATGATCGATGCTTTCATTGAGTCATGAGTTCTGCGAATTGAAGAGTAATTTAATCATGCTGCCGATGCCCTAAAGCCGTCTGGAGGATATATGCAATTTCTTACCGCATTCATTAATAATTATGACTGTTGCAGTTTGAATATAACAGAAATATTAAAAATGCCTACAGTACTACTAATCACAGATAATATTACATACTAATACTCATACATACATACTAATATCTCAGGACAATTCACACAGCGCCATCTAGTGCCTTAAGTTAAGCAGAGCTTGTGTTATGGGTACTACACAACTGATATAAAAACTTATTTTTTTTGTAAATACATACATAATATAGAAAGAAAACACCCAGACCAGAAAGAATGTTTGCACCGTGCGTAGAATCGAACCTCCGACCATCGTGAGTAAAGCAGTATACTAATCTCAGGATAATAATACATACTATAATGGATACAAAATTAGGTAATAGGTAACTATTGTGTGTATAGTCTGGAAGTCGTAAGAAGTAAAAGAAAAAACGAATAAAAATTGTTTTGTAACTTTTAGAAGCCATTTTTTAAACTTTATTTTTAATTTTCCTTATATTACTCTCGTCATACTACGTGTAGTATATAAACAGTAATTCATTGTTAAACAATTTCGTACAGTTCTGCTCCACATTAAGACAATGTATTGCCTTTAATGGAATGAATGCATGTCAAGGATACTCCAGTATCCTGTATATTCCTGGAAGCAGTAACTCATTTCTTTGCAGAATGCCGCATGTAGGCAGACAGATTTCTTAGAACAGGATTTGATTTGATGAAATGATCGTTATAGCATGTAATATCCTCTTATTTGTTGTTGTAGTAATTTGTTTTCTGATTGAACAGAGATTAAGTGCGTAGCGGTTTCTATGTTGATTGTCGCATGCCTAATCATTGTTAATTAAATATAAGTAAATCAATATTTATTTAAAATAGCAACACACAAGTTTCTTGTTTATTCTTCTTGTGATGAATCTGCATTCCGAATAAGCGGTAGAATAAAAAAACTTGACTATTCAAAACTGCTTATATTAAGTTTATTTGAATAAAGATTATTTCTATTCTATTCTAATTAAACAAACATAAAATTTCAATAAAGCGAGAAAAGGAATTGAATAATAATTGTCACGGATGTACCTAATTATTTATATATGCAACTATATATACACTTTTTTTTTTGCGTGACCACAGTAATAGATGTTATTATTTTATTTATTTATTTAATTAATTCGGATATCCATCCATATTATGTTAGTAAGCAACATATAAACTATGTTAATATATAAGTAAAGTCAAGTAAATTACAATTTATATCCTTTCAATCAATGTATTTGTCTATGTCCACGTCCAGAAGCACTGGGTCCGCAGTCCCTGCTGCATACCTGCAATGATATCCAAGGTCTACGGAGCGGATATATTTACTATGGTTTTCGTGTCTATATTGTTGCGCAATTGAAGTGGTATATCAGCATCAGTTAGTACACTGGGAGCTTCTTCACTTAATGGAATAGAGAAATTTTGATTTAATAAAACTATATGTCCATTTTTATAGTGTTGCAAACCATTGATTGTGTAAATTATTTTTAAAGGATTCGTTTTTAAGACCCGACTCTACAAGTATAGAATTCCTGAATAAAGCTGTAATAATATTTTTATAATAGTAATTCTGATGCGGAGGAGCGGGGACCACGTTTTTGTACTTAAGATTAATGTGAAGAAAAGTATTTTTTTTACGGACAATTCATACAGCGCTACCTAGACCCAAGTTAAGCTAGCTAAACCTTGTGTTATAGATGCCAGATTACTGTTATAAATACATAGATATATATATTTTCGTAAATACATACATATTATACATAGAAAATACCCACACCGATACAAACAATCATACTCATGAATACAAATATTTCTGCCGTGCGAGGAATCGAACCCGCGACCATCGGAAGTAAGGCGGTGTGCTAAACCTCTAGACCACCGAGACCGACTAATTAAGTAATTAAGATTGTACACACTGTTTGTTGAACCAAATACAAAAAGAGCTAAAGTTGGTATGCAAAGATTTCATTTATATTTTATACCCTAAGGACAGCGGCAATTTTTAATAGTTACTGTTGCCGTGGGAAGAGATTATTAGTAATGCGGTAATTGTACCGTAACTATGTTATGTTAACGTCCAAGCGGTTCCCCTGGACACTATTGTTAGATATATCAACTCTATGTACTAGTAAAAGTATGTATTATAATAAAATAACAACTATATAACATTAATTTAACTATATCTCTAACACAATTCATTTTAGCAATTAAAATACAACCAGCACATCCTGTGCTCAAAGACCGAATGCCGCGGCTTTTTTTTTTTTTTTTCGTGCTCAAAGAATGCGGAAGGACTTATGGAGCGGCTGAAGGCCACACGGAAAAGTCTGAGGGCCCTCCCTTTTATACAGAGAAGATGCGCGATGAGTGGAGGGTTATAGCCGCGAACTAGTTGTGTGTGTAACGATATACAGAGAAGATAATGAAACTACCTTCTTTTAATATAAAATATCAGATATATCTCGAAAATATCCATGCGAACCCTAACACTATAGTCATAAATTCCTTGTGAATTTGCCACGATATGACTGACCTAACGTAATGCTAATCTTATAATCCTCCACTGGTGTCCCGATAGCGTAAACCGTTAGCGCAGGCGGGTGCACCATTCCATTATCATCCATTAAAAAAACCTACTGTTGCTCAGAGAACGATTTCTGTAGTTACCTACAATGTGTGTATGATACAGGTTTCATTAAAATGACCCCAATTTACAAACAGTCTGTCTGTTATCTTTTTCCTTAACTCGCAAACTGCTACACGCACTTTGTTATATTCGATTTCTTGTATTTACGAAGAGTAATATTATTAACATACTAGCTGTGCCCGCAGTTTCACTCACATGAAATTTATAGCTTATACATATAAGCTTGTTTGTATGTATAGTAAAGTTTCATCAAAATCCGTTTAATAGTTTTTGCGTGAAAGAGTTACAAACATCCTTACTTCCCATACTTCCAAACTTTCGCGTTTATAATATTAATATAGATTTACCTTGTTGTTTCTTTTATAATATACTGGCTGTTTCCGCGACTTCGTCTGCGTGGAATTTAACTTTATTTTTCTAAAATAAAAGTAGCCTAAGTTACTCCTTATTACACATGCCAAAAAAAGTCCCGTCAAAATCGGTCCAGCCATTTCAGAAATTAGCCGGAACAAACAAAACGACAGACAAACAGATAAAAATGATAAAAAATGTTATTTTGGTATATGTACCGTATATATATTCATATGCATGTAGTAAAAATCGGTTATTTCAATATTACAAACAGACACTACAATTTTATTTAT